ATCAACCACGCAACTTGAAAACGATCCTAAAAGAATAGATAATAATTGATTATAGATCTGCAATTTGGCTAAAATAAGTTCCCTATTAAATAGGTGGGTGGGGATTAAAATCCATTAATCGCACCAAATGCCGATTTTATTTGCATTTAGGTGTGGTTTGCATTTAGGTATTACCGGAGATGAAAGTCGTAAATCCTCAGGCTAACAAGTAGAGTAAAAGTCTCAGCAAAGTTGAGAAATTGTAAAAGAATCAACTTGTTAAAAGGGAAGGTGTAAAGCCTTAGGCTAATGAGTAGAGTAAAAGTCTTAGCAAAGTTGAGACATTGTGGGGGTGTACAGAATTAGCTAGTTTCTATCTAAATTAAACCCCAATTTTATACCTATAGTATTGGAAAAGATATCATATTGTTCGTGTTGTTGAAAATGTCCGTGATCAAGTTGTTGATATGTTCGTGTTCAAGTAGTTGATAATACTCGTGTTGATTTATTCCAGTTGACAATGTTCACAGTTCACAAGCAAGAAGTAGGGAGCAGTTTATTAATTGAAGACCTTTTATTTTTATCCGCAAACCCTTCTGAAGGTGCAGACCTGTCATACATCATGGCGTAAGCAACACCATTTTTTAGTATTCTTAATTACGAAATGCAACCGCAGTCTAGCCACAAGATCATGGAAATGAGAAAAACCCCCAATTGACACCGATTCTGCAAAATGCAAGAAAACCAACTAAAGAGATTCGTGAGAAACAGTTTAGTCGACCTCCTCAACGGTTGGGCCATCATCGTGAGGAGCACCTCCTGGTCCACCAGCACCACCTGGGAATCCACCACCTGGCATACCTCCTGGCATTCCACCGGGAGCACCGCCCTCGCTTCCTTGATAAAATTTCATCATCACCGGATTTGCAACGGCCTCCAGCTCCTTCTGGTGTTCCTCGTACTCCTCCTTGGTGGCTTGCTGGCTCTCATCCAACCAAGCAACGGTCTTGTCGATCTCGGCCTTCAGCTTCTCCTTCTCGTCAGCGTCGAGCTTCTCGTCAACCTTGGCATCACTCAGGGTGTTCTTGAGCGAGTAGGCATATGACTCGAGACCGTTCTTGGCGCTGATCCGTGCGGCTTCAGCCTCATCCTCGGACTTGTACTTCTCGGCCTCTGCCAACATGCGCTCGATATCCTCCTTTGATAGACGGCCCTTGTCGTTGGTGATGACGATCTTGTTGGACTTGCCAGTGCCCTTCTCAAGAGCAGAGACGTTCATGATTCCGTTGGCATCAAGATCGAAGGTAACCTCGATTTGTGGAACACCACGGGGCGCAGGGGGGATACCAGTGAGCTCGAACTTGCCCAACAGGTTGTTGTCCTTGGTTCGTTGACGCTCACCCTCGAAGACTTGAATAAGCACACCGGGCTGGTTGTCGGAGAAAGTGGAGAAGACCTCGGACTTCTTGGTGGGGATGGTGGTGTTGCGGGGAATGAGCTTGGTCATCTGGCCACCAGCGGTCTCGATACCGAGAGACAGCGGCGCGACATCGAGAAGCAGGATCTCGTTGGTAGACTTGGATGAAGTGTCACCGGAGAGGATAGCAGCCTGGACGGCAGCACCGTAGGCAACAGCCTCATCGGGGTTAATGGACTTGTTGGGCTCCTTGCCGTTGAAGTAGTCTGTGATCATCTTTTGGATTCTGGGGATACGGGTAGAGCCACCAACAAGGACGATCTCGTGGACCTTGGACTTGTCGAGCTTGGCATCGGAGAGGACGCGGTCGACCGGTTGAGTGGTGGATCGGAAGAGGTCCTGGCAGAGCTCCTCGAAACGGGCACGGGTGATGGAGGTGTAGAAGTCGATACCCTCGAATAGGGAGTCGATTTCAATCGAGGTTTGTGCAGAGGAAGAGAGAGTACGCTTAGCCCGCTCGCAAGCAGTGCGGAGACGACGAAGGGCACGGGCATTGCTGGACAGATCTGTAATCGAGAATGAATTAGTTACTTGTTCTGAGACCAATGTGTCAAAAAGATTGAGACTCTTACCCTTCTTGTGTTTCCGTTTGAACTCCTGTACGAAATGGTTGACGAGTCTGTTGTCGAAATCCTCACCACCCAAGTGAGTGTCACCAGCAGTAGACTTGACCTCGAAAATGCCCTCCTCGATGGTGAGGAGTGAAACATCGAAAGTTCCTCCTCCGAGATCGAAGATGAGAACGTTTCGCTCACCCTCAACCTTCTTGTCAAGACCGTACGCAATGGCGGCGGCAGTGGGCTCGTTGATGATTCTGAGAACGTTAAGACCGGCAATCAGACCAGCGTCCTTGGTGGCCTGACGTTGCGAATCGTTGAAATAAGCGGGGACTGTGACGACGGCGTTGTTGACGGTTCCACCAAGGTAGGCCTCAGCGGTCTCTCGCATCTTGACCAAGACCATGGAGGAGATTTCTTCGGGGGTGAATGTCTTCACCTCACCCTTGAACTCAACCTCGATGACGGGCTTTCCAGCACGGTCAATGATCTTGAAGGGGAAATGCTTCATGTCGGCCTGGACCTCCGCGTCGGCGAACTTGCGACCGATGAGACGCTTGGCATCGAAGACGGTGTTGATGGGGTTCATGGCGACTTGGTTCTTTGCGGCATCACCGATCAGACGCTCTGTGTCGGTGAAGGCGACGAAGGATGGGGTTGTTCGGTTGCCTTGGTCATTGGCAATGATTTCGATTCTGTCATCACGGAAGATACCCACGCAGGAGTAGGTGGTCCCGAGATCGATACCTATAGCGAGGCTGTTAGAGACGCCTTCATCGTCGGCCTGACGGGCAGAAGAGTACTTACCAATGGCGGGCGCCATGTTGGATTATTATGAGGGGGATGTGATGTGGGGTAGAGGGAGGTGTATTGTGGTTGAGTTGCGTGTTTTTGACTTGTGCTTTCAGAAGAGTTGAAGGCCACAAGAAGAGGGGAGTTGTATGTATTATGTGGGAGGTGAATTGGGGGAAATGTTCATGAAGAGAAGAGAAGAACAAAACCGGTGGGAGGAGAATTTAATACTGGCAGCGCGGCGGCGTGGAATACGTTGGAAGTTGCTAGAATTCCCTGAAGGTGCCTAAGCGAATGCCCTGGAAGGTTGTGGTAGCTTCGCGGGGCGCTGCCCAGGCAACGCTGCCATCAGGCTTCTTCCCAGCGAGAATAATGGCAGGTTCACGTTGTTATTGTTATTATTGTATTATCACTTGTTGTACAGTATTCAATTCTCAACTGGCTATTAATTATTCTAATTCAGATATCTTGTTACTTGGTTGTTGTTTGGTATGTGTTCGTGTCTACATGTACCTATCTATCTAATCTATGACTCTATCGCACCCCTCAGCTCCCCTCTCCTCTCCCGAGTCTCAGTCCCCTCACCGCCCATGACGTCGCACATTTTTTTCATTTTCAACCCCACTGCTGTCAGCGCAAAACTATAATCCCCATAACATCATAACATCATATCTGCCCATTATTATTCCGCATTCCGCCCCCTAATCCATACAAATCAAAACCAAATACCCCATAATAGAGGCCAATGGAAGCTGCAAGAAAGCCGCAAGCCGCAAGCCGCAAGCCCCCAGGCCCAAGGCGGACATGACGAAAACGGCGTGGGTGGAGCCTGGAGACATCATGTCAAGAGCAATCAATCAATGACAATGCGACTCACCTCACACGTCACACGTCACCCAACCTTTTTATTTTTTCTAGGTACAGTACAGTAAGAGTAACAGTTTTTGAGGTGCAGCCCCATGGGCCCATACAGTACGAGTCAATCAAGCTCGCATTGGCATACGTAGTGGTATTGCAATTGCAACAACGTCCCAAGAGCAGAGTGAGTATTTTTTAAGGCTTGTAGACCTTCTTGTGTGCTGTTCCAAAGCATCGCTACCGAATACTTTATCCGTCGTACCGAATCTCACAATAAAAATATTCGAAGATCGGTGCTGTGGTTATCCGATCACGCGTGGTGACACGTGATCAATTCGGCTTACTAATATGTTACCTAACCCACACTGTCGTTGTGTTTGGCGTGGCCAGCCGCGGAGCAACATGACTGGCTAACACCCCTCGCTAAACCCCCGAATCGCACAACCCACAATTCCGGGAAACCAAAAGATAATTTTCAATTCCAACCTCGAACTCGACCGCGACCCAACGAACTTCCCTTCCCGACCATAACCTCCCTCGCCCAGTCCTAACCCCGACTCCAAAACCAACCGCAACTATGGCCGGTGGTATTTCAGTCCGCGATGTCGATGTGAGTATATACAATTACAGCGCGCCAGGCCGTTGAGGCAGAGAGAGAGAGAGAGGGCCCAGTTCGCGAAGATATCAAAAAACGATGGACAACGAACTCCTCCCGATGATCTGTCGAATTTATAATTGAGCAGGCGCGAGGGGGTCGTAGAGACCTCTGCTGACGGAATAATGCTGATTCGACGGGTGAAACGCAGGCGCAAAAGTTCATCGTCGCATATGCCGATTTCTTGAAGAGACAGGGAAAGCTTCCTATCCCCGGTATGGCCCCCTCTATGCATCCTTCTCTTCTATCCGTTCTATCAGCATCAAAAACTAACATCCTACCTTTTGTGTTTTAAGGCTGGGTTGATACCGTCAAGACTGGCCATGCGAAGGAGCTCCCCCCTCAATCTATCGACTGGTTCTACGTCCGCGCCGCCTCGATCGCCAGACACGTATACCTCCGGAAGACTGTCGGTGTCGGCCGATTGACCAAGGTCCACGGATCCGCAAAGAACCGCGGCTCCCGCCCTTCACATCACACCACCGCCAGCGGAAGCGTTGACCGCAAGGCCATGCAAGCCCTTGAGAAGATCGGTGTCCTGGAGCAGGATGAGGACAAGGGAGGCCGACGCATCACTCAGAGTGGACAGCGTGATTTAGATCGTAAGTTTCATTTTCCCTCTGCAAACCAGGTGTAGAGCGAGAGCTAGGCTAATGTGTGTGCTCTGCAGGTATCGCGCAGAACACTGTTGAGACTGAGGAGGAAGAGGATGACGAGTAAATGATCGTTTATACTGTGCTGTGCTATGGTCTGGGCGCGGGATTTGCATGCTGCATCTGGGTTACTAGGCGTATTTGCAATCAATGAACCACTCAAAAAGTCATGCCAGAACATTTCATGATCACCCTTGCCTTTCGTGTCTAATTCGCAATGTAACCGCTTATGCAGTGCCTAATTAATCGTGACCGCTATCACCGTTATACCACGTAAGTGATCCATGCCTACTAAATTATTTTCTGGGTGTGTAGTTCTATCGATACCTCCCACCCGTCCATCCCAAGACCGTAACTGAGAAACCGAAAAATAAAATTTTATATAGCCTCGTGTGATGTACACTGTGATCCCCACTACCAAAGGTAAAGTAAAATACCTATCTAACGCCAACCATGCATAATGCTCCCCCAGAATTCCCTGGGCCACTCTACACCAAACCACACTCTGTCCTCCCATCCCAAGCGTCCTCCGAAATAATATACAAAACAAAAATACTCCTACAGTATGTAAAACCAACGCTCATTAAAACCCCCCTAGTATTTTCTTCCCAAGCGAGAACTTGTTCTTCTTGCTCGAGCTATCCTCACTAGCATCGTCGGGTTGCACACTACTCCCACTAGAGTGAGTCTCACGATCCCTCTTCTTTAAGCGGTTGAAAGTACTAGTTACGAAACCCGTGTTCTTGCCATCATTCCCCTCTTTTATACTCCTTGTCTCACTATCCGCGAAGCTATCCCCAGAGCTCTCTTGGCGCGCAGGTGTCATCGTCAAAGATGTTGGCAAGGTTAACGAACGGTGAGGGAGAGATAGGCCGCTACTGGAAGCGCTGGGGGTGCGGGCCAACCCATTATGACTCGATGCAAAAGATCGTCGAGGGCTCTTTGACCGGTCAGATCGCTTTGTGCCCGTGGGGCTCGACGCAACAGTACTGCTAGCATCGCTGCCGTCGAGCGAATTTTCAGTGCTGGATGGAGCCAGCACCATGCTGCTCGTAGCAAGCTCTCGTAATCGACTCTGCTGGGCGGTGTTTGGGCGGTGTTTGCTGAACTTATTTCCAATGATGGCACCAGTGTGGGAAATAAGGGCCCGAATGACGTCCCTCTTGAGCGCGAGGGCGAGATCCAGATTTGACCAAGTCTTGTTACGGTATTCGATCATGGGAAGACGGAAGACGAAGTCGTGAACATCTTCTATGTTGCGCTCTCCCTTGCCTTTGTAACTGAGGCAGAGTACCACACTAGGAATCTTGACATAAGCGAGGGTCATATAATTTGAAGCTCGAGATATCATCGTCGTCAAATCATCAGAAGCCTTCTCTTTCTGAGACTTGTTGCTGTTTCGATGAATCGCAAAACGCCTGTGTTTGACGTCAAGCCCTGTTGAACTGGCGGTATCCAAGTTGGAGGCGAAGGACTTGCTGGTCGAGGCACGACCCAGAATGGGACGGGAGCTCGTGATTGAGTGCAGACTTTCGGCAGACGGCTTCTTGTTCAGAACCTTCCCTAGAGCGGGCCGTGAATGTGCGCTTAGCCGGTTATTAGATTGGAAGAGTCGGAAATGATGCCCTTCGCCACTATTGTTTGAATGCACGCTGGGAGTATTGGATGTTGACACATGAGATGTGTTGGGCCGAGTCTCTGATGCCATTGTTGGCCGAAGGCGGAGTTCCAGCGAGCCTGCCCTTATGCCAATTTCTGATTCTTGCCGTTCTGTGTCGGTGCTCGCAAAGCCACTGGATATCGTTGTCATAGATTTATCATCTTCGTCATCATCCTCAACAGGTTGCATATCTCTCACCAAGAAAGGGGATTTGTTCTTCCCTGTATTGTCGTCTTTCGAACCTGGAAACATGTATTCGAAAAGGCGCTTGCCAACTTCTCGCTCGAGCTGAATTTTCATGGGGAATAGGTTGACTTCGAAATGATCCATCACGGGTATTCCAGCAATTGCCTCAAGCATGTACCAGTAGACCCTCAGCATTTGTTGATTACCCCCTTCACTGAATGTACCTCGCTCGGCATTCGAATAAGGGGCAAACATCTCCGGATATATTGCATCGGGAAGCAGATTAAGACCAACTATCTTCCCTATCTGCATCAAATTTATGTGAGATCCATCCGAGTTGTCGGTTCGGTCATATTCCGCTCGCTGAAGTTGAAACTCCATCAGCGGTTCATTGTTGTCTTGGATAAGGTGCCACACAATCTGATTAGAGGATATGTTCCACCGCAGCAGGCCACTGGTTTGCGTAGCGTCATGCTTCCTCTGAGAAGTGGTAATCGCTTTCATCATGAAAAACAATTCGTCTTCGCAGCGCGCGAGATCCTGGTCAAGGCAAAGTCTGTCTTCCCACCCCTGCCTATCAAGGTATTTAGAGTGGACCTGGAATTGTGTCTTGATCTCTTCGAGCTGGCTGATACGCTCTTGAAGTCGTATAACCATCTCAGGGGCACCTCGCAGATCACTGAAATCCGATGCGAGCATGATCTTCTCGAGACGCTCGTTCCTAGTCTTCTCTAGCGGCTCACTATACATTAGAAGATCAAGTACGATGATGTACATGGCGTAATACTGGGACGAATTGCAAATGGCTCGGATTTGAGGGAATTCGACCCAGAGGTGGTCCATTCGATTTTCCATGGTGCTGGGCCAATTACCTCGACTGCTAACTTCCTCGTTGTATTTGAGCCGTAGAGAGTTGTATTTGTCAAACCTTAAACTGGCAGATGTCTTTTGTACGACACGTTTGAAGCCGAAGGGGTCCACCTCAAAGTTGAACATAATCTCCATTGGCACCCACGGCGGCCACGCAGATCCAGCGGGTGTTCCGTAATGGGTGCCAGCATACATTGGGAGTAGCTGTAGTGAGAAAAGCTTCTGGTTGGTAACGAAGAATTGAGTGCTGTCCATTTCAACCGAAAACCGGCGTTGCACAAGACCACTAACGTCGTCGTAGATGAGCTCTTTGTCCATAATTTCGATAACTTTAAGCTCCATCCCTTTAGCAGTGACGAGAACGACCGACTTGGGATTCTTTTCGCTCTGGAGCTGAATCTGAGGTGCGATAAGCCTCAAATGATACGTATTCTGCGGTGTGAACTCGCGGGCAATGCCGGACTCGGGCTTCTCAGTCGAAGTTTTTGGGTTTGTCTCCTGAGCCTCTGCTTCTGCATTGACAAAGTTTCGGCCATCCGCAAGAAGTTCATTGATGCGATCCTCCACATCTTGTGGGCCGGCCTCACTTTCTTGGTGTGTAGCTGGTGTGGTGTCCGCAGACGAGGCATTTGTGTTCTTACCTGAGCCCGGTCTCGGTACTTTGGTTTTGTTCTGCTCCTCAATGATATCAAGAATAAACTTTACAGCTCGTCTTGAGAGATAGTATACGAACCCACGCCGCTGGCTGACTTGGTGTATGTAGCGAAGAATAATGTTCCTCAACATATTATTCCATTTCAACTGCATATTATGGATGACAAAACGATTGTTGAAGTCGCTGATGAATTCCGCTGCTGGATGGCTATCGATGCCCTTCGTCTCCACGTCGTCGTCTTTCGGAGAGGACCGTTCGCCATCGCTGTCAACCTCGGGTTCACCTTCCAGTACGGCACGCCTTATATCATTACGAATACGCACTTTCATCTGCCGCATCATTGATTCTAAAAAGACCTTCTTGTCCTGTAGAACATGGATATGTTTATGCAGGCGCTCATACTCTGTCTTCAAGGCAGCATTATTTACTTCTTTGATGTGCCTCAGCTCAGCATCGCCCAGGGATTTGGCGTGTGAATCCGTTTGTCGTTTAAGTTGGCTCAAGCGATTTTGGATCAGTTGGTACTGAACTCGGCGGGGGTCATCGTCCTTGCTCATGATACAGAAATGTGTCGGTTCTTTTCCGAATGGGCTGGTTCTATCTGGATCACCAGATATGGTGCCACCGTGATCCGTTTGACGGAAATATGTAAAGCGTGGTGCGAATGCGAGCGGCATTATCTTCGTTTCTGGATTTGCACCTGAGGGCAAAACCCAGTCCAATTCAACAAAGTCATCCATATCAATCCAACTCAGATCATTATCAGGTATTTCGAAGCGAGAAAGATCAGGAAAACCGCTTTCCTGTGGTGAGGCTTGGGACACAGTCGAGGCTTTTCGGAGATGTTCTGCTGTTGTGTCCTCGATGGTGGCCGATATAGCACGAATATCTGCTGACAATAGATCAAGTTGTGCCTGGTGCATCTTCATGCCACTGGTCTTTGCTTGGGTTTTGCGACCTCTATGTTGAGTATGGAACTGCTCGCGCCGTTGATGAACGTCAAGCATAAAGCTGTCTAATCTCATTTTAAGCCCTGTAGCAGTTACTACCTCTTCGGAGAAGTCCTCCGCATCTTTATGCTTGTAGACGTGGCTGAGAAAGAGAGGAGCGAGCAAGAGGTTATATTTGATGGTCGCAAGATGCCTTCCAAACTTTTTGCTAGATTTCTCAATACCCGGCCACAATGCGCCCTGCCGAATGGGAAGTGACATGGTGCCTCCAAACATCGACCACCACGCAAAAAAGTGTGTAAAGAAGCGGGGCGTCAAATGAACGGTGTTGTAGCTTTTTGAGGGCTTGGTATTTGATACCGACCATTCACGATCAACAGGAGCTTTCACAGCTAATGACATGTGGATATGATGGCTACGGAAGCCGCGGAAGGCATCATATTCAAGGCCCGGCGGGGCTACTGCAAACTGCGGCTCCTTCATGACGACTTTGTAGTGAGGCTCAAAATCGAAGGATCGTGCCCCAGCTTGGTTAATGTTCCTCTCGAACATCAGTCCGGCAAGCCATTGGACGTTCCCAGATAGCTTCATCACAACCTTCTTGAACAAAACCCCACGCTTAAAGGTCTCGGAGCTCTTCACGCTATCATCATCTCTCTCTTGCTTTTCAGATATGCGAGCGTGATGGCTATAATCGGGGATGGCGAGGATGTATTCACCGCTATCAACGGTCATGAACTTTCGAGGATCTTCATCGTGGCATATGCTCCATCTCACGTCATTTCTCCAGCACATAAGAAATCCAGCACCGTTCCCTGTGACCGCATATGGATCTCGGGTCCCCTTCAGCATCAGATGGACATCGCCATCACCCTTCCAAGCAACGTTAACGCGGGAATGGAAACTAAGTCGGATCTTATCCCAGAACCCAGTGCGGTCGGATGGATCTACTTGAGGTCTTGTGAAAGTCTCTATGACCATCATCATATCTTGGATTGCCGGCTGATATGACGACCCCCAAGTAATTCGGGTTGGCAGGCCGGTGTTGATATCAACATTTATATCTGAATATGATTTAACTGGAGAAACAGTTCTGCGCACATCAATAGCAAATCCGCGAGCACGACTATTGGGCGTACCCGAACCACGATTTTTGGGCGGAATAATGTCGACCTTGACATGCCTCAAGGATTCAGGTCCTCGGAATTCCTCTGCAATAACGAAGTCCGTTTTGAGAGACCAAGCAGGCAATCGATGCGATTGCCCAGGCTTGATGGCGGGAACATGTAGAAGCGGTAGTGGATAGTCTCGTAGTGAGACACGAGCCTCCCCCATATCGATTTGGACATGCATCGGAATGAGAAGCGCGTATTGCATGTCGTAGGGCATGCCTTTACCAACCCGGTGTAGAAACTCAGGCAGTTTACTCATTGGGAAAGAGGGCTTGTCAATCACGATATGGAGATCGCTGATCAAGGTTCCCATTAACGCAGGCCGTTGAGGAATCTCGAGGATGTTCTCGTTGTCCTCCACATCGTCGGGAAGGTCATCAGTCCCCCAAAAGATGCCTCGTAGTTCCTTCATACCGTCCTTCGCCGAGGTGAAAACCTGGTCAATTCGTGTCTTCCAACTTTGCGCATTGTATAGTTGTAACTTTTGACGAGCAACTTCGACTGAAACCTTTGCGCTGCTGCTCATGGCACATACACTTTCTGGGTCATATCGCATCTGACGGCCACGACGATCTCTTGGGTTTGATTCATCTCTGTACGCATCAGGCACACTCTGACTCCGCTTTCGGGACCGCTCCTGATGGTTGCTGCGGCCTGGTGGGTGGGCAGACCTATTCCGGAACTTGGAACCCCCCTTCCGCATCTCAACTTCCGCAATTTTCTTAGCTTTGACCTCGAACGCAGCATCACGGGCGATACGCTGTGCCTGCTCGACCAGGCCTGTGCGGTATATGTTGCCCAATTTCCATTCGAAAGCTCCATCTTCCAGTTCAAAAAGCAGCGCCCTGCTGCGAATGGAAACTTTTGGAACATGTTTTGGTCCTTCCGGATGTTTCTCAAGTATGTACTCATTCGTGCCCGTTATGAACCGATGGTGGAGTTGTTGGACGGATTTGAGCGTGTTTATACAGTTGTCAACAATTTTGTAGAGCACTAGCTGATGGGGAACCGCTAGTCGAATCGCTTCTGTGACAACATCGATCATCCTCTCACTATGCGTGTCTCCAGCACTGCTCTTCCGCCTACTTTCACGAAGATCAACCCGTGGACTCTTGATACTGACGATTCTCGCCCATACACAAGGCATTTTTGGCGCTTCAGCATAGAGCCTAGCCAACTTTGCTTGTAGGAAAGGCGGGGACCACCGATGGCGCCCAGCTTCCATGCCATAAATTTGCATCATTAAAGGGGGGTCAGCTGGCATATAGGCTTTGATCTGCACTAGGCTTGATCTGAAATCAACTGTAACTAGTTCTGGTACGGGGAAGGGATAACCGATCGTATCGGAAGAATGGAGGTCTTCAGGAGACATCAGTGGCGAGAGGTACGAACTTCCAAAGGCTTTTGCAGTAGCACGCGCCTGTTCAGCTTCTTCATCGTCAGCTTTGGTGCGGAGAAATGCTTTCCGGAGTACAGTTGTCGCCACACCGCAAGCATAATGGCGGTATAACGAGTACTGAATAAGTATCGTTTTGACATAGGAGTTGATATGGAAAATTGGACCTTGGTTATCGCACGATGTAGATAGGGCAACCTCGAAGCGCGGAACGGAAACAAAAGGCTCCATCTCCCACTTCTCAGTTGACTCGACGACGAAAGCTTCCAGGCCACGGACATGGACTGCTAGCCTCCGTCCGTCAGTAGGGTAACGTTTTTTTTTCCTAGGTGATTTAGGCATCTTGAGATAATGCTCCGCATCTGGTGTGAAAGATCGACTTCCCGCCCTACGGCGGGCAGATTTCCTTTCCAAGGCATCAACCTTCTGAGCCCTATATTCCGCTGTCCAGGATTCTAACTGAAGTGCAACGCCACGGGTATCATCCGATATCTCCTGGTCAACGCCCGCAACCTCCGCACTGAAATCCGAACCTTGAATTTGAAAATGCAGGAGCCAAGGGGGCATAGCTCTGATAAAATTAGGATCACGGGAAGTCTTAGGGTGCGCTTTCTTGTCGGGTTCCACGTTGACTCGCAGCTGTCTGACGATCTGACGGACTCCCTCGCTTATCTCGGGGCGGATCATGTGGATGGAAAAGGTGTGTAGGTTGCCAGTTGCAACAACATAAACATCGGGGTTCGCGCTAATATGAACTTTAAGTTCCAGAGATTCCGTTTGAAGCAGCTCATAATGTGCACCAGACGACGTCTGGTAGTAGAGGTCGTGGGATTGTAATCTTAGCGTTGATCCAAGGCCATATTGCAATTCTCCAGCGGACGAATGAGACGACTCGATATCTAACGAGATGGACGAAATGGAAGATATGATAAGGTCAAAGTCGTCAGGTTCTGCGTTCTTCTCCACCGGGGGAAGGGAGATGCGAACAACTGGTTCGTGCAAAGAGATTTTCACATTTGCTTTCGGCAAAAGCCTTGAAATAAGCACCTGTCGTTGGGGTTCAAGCCCCTTTCTCCTTTTCGGTTTTCGTTGCAACAGAGCTAATACAAGCGGAAGATGTTTGGGGTCCAGATCAACCGAAGGAGAAGTAACGACGACATTGGCAAAAAGGATGTTTGCGTTCCGCTCATCAGCACTATTTTCTTTGACGGACTCAACAGTCTTGGAAGGAAGGGTCGTTCGAACTGTAGTTGTAGTCATGGGGATATATATCAACCTGTCAGACGTGCCGTGTCCGTCATCAACCCCAAGTTCAATCGAGAGGGCAGCGGCAAGTGCTTCGTGAGCAACGTCTTTGGAAGAGAAGTACATCCGATGTGCTGGGGATTTCTGATCTAGCCGGTGCATGTCCACTCCGACTTCTTTCATTGACGCATTAAGATAGAGGGGGGCACCTCTAGGATGTACGGAGCTAACTTTCTTGGTGATGCCCACAAAGCCGACCGCAAACTGCACCTCCTTAATTCCACGGAGGATCGAACTAACAAATTCCTTGGAATCTGAAACTGTCCGAACGAGATGATCTTCATGGCTATCGAGCGTGTCTGCCTCCTCAGGAATAGTATTGACAGGTAATTCCTCAACCTCTAGTTGCTCGGACTTGTAGAGGTTGTGAAGTGCTTGGAATCTGTTCATACAAGCGCGGATATCATCATAAGGTATATGCAAACGACCCAGCTTTAGCGCGATGGCGGCGTCTCGGAGTCCGTCTAACCCTTTGTATAAGGATCCATGGATATTCAGTGTAGCATGATCGAGGACTTCTAGTGCTTCTCTTCCATCGGGAGTGAAGAGCACACTGCGAAGTGTCATCATCCACTCTGCAGGCCGATGCTCTTTGTTGGCCGCTTTCACGCGCGAGAACAACCTCGCTCGATCGACCATTTTTCGCCGTGTATCGACTGCCATTGTAAAACTCCCAACCTGTATCTGACCAACATCCACCACAGTGACAGATGAGCCTGTCGTTACCACGTCCACCATACGGATCCAGTTGATTTTTCGGTGCAGACGCTTGATAGCGTCCTTAACTTTCATGAGTTTCCCCCAACTCTTACTCCTCTGCGGGGCCCAACCGGCTTTCGGTGGCACTGGCTTGCTTTTGGATTCGGATTCGCCCTTTGACCTGTCCACATTCTTCGCCGCAACTCCATTCCCTTCTATCCCAACATCGCCGGCCTTGTCGCCATCGGTCGCGCTCATATCCACCGTGACCGCCAGCTCGGTCAAAACGATGCTTACCCATGTCGGTTGCGCAAAGGTTGGCCGATGAAGGTTGAGGCCCAAGCCCCGGAGCTCTATCTTTATGCCATCTCTCGGAGTATATGCGAGCCTTCGCAGAGAAAAGTACCCAATGCGCTGAATAGAGATGCCAGTCAAAATCCGAAGGACTGCGAACAGTATAAAGGACAATAGGTAGAGGAGGACTACGACTCCAACTATGAAAGTCGGATTCAGGAGCGCCATTAGTTTGCTCAGTCGCAGCACGCCATTCGAGATTCAATATCGCCCAGCAGGCCGTAGAAGGAGGAGAGGCAGTGAACGCCCCCAATCGCAGAAGCTGTGTGTCGCGGCAATAGTTCCATTCGCAACCCCTTGCTTGTCCCTTTCCACAAATATAATAATTTTAGGAGTCCACGAAGGTGTGACAAAACCAAGCTGGCTGGCTGGCTTGTTTGCTCCGATAACTCCAGCTAAGGTGCGCACAGCAGATTGTCAGCTTGCTTCATGGTTTGTAAATAACAGGAGGGAGGAAGAATAGGTCCCAGCTACAGCTATCAAGTCCGGCGCAGATCCGGGGCCGGGATGCAGATCGAGACTGCAGGGGACTGCGACAGAACAATGATAAACTGGGCAGTTTAACTCCGGGTAGGGTGAAGTGCGATCGTTCTGCGGATGAGGTTGAGCCAAAGGACCCTGTGAGGAACCATGAGATACTGGAGAAATGGTTGGGACGATGAATGATGTTACGAATCCGGACGTGAAATATTGTACGGTGGTCACAAAGAGCCCTGTTGGCAACTTATTAACCTTATCATCGGCTATACCAGTCGTGGACAAGTAGTGGATCAATTTCGCTGTGCTTCGAACCTTTTCACCTGAACTATATCTCTAGACTTTTTTGAGTTATCTCTAAGAGCTCCTTCGAATATTTGAGATATTTAGAGATAGCAACCTCGATATAATACAGGCTGGCCGAAGTAGATGTCCAGGTACCTCTAGACCTAGAAACCCGTGGGCTCTGCCCTTGCAGTGGCGCCAACCAGACCTGTGGAACAAGTTGCGCCGAACGAAACCCGCAGCTCGGGAGTATCTCGGGTATGCTCCCCTGGACATTGAAAATCAATCATCGCTACTTCTACAGAGTACACTCGAAGCTCTAGTAGTGGGGGACCTGTTATTTTGCATGGGAATATGAGGTTGTTAAACTACGTGCAAACCAAGTGGGTATCGGAGAGAAGCTATTAAACCAATGCGGGAAGCTGCTGGTTGTCTGTAGAGCCTAGGGTGCCTGCAACACTCCAAGGGCCAAACTACTGACTAATCAAAGAAAGCTTAAGCGCTCTTCTTAACTCTTGAGCAAGCCTTCCTTTATTATTAGCTTTGTTCTACTTCTTGTGGTTGCGAGTGCCAGTAGTGGCTTAAGGGCGGGCATACCGTATCATTTATCAGTCGTGTAGATGCCCTTCCCTAGCAGCGGCGTTGCTATGGCTCCATAGGTCCTTTAATCCGAGCAACTTCAACACCCCGCATTCAGTTGTGTTTGTGCAGACACTACTGTAGACCCCGTGGGGCCATGCGGTGTTTACTATCATTAGCCCAACATAGGTAGGTATAATACCTATGATATATGATATATCAGGAGCAGCAAACTAGATCCGGGGTACTGACTTTGGCCTAACGCTCGGCAGGACCGGGCACAATCGGGTACGAGGTTACCGGGGTACAGCACCGAGAATATAAGTCACGTGTGTCGCCAAACCTGGTCACGGGATTGGCAGGAGCGCCAGGATCGTTTTCGAACGCTCCTGACGATCCAGAAGCTCCACGGAATTTGGAGTGCGAAGCGCACAAGGTTTCCGATATTTACAGTACTCGTAGTTGGTTCTGGATTAGTTAGGAGTTTTGTGCTCAAATACTCATAGCAAGTTGATGAGATTGTTTATCCAATTCCTTACCTCGCTTTACTTCTCTGCAACAAACCTCCGTATAACATCCAACCTCTCTTATACAGCGTATCCACCGACGCCTGCACAGTTACCAGCGGGTTACTGTGAGAATCGTTGCGCTTAAAATGATTCCTTGTTCCCGCTGCAAGAAGGCCAAACGCGAGTGTATGTTTCGAGAGTTAACGGCAAGAAGCGCTGCTCTGGGTGTATTGCCGCTGGCTGGAGATGCGACGTTGAATCCGTGAACCGGATGCCTTCTCTCTCACAGTGGGAATCTATCGACAAACAACGCGAACGTCTCGAGCTCCAGGTGGGGGAGGTTCTAGCTAAGCTCCTTCGTTTACTTTACGAAGCCAAAAGAAACAACTAAGGGATCGTGAGATGGAACTGGCTAGGTCCGGTTTGACCGCCCTGGACGAAATCGAGGAACAAGAGAAAAAGGGCGAAGAAGAGAAGACTCGTGCCGAGGCTTCCAAATCCAACCCGACTCCCCCTGCCCCTTCTTCCTCTTCAGAACGGTCGTTTAGCGTCAATGCCTTCCTTACGTACGACAATCCTTCCTTGAGAGCTTAGGATGCCATTCCCTGGTTTGTTACCGAAAGTGCTTGGGTGGTACTACGTACAACATCGGCCTCTAACTGCAAGAACCAATATAACAGGGGTCCCGAAAATATATTGGCGTTTCATTTCCAACGATTTCCTGTATTCGCTCATTTCTTTTTAAATTTGCCTTTGCTGTTAGACATGAGAAAGTACATCGCCATTCTTTAATAATATTTCCCGATCGACTTTGACCTCACCCTCATAGATGAAGATTCTCTAATGGTACCAGAACGGCGTCATTCATCCGACGGCCGTCCGTGGTCCGAGGCTTTTGAGCCTGTACAAGTGGGTCCACGACGACTGTGGAAAATTGGAAACATGAAGATATATGTCATTGGAGTCATAGCCCTCACCACACTCATTGTCCTCATTTCATCTCAAAGGCTTGCCACCGGTGGGCATTCTTTCCGAAATCACTGGGCTCCCGTACCTGTACCGGGGTCTAAACCGCTCTCAAATTCGAGGATATCGAATCGAAAAGCAGCTGCAATAGTTGAGAATCGACCTCTTGACAATCTCATACCAATCATCCTCCATTTCTCATCCGTCCTGGGTCCAGAATGGCCTATTCATGTATTTACGAACGAAGATAATATAGGCAACTTTTCAGAGTCAACGCCGTTCCAACGCCAAGTCGCTGATGGCCGATTCCATGTACAAACTCTTCCACGGGGTGAGGCTTTAAACACACATGCGAGTGTTTCAGGTTTCTTTACCAAGCCTTGGTTTTGGGAGCAGCTCGCGCCTTATGAGCATATATTAATATTCCAGGCAGACACCATTATCTGCTCGAACTCACCACAAAAAGTGGAAGATTTCCTCGAATACGATTTTGTTGGGGCGCCTATAGATGACGCAAGAGGGATGGGCATGGGATACAATGGTGGATTATCAATCCGGAATAGAACCAAGTGTCTAGAAATTACGAATAGCTACGACTGGCAGGTCGAGAGACACGGAGATGGTTCGCAAGGAAATGTGGACTACGAGGATCAGTGGTTTTCGAAAAAGATGAGAGAGTTACCAAAACAGCTTGATGGGCGGCCTGGGGCGAACCTCCCACCCGCAGATATCGCTATGAAGTTTTCGGTGGAGACTATGTGGTATGACAAGCCATTGGGTTACCATCAGCCGAATGTTTGGCAGAACGACCATATGGCTGAGATTCACAAGTGGTGCCCGGAGTATCGGATGTGTACGACGGAGACTTTCGCAGATCATAATCCTGAGAACTTCGGGGATTCTAGTTCATAACATATATCTTTTGTATCCAATTGAATAAATGTCAAGTATTGCAAAATGATGATTATGACGATAATATCTGGGGTGCTTATTATGTGACTCCTCAAAGTTCTCTAGGATATTAACAAGTATATGCAATCCAGATACCATTCAGCACCAACAACGCCATGCTCGCTCCAGATATAAAAGTTGGCATCGGATTGCTCCCCAGCGGCTATTGTTTGGTGGCACCCACATCTCCGCAGGAGCTGTATATTCATGATGGCTCTCTCCAAGCGTCCCAAGCACAGTCTCACTTGGTGCCTCGTATATCGATCGGGTGGGGTTTCCACGTGAGGGTGCTGGGTTGGTTGGTAGATAACAGGGAGATTCTACGTATACTAGAGGGTAGAGTGGACTTGGGGATGCTCGCTTTCGACGCCTCAGCAAAATGAATGTAATCGCCGAACATATTGTTCCAATTGCTGCAAGCGAACCCCCAACACCGATTCCGATCTTTGACCCGTTACTCAGTGCCGAGGATGAGGGCGATGGGATATCGCTCGGAGATTTAGTCTCAGTGTTCGTGGCCAGCGCCGAGCCTCTTGTTGGTGAAGTTCCCGGCGAAGTAGTAGAGGGTGATGCAGATGCTGGCCCAGTTGCAGCATTAAACACAAAACCATTAATGTGAGCAACAACTACACTAACGCCCGATGAGATAACCACAGCAGTTGTGTCTTGCCAGGCAAATACTGACGATATGGTAGATTTGCCGACCATAGTTTGGCCAACACTCAGAGGGGAGTGACATTGTCCAAGTGTGGCAGCACCCAGAAAGGAGCCCAGAAAAGTGTATGAACTGGTTGGTGGCTAGCAAAGCTAGATGGATTTGAGGAAATGGTGAGCATACGAGAGACAGCACCCCACGAAGGAGGTTTGAAGGTTCATAGTGCTGACTGTCGCAGTCGTATAACCAGTCGGGCATTGAAACGGTCCCAAACTGATATCCCTCTTGACTCCATCACTGTGCTGTTCCCACCAAGATGTTCGCTCTGTTGCCATATATTCCCTCTTAAACTTGCCTTTATTTTAGTGTGATGCAAATTTTGGCGGGTTTTATATTCTCTGGATTGTTGGTGACCCAAACTGCTGTAGGTTGGCATGAGGGTGCATCAGGTGGGACTTCCGCCGCGATTTATATTGCACCGTTGGCTCTTCCAGGGATTAAACGAATTAGGGGACGTTCCCAGCGTCGAACCACCATACTTGTTGGCTAAGGGGTAAGCTAATTGGGAAAGAGCAGGGTATCTTCTCTAGGTATAACCAAAACTCGGGTGCGAACAACAGCAGACACCATAAGGCGTATTACAGTGTTCTTTGAGGAGTAAAACCAAAAGTAGATTTTAAAGGCATATATTTATAAACGAAGGTAGGAAATGGGTTCGAATCCTCAGTGCAAAACATAAAGAATGCTGTACATAGGGACCTGATTGTAGAAATGTGCAACTATGCAAGAGACTTTAAAGACAAGTATGATCCATCTAGGACCCTAACCAAGCATACATAAACATGTGAGAGTTCTGGTTCTGGTACAGCAGATGTATAAGACAGCATCACTAGCATCTATAATGCTTCTAGTGATAAAACAAACCAAGAGTGGTGGGGTGGCTAATTCCCCGGCGAGCAGGGACGGGGCCTTCTGTAGAAACATGTATATTTGTGGTGAAATTAGTTTGGGTATCATTAATCATATATCCCCCTAGTCTATAATTGACAACCGTCTATTCAAGCCGCCGACCCACTCTCTTCACGCCGAACCCGCGGCTCATCTTCTTCATGGCTCTCGTGATTGATAAACAAGAAAGAAAGTACCACAATAGATGCACCAACCCAATATAAGGCACTTGAATACTGCTTGCTTAGAACCATCTGCCCAATGAGTGATAGCGGTATCGTCATTGATAGTCCCACTGTTACCACTAACGGTGTTGTGAGAAGCATAGCGTAGGCCCAAGAATAATCGCTGAGAAAAGATGATGCCGAGTTCAACTACATGCGTGTTAGCATTATTTAGAGGGACATGAAAGGGGGGACGTACAAGTACAATAGTCCAAATCTTGCCGGTTGGCGGTAATTCAAAGGTTTCAATTCCCGTGTAGTGCAGAAGAAAGAACGCAGGCCACAAGAAGATGACGTTAAACAGCCCTACAAGTCCAAAAAATAGGGGCATGTTTACCCTGTCCTCGTTGCCAATTCGTTTTTTCATGACAATAGCATAGATGCCATACATGATGGCGCTGCCAAAAGCCATCGCATCCCCAATAGCAATCTCACTTTGTGATTTGTGTGGGAAGTTCCCCCGGTGCTCATCATTGTTTTTGCCTGAAAGATCCACAGTCGAGATTAGGATGATGCCAGCCAAGGAGGCCAGTACTCCAACAAGTTTTTTGTAGGAGAATTGCTCCACGCGCACTAGGGCACCAAAAAGCAGCGTCCAAATGCTGCTAGTGGAGGTCAAGATTGTAGAACTAGCCACACTAGTATATTCCAGGCACGCCGCAACCAGATAGTTGGCACCAAACCAGAGCATGCAGAACTCCAAACTGAGCTTTACAGTTTCTGGCACGCTTAACTGACCCTCTGGCGGTTGTGGTTCTCCGGACATGCTGAGCGCGGGTTGATCCTCATCATCGTCAACCAATAACCGTGTCTCAGATGCTGACATGGGGTCCTCCGCATCTTCCTCACCAGTACGGGATTTGGAACTGACGCCTCTATAACCATCCATCTTGCCCTGCCAATATTCGACTGCGGATGTTCGAACGTGCGCTATGCCGTGTTGGTGCACAATACGTAGAAAGACTGGAAGTAATGATATCGCAAAAAATGATGTGTTGATATAAGTGACGAAGTATGGTTTTGAGTATGTATTATCTGCAAAGATATACTGAATTTCGTTAGCATGTCCTATCTAGACTCCATGAATTTTGGTAGACTTACACTGGCTAAGAAATTCGAGGCGGTCCAAAGGAAGACGGTAAGAAGCAGAAGAATAATTCCCAGTGTCCGCCGGGCCATATTCTGGAGACCCATGCCCGCCCTAAATCCATTAGATTTGACGGGCTCTAAAGATGCCATCGATACGCGTCGGCGTTGGACCGATGGTTGTTCGGCAGAGAATCTAAGCTCCTCTGCCATCGTTGGAGGAACAAGTGGTTCTTGGGCACTCATGGTGCTGATCTTGTGTCTTCCTTTGCTGGGGCCGGTATTGCTACAGGTGCAAGCGTGCTTACGCTGGTTCTATCATGGAGGACGAAGGTGTAGATGTGAAGATACCTCGGTCATGGGAGGTTAACAGGTCATCTCCGAAGATGTTGTATATATCCTGCCGGCAGAGGGAACACAGGCCGGTCCTGATGTCTCGTGGGCTGTGCTATCGCAATTCTACCTAGGCGTTAAGAGTGGTGTACAAGCTAACATCTCGTGGTACTGTTTCAACGGATGTCGGAACTAGCCGCCTTACCTAAGTTCCCCTGAGATACCTGCCTGGCGATGCACAAGCCGTTGGATGCCACGTGACAGTACCAAACGAATTAGGTAGATTCTTGTTCTATTAACTGCTCTACTCCGTACCTTTGCACAATGGTTATATTAGTTTGATTTGAATATTCCCCTATAGGCGTTTTGACCATGGCTTAGGCCTGGCTTCACCTGGCATGCCATAAATATGCGTAGGAACTCAATATTTATACGTCCTTAATTCGAGCGTCTGCATTTAAAAGAACTATAGTCAACACGCCATAGCGCCATGTATGATCCTTAATATGTACACAGACCACCCTTGCTGAGACTACCCCAGCCCTGAAGGGCGAATGGGTGTAGTGGGGACGAGTACGATGAAATGAAATGAACTACAGAAGGCCTCAACGGAAAGCAAACCCGTTCCCGTTCGATTCTAGCAGGCACATCCATCTCTGTCGTTCTCGATGTGGATATTGATCGGGTCTGAAAAATCCCCACTAAATTCCTCTGATTCTTCCTGCATAAGAGCATTTCTTGCGATGACTAGCCCTATTATCAGCATGGAGACTCTAGAAACACGAAGGTCATGATGTAATTAACGTACCTTCGAATGCCTGTTCTACGTTAATAGCTTCTTTGGCGCTAGTCTCAAAATAAGGGATCCCCCCTTTTGATTGACAGAAAGTCATCGCACGCTTCGAGGATATCTAGAGTATTTGATTAGAATATATCTCCTATTATGGCCAGTCTTGTAACTTGCCACCCGCTTATTCTCCTCCACATCAATCTTGTTGCCAAGTACAACCTATGTAAGTAATAAGCACCATCAATTCGTAGGGCATAGCTTAGAACTCACAAATGGGAAGTTATCTGGGTCTCTCGGCGACGCTTGAATCAAAAACTCGTCTCTCCAGCTATCCAGTGTGTCGAAACTCTTTGAGTTGTTCACATCGTAAACGAGAACACAGCAATCAGCCCCTCTATAGAAGGCTACTCCTAGCGATTGGAATCGTTCCTGTCCTGCAGTATCCCAAAGCTAGATACCGGTCAACTACACTATGCGATACATCGAGGCATACATAACAGGCTCCTGGCTTACCTGCATCGTCACCAACCGGTCGTCAACCAGCACCTCTTTCGTTAGGAAATCCGCTCCGATGGTCGCTTTGTAACTCGCGCTGAACTTCTTGTTGACCTAGAAGGTAATCAGCCCTCTGTATCCCACCACCCAACCAAGCTGACGGCATGCTGTGAGGAATGACCGAGATTCGACGTACATATTGATTCATCAAACTCGTTTTGCCAACACCGCTATCGCCCAAAATTATAACCTGGCAGCCGCTAGTTAGCATGGGAGATCCACAAGCTCAAGAGACGCATAGAATGAGGGAGAAACATACCTTTAATAGGACCTTCTTCCTGGAAGCCATGGTAGCGGGAAGTTAGAGAGGGGCTGTAGACGCTGGAAGATATGATCTGCGATACCGATGTTGGGACGTCGTGAGGTCGCAATTTCGCACGTCGAAGTACAGTATACCGGACTTCAATGAGCGTCGCTATGAATGTATTGGGATCCGATAGCAAATACTCCTTCGGTCTGTTGTATCATGTATCGGAGTATGATGTTGTCTTGTGATAGTGATACAAGGTACCTGTAGGCTCCATTTGCCACAGCAATGGGGAGCTCCATCTTAGCGCGGGCTGAGCTTCACCAAGGTTCATCAGGCTAGTCGCAAACATCACCTGCAGCTATCGCTCCTCCTGCTCAGCCCCACAACCTCGTAGTCACTGTGCATCCTGGTAGCGGTCTCTACAGCAATGTAGTGTATCGTCTACACTCTGCGATATATACCATGGCGTCCTGGCGGGAGGAGTATATACAGGCTCTCCAGGAACGAGACGAGCGTGAAAAGGCTAGCTATCAACGAATCGACGACGAACTTATCAACGCCTGTAAGCTCCTTCTGAACCGCTTTCCCGATATGCCCGCTGACATATGGCAAAGTTGCAGATTTACTCGCCCGTACATCAGCCCTCGAAGCAGAGAAAGCTGCCAATGATCCCGCTCAAGACTCCAAGTCTCCGGGCTCTGCCATCCCCACCGCTGCAGCAGAGGGCTCCGCCCAGGAAAAGAGTCACTTGGCTGGAGCTCTACGACAAAATGGACAGTTGCAGTCCCGCATCAAGCTGGCTGAAGCGGAATTGGTCAAGCTGAGGACCAAGACTAGGACTGATGCAAAGCTCATTGAGAGCCTTTCTAGGGAGCGGGCAAGTCTAAGTCAGAAGGTTAAGGATAGAGACGAGGAGTTGCGGGGTAAAGCGAAATTACTGGATGTGAGTAGGATAAGTCCCCAGTAGGGCTTGTGGGATATTGCTGATATACAGAAGGATGTCCACGACGAGGTTATATCGTTGAATCTGCAGCTCAATATGTCTGAGAAGAACGTCAAGAAACTCAAGACAGAGAATAAGGAACTTATCGACCGATGGATGATTCATAAGGGTCGAGAAGCAGAGGCGATGAATAACACGCTGCATGATCAATCAGAGGGACGATAAACTCTGGTTTCATAACTGCGTTGCTGGGGTATATCTATACCTGGGAGAGGTATAGTCTCGGTAAGTATTCTATCTTATACAATTTCCGCTGATCATTCCTCATTACTCTTCATATCCAGTCAATCCGATCCCGCGTTAGCCAACTTACAGGTCCAACAGGTCTAACCAAACGTCGACTATCTACGCTCAGAAAACTTCCTAAGCCTGGTGGCATCTTTCGTGGCGATAAAATAACTCCCTCCGGCGTCCGTCCAGCTTACGGACTTGGCGTAGTATCGACCAGCCTTGACATCGAGGACATTGACGGGGTTCGAGATATTCCGGGGCGTGATCTGATGGCCATGCGGCACAAAAGATTTCAGCGAAATAATCTTGCAACCATCCTTTAGGTCGAGGAAGAGATCGATGAGCTTCTGGTTCAAATCCGACGTGAAGGCTTGGTTGTTAACGAGGATTACGTCGGCACGTTTCATTATCCCCTTGATTTTCTCGTTTTCCAGAAAATCTCCACGTTCAAGATGCACTTCTCCGGTCTCGATTCCCCAAAGCCGGCAGCGAGCAGAGAATTCCTTGTGTTGAGCATCCGCCAACTTGCAAGCGTTCTCCATCATTTCGCAACCCCAACTCTCGGACCCGAATTCTAGAGCAGCCTGCAACACCACACTGCCAACGCCCGAGCCAAGATCGACAAAGGTCTGGTTCGACTGGAGCCCAGTCTCAGCAAGCACACTGGATATCAACGAGGGTAGCAGCTCGCCGTAGACATTGTCGGATCCATTCTGATACCTCCTTAATATATCGACTTTCGGGGAAACCGCACGGTCATAGACCTGCCTCAGTATCAAGCGAACCATGTCGAAAGGAAGATGATGCCTATCATCGAGATTTCTTGCGAGGGCCCCGTCCTTCCTGAGGGTTTCGATCTGTGAATTATATCTGTCGACGGCAATTTTAAACCCGTTCAGTAATTCTTTGTTGAGGGTATCTTTTGATAACAAATTTTTGGCTTTCTCAAGTTGTCGAATGAATCCCTGATTTGGGTCTAGGAATGGTTCCGCTTGCTCCTTGGTTAGATAGACATCGGTGACGATCTTAGCAACGTCGAGGATCTCCTGTGTAGAGTCTATCTTGTCTTTTCCGAAATGAAGATCGTATCTGCTAATGTCAGCTACCCCGCCTATATAGCACGTAAGGAACAGAGTCTCAATACCTTTCCCGCTGAGAAGAAGCACTTGGATACTTCAACTCTACGATGATGTCCTCCGCCACTGTTCTTGACCCTTTCCCACTAACGGCGATGTCAGCCGCATGGATCATGCTGAACACTCCGTCGTCATCCTCGGAAAAGCCCTTCTCGGAGCGTAACCGCCTGTTGAGATCCACAGCCCGCTTCGACGACTTATGTCTCTTATTCACCGTTTCTTCTCCAGAAGTCGTTTCGTCATCGTCGCTATCGTCCCATTGTATTGGCTTGTTACTCGGGCTCTTCTGTCGTACAGCTTTGCGCTTCGGGGGTTGTAGCCGGCTCGAGGAATCGTAGTCTTCTGAGGGTGGGGTCGCAGTACACGACTTCGCACGCGAAATCGAAGGCGATGCGCGCGCTGAGGAATCTCGAGAGCGGGGACTTTGTTGATGTCTCAAGGTGGACGCAAGTTTGGAAGGGAGCGGCTCCGGCTTCTTCGCGACCGGTTCGCGCTGGATTCTGATTTTGGCGGGTACCGGCTTGATGGCGGACTTGGACTTGTTACCCCAGAGGGACGCCATAGCAGTCGAAAGGAAATAAGTAATACAAGCAAAAGCTACAAAGTAATGAATGTGAGGTGCAAGTATGCTTTGTTTAGGTTGAAAGATAGACCTAAAATACTGAGGCGGAGTGAGACTGTAGCCTCGCATGCGCCCACTCACTCGTATGTGCATCTCAGCGCCTCGTGACCCGAACCGCTAGTGGCAAATACAACTTGCAACTTCTGACACCAGCCAACCAGCCAACCAGACGCCTGGCCTCACCTCAGTTAAATAGGGGTATCATTTCTTCATTCTTTCCGTAAAAAATCTAGTTCTCAACGCCAACCGATTCAGCTCTTTAACCTGTATAGCTCACCATGACTCATATGACCTCCAACCCAAGCGCCACTAAAATCCCCTTCCAGTCATCATAATTTTGACCGCACAGCCTCCAACCGGTATTTCACATCTTTAAGTACTTTAGTTGCCGGTTTCCAGTCGTCAAATTCCTTTAAAAGCTCCGTGGTTTCTGCACTAAGCTCGGTCTTCACAAAATCCTCTTCAAGTAAACCACGCATAATCCATGGAAGGACATACGGATTTGACGTGTTCGGTATTTCATACTTCTTTAGCTCGAGAGGGATATCACCAACGGACGTGGTTTCTAGAGCGAACTCAACCGCAACACTGTGGTGCTTAGCGTAAGAAACAGAAAATGGATCTCTAAACTCACTCATATATGTTTCCGTCGTCATAAAGTCTAGAATGGCCCTCTCCGGTATACAAACTGCCAGCCAGTGGCGCCGATAGTTCGCGAATAAGGCCATGATCAGAGACTCCAAGATTCCGCAGTTTGAGAGCAAATCCCACAAGGTGAGAGAGACTGTAATAAAAAGTTAGGTTATATCCTTGCGCTCAAAGGGGGAGTATATACGTACAAATCAGGCGCATGTATGCGGCCATCGACAAAAACTGCTCTGTAGATGTATGGGTGGCTCGCTGTGGAGAAGATAGACGACTGTAGAGCGATTAGTTTAAAGTAAGTAGTGATAAGGTCTGGGATGTACGAACTTCCATCGAGATTAGTTGATCATCAATTGAACCACAATACGTGACCCTAACACCATATTTAACAGCAACCCGAAGAGAATCCTCGTATCTCTTAGATACAGTACTCTCGGGATCCGCAAATTCGAAGAGCTCGCCTGCGGATCCGCTGAACAGCCTGGACTTGTAGTCCGCGAAAGGCCCTAGAGATACTCCAGCTAAGATCGGGCATGCCCGTCAGCAGGGTTCATGCAAGACAAGGAGGGAAATTTAATATCTCAAATTGGAGCGCAGAGTGCATAACTTACCCATCGCACATACGCCAATCCGCCCCGTAGTCACGACCCCGAATTCGATGAGCTTAGCCACAAGCATTAGAGCGACCGGAACTCCCTGCGAATGGCACGCAACTAGGATGAAATCGGCTTTGCGAACATGGTCTATCCAATTTAAAAGGAGTTTCCAGAGGTTATCAGCTCGATCGGCAATCTTCCCTTCTCCTTCAAGGGCTACTTTTTCAATCTCACAGTCGAGGGAGCCATGGGCATCTGTCCAGCGTCTGATTGCGTCTGCTGCTTTATTTGCAAAGCGAACCGAGGTTCCCGTAGGCTGTCCCATGACTGTCCGGAGTAAAGGAGCTGGGAATAGGCCATGAATGCTTCCATTGCATGATTAAATTAGTCCATGATACGAAGGTACAATAGCCAAAACGAAGGTGTGCTGTACTCACCCGATAGCCAGAGCCTTTTTAATCATTGGCGGTTCCTTGACTAGAAATACATGTTTGGCAGGCGGTTGCTGGGCATGAAGGAGGAGGCGTGCAATCTGTTGTAGAATTGAGGGGTTCTCAACTAATCTGTATGTTTGTTTTACGGATGGTATCAAAAGGTTAGGTGGTACTTTCTTGGCTACTGTTGGAGGAGTCTGAACAGCAGCACTAGAAGCTGAGGCGGCTTGAGTTGACGGGCGTAAGCTCTCGATGGTTTCAGTAGATTGGGGTCGACGGCGTTTACCAGATTTGTCAATTTTGGGTTCCTTTGGTGTCACAGCTTTCGCAGGTTCGGGGTTTTTCTGCGATGGTTCCCCCGAGACTGCAACCTGGCCAACATCTTGCAGATTTCCACCAGCAGGCCCAGCTTTTTTAGATGTGTCAGTCGACCAGAATGCCCAACTACTAGATTCTGCTACCGGTTCAGGGTTTTGTTTTGGGGCTGGTGCATCTTCCATAACGGTATCGACGTCAGCCTCCGTCGTCTTTACAAGCACTTTTGGCTCAGGCTCCTCTGTAGCAGTTGACGGCGCCGCAGTTGACCATAGCCCAAACCAAGAAGTTGAGCCTGCGGTTATTGAAGCTGGCTTTTCTTCGGTTGCTGTAGCTGGGAGCGGTTCCTGCGGCTGTGGCTGTGGCTCTACAACTCCTTGTAGCTCGGCCTGCTTTGATAGCTCTGGAGTCTCTGGCGTTTGTGCTCCATTTTCTGCAAGATTTTGAGGTTGCGCCTTGGGCGTGCTGAGCCATCCTCCAAGCCAACCAGAAGCGGTGGCAGGTCTTTCGGCGGTTTCACTGCCGGGTGGAAGTTCCACTTGAGTGGAAGGTCCTTCTATCAATTTCTTGGGTTCTGCTGTGGGTTCATCCGCGGGAGCGGAGGAACCATTCTCTTCGACGCCCTTATCATCTTTGGTCATGGAGTTACTGGTTTTGTTGTCTGTATTTAACGGCGATTCTCCTTCTAATGTGCTAGACATAGTCACTTCGGAGGTTTCCTTGCTCTTCCCAAGGTACATAGAAGGGGGCCTTTCGGTTTTCGGAACAGGAGGTTTCTTCGGTTCGAATCGATTTAAATCGGCTGAAGTCGAGCCGTTCGTTGGCTTGTCGGCCAGGATCGTCTCCCTAGCAATCTGCGTAGAAGCCGTGGATTTTCGAGGCCATGTCCCATACCAACTAGCCTTTTGCTTCAACTTCTTGGTCTATGTTAGCCCACTGAGGTGAATGATATGCTGCCACAATAACGAACCTGCTCAGGTGTGCCCCCCTCAGCCGCCTTCATCACGCCGGAAACACCAGACTTGATGCTGCTGTTGCTCGCATTTTCAGAACGGTCGGTAGCAATAGGAGGCGAGACCGTAGATGTGGTTGTAGCTGTTGGCTTCACCGTCGCAGAGCGGGCCTCTGGCTGGTGCTTCGTGGCCGCCTTACTTGGGTCTTGCCCTTGTCCTTTGGAAGGATTAGGTTTGGGCCGCTTGTGTGGTGAACCCATTAAAAAAGGATATGAAAGTATGAATTCAGAGCAGCGGCAGATGTAGATATTGTGAATAAATAGCATGTGTCCGCTCAGAGCTTGTAAGGCGGCGCATGCGAGAGGTAACAATAATAATGAGCATGGCAGGTGGACGATGTCATTACAGTTGTTGAGCCGGAGCCTGAGCCTAGGCTTACGGAGTAGCCTTGAGCCTTGAGCGCCCCGCGACAAGGCATGTGGTACCTTGGTACCTTGATACCTTGATACCTTGATGCCTAATAAGATACTATAAGGTGCCTTAGGCAGCAACTGTACAGAGTATCGTTCTGTCTACGGAGGTACAAAGGTACAAATGTGCCTTACATAAGTTGTCAACTTGAAGGTGCTGTGGCCCGCCGTAACTCCCCACGGACCACGGCGCCCGAACCCCTGCAATTGCAATGCGGGCAGATTGCGCCCGCCGTAACAAAAAAAAAGTTCACTGTGCAAAGCTTCGTTCTTGGCACAGGGAAGATAATTGATCAAATACCCCTCCACACACATTTGTCGTTTTATACTTGGTTTCTTTCCCCGGGTCCTTATTGACTGGCCCCTTTTACAAAATGGCGCCCGTCGAGAAGAAACGTAAGACGGCACCGACCAACGACTCATTTGCTCGGTCCCGGAATCCTCCAACTAAAGAGAATGAGAGCCGGCCAGCAAAGAGACCAAGACAGGAGGAAGGGCAGAGAAATGGCAGCGCACGTACGAAGATATCTCAAGTCCGCGAAGAGGAGGCAGCATTTCCCAGAGGAGGCGCAAGTCTTTTGACTCCATTGGAGCACAAACAAATTCAGATTGAGGCGACGCAAGATGTGCTATTCGAGCAGCAAGGGAAGTCGCGCCGGCCAGATGCAGATGGTGAAGACGTCGATATGGATGGGCCAACAGCAAAGAAAGCAAAATCTAAGGGAAAAGGCAAGAAAACCGGTAAAGAGCCTGGGCCTGAGGAGCCCAGCGTCAAGATCGAAAGTTTGAGTTACAAGGTATTTCTCCCATCGTGCTCTATAAGTTCTGTAGCTCACAATGCATAGCGAATAGTTCCCGGCTCCATAATCCTCGGCCAGGTCTGCCAGATCACTGATCACGATATTGCCCTCGCTCTGCCAAACAATTTGACGGGATATGTGCCCATTACGTCGATCTCCGATAAAATCACAGAGAGGATCGAGGAGATTGCCGCGGCTGAAGAACTGGACGATGACGAACAAAATGCTCCTAAAGACATCGAGCTTGCAAAACTCTTCTCAATTGGCCAATATCTCCGAGCGTACGTTGTTTCTACCAGCGATGATGCGACTACTCCCTCTTCCGTCAAAACCAAGCGACATATCGAGCTATCCCTCCGACCGCAACAAGCAAATAATGCCCTAAGCGCTCAAAATATTGTCCCCCACAGTATGGTGATGGCTTCTGTTGTGAGCGTGGAGGATCACGGTCTAATCATGGATATTGGCATAAACGACACCAATGTCCGAGGTTTCATGTCATCGAAGGAAATCCCCCACGGAGCTGAGATATCTAGTATTGAGGAAGGCACTGTTTTCCTGTGCATGGTAACTGGACTCAGCTCCAGCGGCAAAATCATCAAATTATCTGCCGACATGCAGAAGGTAGCGAACCCTAAGAAGTTGAGCTATCTTACTGAAGGACCTACCGTGGACGCCTTCCTTCCGGGAACTGCTGTTGAACTCCTGGTGGCAGATATTACCTCAAGAGGTATTGCAGGGAAAGTCATGGGCATGGTTGATGTGACAGCAGATATGGTGCATTCTAGTGCTGGTCCTTCCGGCAAAGACTTGGAAAAGAAGTATAAACTAGGTTCGAAAATAAGAGCCAGAATAATATGCACATTTCCTGCAGCCGACCCTCCAAAGCTGGGTATCTCGGTGCTAGATCACGTCATGGCGCTTACGCCCCAGCAGGCGCTAGAAGATGGCAACAAAAAGCTACCTCTAGATGTGTTACCATTATCTACAGTCGTAGAAAGTGTTACGGTTCGAAAGGTCGAATCTGCGCTTGGGCTGTTTGTGGACGTTGGGGTCAAGGGGGTCCCAGGATTTGTACACATCTCGAGAGTAAAGGATGGCAAGATCGAGACGCTCTCAGAGACATCTGGCCCCTATAAAGTAGGCTCAGCTCACCGCGGCAGAGTTATCGGCTACAACCCAATTGATGGAACATACCTTCTATCTCTGGAGTTGAGCATTATTGAACAGCCCTTCTTGCGTATCGAAGACCTCACGATCGGCGAGGTAGTTAAAGGGAAAGTCGAGAAGATCATTGTGAACGCAGGTGGCGTGGGTGGTCTACTGGTCAACCTTGCCGAAGGAATTACTGGGCTGGTTCCAGAAATCCACATGGCAGATGTTAAGTTACTGCATCCTGAGAAGAAATTCAAAGAGGGCATGGCTGTGACTGCGCGTGTTCTGTCAACGGATCCAAACAAACGGCAGATACGACTCAGTCTTAAGAAGAGCTTGGTTAATTCGGAAGCACCCCCCTTTCTCGCCTATGAGGATATAGCCATCGGTATGCAGGGGCCTGGTACTATCATCAACATTCTTCCCACTGGGGCTGTCGTTCAGTTTTATGGCATGGTGCGAGGATTCTTGCCTGTGGCTGAAATGAGCGAAGCATACATCCAGGATCCGAGTCAGCATTTCCGAGTTGGTCAAGTTGTCAACGTCCACGTATTGAAGGTCGACCCTGAAGCAAAGAAACTGGTCGTATCGTGCAAAGACCCTTCGGCATTCGGGCTTGCTCAGCAAACAGCACTGAAACAACTAGAAGTTGGCCAAATCGTTTCTGCCCTCGTCACAGAGAAATCGGATGATGATGTCTCTGTGGAGATTGAGGGGACTGGCTTGCGTGCTGTGCTTTCGGCCGTGCATCTCACCGATGGCTCTTCATCTAAGAATGCTTCGGCATTGAAGAAAATACGTGTTGGTCAAACCTTGAAAGATCTTGCGGTGCTTGAGAAGCTCGAATCCAAACGTCTGATCGTTCTAACTAACAAGCCAAGCCTTGTAAAGGAGGCGAAGGGTAACACTCTGTTACGAAGCTTCGAGGATGTGAGAGAGAATAAGGTTGTCCGTGGTTTCGTTAAGAATGTGACTCTAACGGCAGTTTTCGTGCAATTTGGTGGTGCTCTGGTAGGCTTACTTCCGAGGAGCAAATTACCAGAGGATATCGCATCTCTCCCGGACTTTGGGATGAAGAAATTCCAGCCCATAGAAGTGAAGATCATCTCGATGAATCATGAGAGGCGAACGTTTGTACTGTCTATGGTTGACGGGAAACAAGGATCACAGCTTTCTACTAGCGATGCCACCGAAGATACCCAGGAGGTGATCAATCCGGTCGATGATACTCTCTTCTCCATTAATGATCTCGCCATTGGGAGGTTAACAAAGGCCAGAGTTTCGTCTGTCAAACAAACCCAAATCAACGTTCAACTTGCGGATAACGTACAGGGCCGCATAGATGTCTCTCAAGTTTTTGATTCATGGGACCAGATCACAGATAAGAAGCAGCCGTTGAAGGGTTTCTCTTCAAAGCAAGTCATTGATGTCTGTGTCATTGGGACGCACGATGCCCGGAACCACCGTTTCCTACCGATCACTCATAGGGCTGGGAAATCCTTGGTTTTCGAATTGTCTGCCAAGCCGAGTGACCAGGACGACAAACTTCAAGAGCCACTTACTCTCGACAAGGTCAAAGTCGGCTCATCTTGGATTGCATACGTCAACAATATGACAGATGCCTGTGCATGGGTAAATCTTTCCCCAAATGTTCGTGGGCGTATCAATGCCTTCGATATGTCAGATGACGTCTCTGTATTAAAGGACCTGGAAAATAATTTCCCTGTGGGATCAGCTATCAGAGTCCGAGTTGCCGATGTCGACGTTTCCAAAAATCGACTGGATTTAACTGCCCGTTCCACCGAGGCATCAGAGCGTCTAACGCTTCAAACACTAAGCAAGGGGATGGTACTACCAGGAAAGGTGACCAAAATCAATGAAAGGCAAATCATCGTCCATCTTAGTGACGAAGTTTGTGGCGTTGTCTATCTCACGGATATGGCAGATGACTTCGCTCAGGCTGACCCGACAAAATACTCCAAGAATGACATTGTTCGAGCTTGTGTGATCGGAGTAGACGTTCCAAATAAAAGAGTCAGATTGTCGACAAGACCTTCAAGGGTGCTGAATTCTTCGCTCGCCGTTCAAGACCCAGAATTATCTTCAATTACAGATGTCAAGCTCAACGATATCGTCCGAGGATTCGTCAAGGCTGTTACCGACAAGGGGTTGTTTGTAAATCTTGGTGGAGATCTTACAGGATACGCAAGGGTATCTGACCTTTCCGACTCCTACATCAAAGACTGGAAGTCAGAGTTCCAAGTCGATCAGCTAGTGAAGGGAAAGGTAACAACAATCGACTCTCGTCAAAATCATATTCAGATAAGCCTGAAATCCTCGGTTCTTGATAAAGACTACGTTGCCCCTCTAAAATTCGACGATCTCGAAGTTGGCCAAATTGTCACTGGCAAGATCCGGAAAGTTGAAGACTTTGGGGTCTTTATTGTTATCGACAACTCCTCCAATGTCAGTGGCTTATGCCATCAAAGCGAGATGGCCGAAAAGCGCGTCAACAACGTCAAAAAGCTCTACGACGAAGGTGACTCCGTAAAAGCTGTGGTATTGAAGCTTGACGCTGAAAGAAAGCGGATCAGCTTTGGCCTAAAAGCATCATACTTCGAAGATGGCGTGGACGAATCAGAAGGCGATGATGATGACATGAGTGATGGGCAAGGTGCCAAGCTCGTTGGCTCTGATGAAGAAGACGAGGAGGATGTAGACCAATCATCAGATGATGAGGCTGGAGGTATCGACCTTGAAGATGTTGAGAGCATCGATGATGAGAATGAACGAAATTTCGATGAACAACTTGATGTCGTCATGGCAGACGTCGAAGAAACCAGCGATGTCCCTGCTCTTAACGCAGGTGGGTTTGATTGGAGCGGCAACACTCTTGATCGCGTTGATGATCTCTCCGATGCTAGCTCAGACGCCGAAAATGCGGATGAGAAGCCTAAAAAGAAGAAGCGGAGGAAAGCCGAAATCAAGATTGACCGCACTGGTGATCTTGACGCACATGGCCCTCAGTCCGTGGGTGATTTCGAACGCCTTCTCCTCGGGCAACCTGATTCTTCAAACCTCTGGATTGAGTATATGGCTTTCCAAATGCAGGTTGGCGAACTCAGCAAGGCTAGAGATGTCGCGGAACGTGCCATAAAGACCATAAACATCCGCGAAGAGACTGAGAAGATGAATGTTTGGATTGCGCTTCTCAATCTGGAAAATGCCTATGGAAGTGACGAAACTGTCGAGGAGGTCTTCAAACGGGCTTGCCAGTATAATGATCCCCAAGAGATCCATGAGAGGTTGGCAAGCATTTATATCCAATCTAACAAACATGAGGTAAGTCCAAGTCATCAGTAAATTTATTCTTGGTGCTAATAAACTCTACAGAAAGCCGATCAGCTCTTCCAGACCATCATCAAAAAGTTCTCGCAGTCGCCAACAGTCTGGTACAATTATGCTCATTTCCTACAAACCAGTCAATCTGATCCAGACCGCGCACGAGCTCTCCTCCCTCGAGCAACGCAGTCACTACCACCACATACACATCTCAACCTAACTCTTAAGTTCGCTGCCCTTGAATTTCATTCCGAGGCTGGATCTCCTGAGCGCGGACGTACCATGTTCGAAGGTCTGCTCTCAACTTTCCCCAAACGTCTAGACATATGGAATCAGCTTCTAGACCTCGAGATCCAGCAAGGCGATAAGGATATAATTCGCGGAGTGTTCGAGCGCGTGGTTAAAACCAAGGGTCTGAAGCCTAAAGGGGCTAAGGCTTGGTTCAAACGCTGGTCTGAGTGGGAGACAGAGAATGGGGATGCTAAGAGTCAAGAGAGAATCAAGGCGAAGGCTGAGGAGTGGGTTAAAGCTGCTACACAGAAGAAAGCTAGCGGTGCTGGAGATAACGAGTAGTGAGAGGCATTTCGAGAAGCATGGTTGGCTTTGACTGTCTGGCGTACTGGAGATTTTGAAACGTAAAAGTTTGTAGACTCCATGATGATATGATCACATGAAGCGGTAGTAAATTCTCATAGTTGGGTAGCTGGCAATAGCATTAAACAAAAAATGAATAGTTCTATTGAATGTAACATGATGGTTCTAAAAGTGTCAAAATACCACTTTATAAACAGACTGGGAAAATCAAAGTAGATGTTTCACCCCGACTGAAACATTTACACAGATTAGATTATTGACACTAACTAAAACACTGACACCTACTGGAACATTCACATCAACTAAGATGTTGATAGCTACTAAAACAATCACATTCACTGGGACATTTATATCATCCGATATAATAGATGGATGTTATTAGCTGCTGGGATTACCGTTACATGTGTCATTACATTGACAGGTGTCATTGCCCTTACTAGTGTCACTAAACTACCTTCTCACACTACAGTTTTACTTCATAGTATGACCAATGGTCTGCGACATGTACACGACATAAATGTGCGTGTCAACCTCTCACGAACTAATCCTTTAGCATGTTGCATTGTCCACAAGCGAACAATAGTCAAATGGATCATCAAGGCCATGTGTGCAGAATTGTTTGCTCGTCGGTTCGCCGCGCAATTAGACACGAAGAAAATCCGAAAACCCACATGCTACAAGATTATGTAAAACGGAAAGTTATGTCATGGTATTTTAGACAACAAGGAAATCTGCATGGTACTAGATCATATAAAAGAGAAAGCTATGCGCCGTAATGTTCGTCTTGTCTGTATCAAATTCCCCAAATATCAGATATGCAGGTAATTATAAATGAATATGCTGCTAATGTGGAATGTTGAGTTTTGAGTTTGATTTCGATATATACATATGTTACAGTAGATAAAGGACTACCTGGAATCGTTCGTCCCATTAGGTCGAGGCGTACTGCCAGGCATTTCGCGCTTCTCGGACTGAAGAGCCTCTATACTCTCATCAATCAACGCTATTTCTGCATTGACACGGAGTAACTTCTCGCGCATCATGTCTCCATACTCAGCATCTGAGAGCTGTTTAACTGGACTCCACTTCGAATTCATCCATGAATACTTCTCCTGGCCGACCGAAGCGTTTTCGGCAGCGAGTGTCTTTCTGGCATCCATAGCATTGTAGACATATTGGCCAATGCCACCAATCGCCGTAAATATTATAGCTCCAGGCACGATATTCTTTCGCCCACCTGTTGAATCATGTTAGAAAGAAACACAGTGCACGGGGTCGTACTAACGTAAGAAGCCCCCCATAGTTCCAGCAATCCCCCCAGAAAAAGCGCTGACAGAAACTTTTTCTCGCGGCGTTATCTTGCCGCCATCCCAAGAACTAAGCAAACATCCCCTTGCAGCTAAGTAGCAGATATTAGCATTCCATGTCACAGTGACGGGAAGGGTAGACCAAACTCCAAAACGTGCTGCCGAGAGTAAACCATTGGACACCTGATGCCAATGCAAAAAGCATAGGTGTATTCGAAACCACAACTCCCGCGAATCCACCAATAATCACACCGGACATACCTGTAAAGAATATGTTAGCATTAGGTGGATTCAGAGAATTGCATGTCACGTGGATGAACAAAGAAAACTCGGGTGACATGAGAGAAAGGGAATAGAGAAACATACCTGCAAGGCCACCGAGTTGGAGGGCAGGGCCGATGATATCTATGATTTCGGGGGGGAAACCATTCTTGCGTGGAGACGGATTGGGGCCTCCTCCCGTAACAGTGGAAGTTCCCATTTCGGGATCACGCATATAGTCCTTGATGTTTTCGGGATTGCACCCAATTGACTTAATTCCAGACTGCAAACATCGGTCTGTACGTGAATTGGAAGCGGCAATTTTGTTCTATGACGATAAATCCGAGATGAAGTTGACCAAGAAGTCGAAATCGAAGTCGAAGTCACAACTCTTCCGGCAAAGTCGAGGCGAGGCTGGCACGTGACAACCCAACTCGAACACGAAGGCTATATCGGGTTAGCCTCGAAAATGTATTAGCATCCATGCCAACCTGGTCCCAAACTAGGCAAAAAAGTAAATCAACGCACTCAAATCTTGTGAAGTCTATCTCCCATCCGCCCGACCATCGACAACGACGACGGCGGCAACACTCCAATCAAGTTCACCGGACTCGATACCTTGCACGTACAATACCAGCGACTACGCTCCGAAGGACTAACATCCGTCGCTCTACCTCACCTTTAAGGATAAAGCGCAAGGCCAGGAGTCCTGCGCATCGTCCCTAAAAACCCGCAAACATGGGTAAGCCTGTGCTAGAAGCGTTCCTCGATCTATAACCGCAGGTCAAGAGCGCCTCGGATATGTTGCGAACGAAATGTTTTGGATATGTTGCTGATCATGTGTATGCGCAGCTCCCAAAAAGAAAGAGCAGCAGAAGATGTCCCTCGGGGCCTTCTTGACTGATGAGAGTAAGAACATGGTCAATCATCGCCTATGAGAATAGGACACTGACAAGTTGCAGAGATGGGATCATGGGCTGATGAGATGGAGGACATGCCAGTTTGTAAGTACACGCCCCTATTCCAAATGACATTGCTAACATATATTCGCACTAGCCGGTATGATTTCCGCTTGCCCTATATCTTGAGATCTATATATGCACTCTCCGATAGAATACTTACTCTTCCAGACTCTAGAACTGGCTATGGGTCAGAAAGACGCACTTATAATTCCAACACTGGCACTTATGGAGGTGCTTCCATGGGAGGTGAGTTTGGGTCGATTCTACGGCTTCCAAGGTATCCGGCTAATCATCTTAACATAGGATACTCCGTCCGTGAGGAACTTCCGCTTCCCGATAAGCCACCTTATACCGTCCATTTGGGCAATCTGTCTTTCGATGCCACTGTTGGCGATGTCACCGACTTCTTTGCTGACTGCGAATGCACAAATGTCCGAATCATCGAAGACAAACTTGAGATGAAACCCAAGGGATTTGGCTATGCGGAGTTTGGCACTTTGGATGGATTGAAGCAGGCCTTGACTCTCAATGGCTCCCAGTTCCAAGGACGCAATATCAGAATCAGCGTTGCAGATCCACGTATGTACCTGAATCCAACCCCGCTAGCTCTGACTGACGTATATTTCTCCCACAGCAAAGGACAGAGACCGCCCGGATGCGCGAGTAATTACTGATTGGAGCAGAAAGGGCCCATTGCCAGATCTGCCAAACCGTGGTGGTGCTGGCGGTGGCCGTCGAGAGTCAGAACGTGATTTTGGGTCTGACTTTGGTGACCGTAAAGAACGATTTCCAGAAGGTGACGGCAAGGTTCGTGACTTCGGAAACTGGGAGCGTAAAGGTCCATTGTCCCCCATGCCGCAGCCAGATCGTGGTCTAAGGGAAGGTGGCCGTCCACGAGACGACGGACCCCGACCCGAGGGCTTCATGGAGCGAAAGGCTTCCCCTGCCGCATGGGGCGAAGGTCGTCCACAAGGCTCCCAGGATGGTTCCAGGCCACCAAGACGCGAGTTCCAGGAGAGGCCAGCAGTCGACCGTGCTCCTACCGCTGCGGAACAGGATAGCCAGTGGCGAACAAAGATGCGTCCTGACGCCCCAGCAGCAAAGTCCCCGGTACCTTCTCGCGATGGTAGCGAGGCACCTTCCTCACCTGCTGCTACACCTGCTACCTTGGCCGCACCAGGAGGCCGACCCAAACTGAACCTTGCCAAGCGGACAGTCTCCGAGGCTCAAGATCTGCCATCTCCAGCTTCGGCATCCGGGGATGCCAAATCCAGCCCATTTGGTGCTGCTCGCCCCATTGATACTGCTGCTAAGGAGCGGGAAATTGAAGAGAAGCGATTGGCTGTACTTCGGGAGAAGAAGGAAGCCGATGAGAAGGCCAAGCAGGAGCAGAAGGAAGCTGCTAAAGCCAAGGCTGAAGCAGAAAAGCAAGAGAGCGCTGAAGCAGCCGAAAAAGTTGAGCAGAAAGCCGAAGGCGACGAAGCAGCGACTGTCGAGAAGGAGGATCAGAATGGAACTGTCACTGACGACAAGGCCGTGAAACCAAATACGATTGTTCGAGATGCGAAGCCTGCCAGATTAGCAGATACCGGCACCTGGAGACGAGCATCTGGAGGACCCCCAACTCCTCGCGATGATATCCCGCGCGGCCCCAGAGGTAGAGGAGGCGCCAGAGGCAGGGGTGATGGTCGCGGGCCAAGAAATTATGATGACAGGCCAGCAAGGCAAAACACGAATGGAGGAGCCTCACCCGCAAGTCCCGCCCAGCCACCTGCTGACTCCGAAACTGCAGCTCTTGAGGGAGATGGCTGGAGCACCGTCTCCAAGCCAAAGAAGGGCGGTCGTGGAGGCAACCAAGCCGCCCGCGCAATTGCGTCTTGAGTATTGGTACTTGTACCCAATTCGTCCCCGAATCAGGTGGTAGTAAAGACCAAGGAAGTTGGTTAATGCGCTGCCAGCACTGGCGTTCTCAGGTACAGTAAAGTGAGCTCCTCGATAGCACTCGGATTATCACCTCTCTGCTTCTCGGCGACTTTCTTTTGGCGTTTGGATCTTATCAAAATGTGTCTAGATCTCTATGCCGATATCCTGGCTCGCTATTGGCTACGGACGACCTGCAACACAACCGGACTGTCTGCACTTAGATTGCATATGGGCGGCCCTTGGCGAAAACTTTTCCTTCAACCCTTGTCTGGCATGTTATAGGTCATGTCTCCTGGCGTGGCCACAGATCGTCTGTCTGGCATGTAACGACCTAGCTGTTGTTTTACGTCTCTGGGTGGCGAGTATCAGGTGGGATCTCTATCGAAAGTACTTGGCCATTCATAAGATGCATGCAATATTTGCCTTAAGCGATCTCTGTTCATTTTCTTCCTGCGAAGCGGCTGCTAGTCACTATGGCGTAGAAAGCGGATGGAGGGCTTGCCGTGCATGCTTGGTTGTACAGTAATTTTACATGTTTTTGTCATAGCAAAATCAATCATTGACAATATCTGTGTGTTTGATCTGTTGATGTGGCAATATGTTTTGAGGCCATCCCCAGTGCTATTATGGGGGTTTGCACCGGGCCTTCCCACGGTAATTTTTGGCTCTAGTCCTAATGTCCCACTATGTGTCCGTACTCGACTCATAACCATTCCTGTCTAGAGGGTGATGAGTTCTAAGCATATTCTTCAGGAGCGAGATTCTCATCCACAGTGATTAGATAATGCCACATCTCTAGCAAAACAACTGAGTGGGTAAAAGCTCCCGCCAAAATCCATATCATGCCTAGATACAATTTTTATTAGTGATTTTCACTCGGGCAGGGCCAAGATTATGCTCACCAGTAATTCACTGCACAGCAGATACCTTCTTCATTACAAGACTGCGAGACTTTGTGATACCTGCGTAACGATCAATACCATGCAGAAAGCAAACAATGGAACAATACTTACCAGAGAGCAGGCAAGTACAACATATCCCCACCATTCAACACAAACCTCATAGGTCTGGCATACTTCTCATACTTCGTCTCTGCTCCACCTCCATCAGGATCCCAAGTTGCAAAAGGGACCTTTTCGCCCTCCTCTCTTGAAATTTCCAACCTTCCGCTTCCATCGCCAGCCCTAACATATGAAGCAGGCGTCAATTCCCGCTCAGCAACACAAGCATAGGCCAAAGGCGGCAGCAGAACAAAATGTTTCTTCCCTAGGACTTGAACATATATGTTCTCATAATTGTCCTTGTGCAGTGCTGTCACAGAATGCGAGTTTCCGATCCAGAGATTGATAGCTTCAGGATGCTGCTGGAGCGCTATACGAGCCCAGGGGATGTCTTTTTCTACATCTGAGAAGAGAGGGGCATATTCGTTGCGGAGATTGTCGTTTTCTATATTTTGAGGTTTGGGAGTTAATGGTCTTTCTTCGGACTCGACAGGCGAGGAAAAGGAAAAGGGGGGGTTTATACGTGTTTGTGCGTATCTTATTTCTTCCCCTTCGTTCCTGCGGATACCGCTCTTCTCCTGTCTCGTAACGAAATCTATGAATTCTCCAAAGTCCTGCTCCTCTACGTGGGGTTTGGCAAATATCAGGTTCCCCTCCTCGTCCGTGGTGGGAGAATCCGCATTGCTATTACCAAGAAATAATAAGCTTTTGTGCACCTCTCTTCTCACCTTACTGCAGTAGAAAGTATAAAATTCCAAGGGTGTTTATGCCCACACATTTCCTCCACTATCTAGCCCGAGAAATTGTGACTTACATACCCCTTGGGCGTGACAGCAACTTCCACCGTTGCGTCACCCATCCGCTCCTTTAGCCTCGCAACATTCCATATTTTTGCCGCAGTCCAGGTAGATGCGCCACCACGAACGATGAATGGTCTGTTGCGGGACACAAAACGCATGAACTCTAGCGGGGACGGGGTGAAGGTCAGCTCATCGATGTTGCTGCTGTTGAGGTCGTTGTAGGTTGTCAGCATGCTGGTTATTGCGTCCGTGGCCCCGGCCTTAGGTGCCGATGATCTAGGATCCATTTTCAAGGATGTAATTCATACAAGATGAGAAAAATACCGAGTGGTAGGACGTGACCGTAGCACCAAGAAATCGGGTGTGTCTATTTTGGGAAATATATTTTCATGATATTTGCACTCGTATTGTGGATAATCCCGATCCTCCAGTTACCCAATAAGGCAGGTTCTGGGTACACGTATGCAAAAAGTCAATAATAAACATCAATACTCCCGTATCTGCAATGCAAATAATGGGTCCAAGCGAACAAAACTATCGCCAATCTCGGCTTAGCGGCTAAAACGAGAGACGTCCTATCTTTATGCTCCAATTTCTAGCCGCTCTGTCTTATTGGTAGATGTTCCATCCCCTTTTTTTTACTTTCCCTCTTCCTGTCCAGTGTCGGCTCTTGAAATCTCGACTTCTCACTACGCAAGCCATGGGTCACTTGGCTTCCTTGGCATTGGCTTTGGCTAGTGATGCCGTATCTGTGAAGCTTTGGATTCGATGATTTCGCAGCGGACGGACTGGTTTATACGTAACGGTTTCAATGTTTCTCAATCAAGTGCTACGTACCTCTCTTCGCCTAGGTCCCAAGACGGAGAGTCGTTTGGATGCGATTATTGATTCTATCGGTACTCGAGCTCTCTCGACCCGTTCTGTTGAAACCGATTACACGTCCGGACTCCGAGCTATCGATCGATAAGGCTTGTAGCCCAGGAGTGCGTCTCCAGGATTGACCGTTTCTTGGATCCGAAATAGAAATCGGACGCCCCAAGGGCCCACGGTGGGGAGTACTTGACGATACCTCCGTAAGTACTTCGTCGTTAGGGGTACAATATTACCGGCGGTCGGACAGTTAGCAGTCATTTATCATTATCTATCGTCGAGTTCTCCGAGTAAGCAAGCTAAGGAAGCTTCTCCCAAACTCGATCCGCAGGTCTGCAGAATACGAAATGCAGATAATTCGGACCACGGGTTTGCCCCACTGGCTGCCAACGCTATCAACTACCGTAAGTTCTAACATCGAGCCAACACGCAACATCCACATGTCGTGCTGCCCCTGTCCAGGTCTCCGGATACGAAGGACCAGGCGTCTTGCCCCTGCATCCTCTGTCCAGTCCCAGCGGTCTCCCACAAACTCCTCTGCTGTGGATCTTGCGGCTGAGACCGTCGACCGCACGTTCATGAAAATCAATAATGATAAATAAGTGATCTTGTGCTTCCTTTGTTCTAGTTCCGTTCCGTTTCTCTGCTTTGCTTTCCGACTGCGAGCGCAGCGCAGCCAGCCATTCGTTTAAACCAGTGCTTATTCTTAAGAGTTTCCAACCTGTGATTTCGAATCTCGACTTTTCGAGTTTGAGTCCTCTAATTTTTTTTAATCATGAAGCTGCATTTCAATACCGTATTAGGATGCATAGTTGGGTTCTTGAGCGTGGGTTCGGCTGCGCCAACGTGGCCAGCGGCGATCGACGAGTTGGAAGATGTGATGTTTCTAAACACGGGATACAAGAGTAGAGGATTCTCGTCCCATATTACACCCTGCTCCTTTTCGGAATTTGGACCGGGACGACAGACTGCAGCAGAATGGCTCCGGATCGGTTTCCACGACATGTCCACCACGAATATTTTCTTTGAGCCGCATGGAGGGATCGATGGGTCGATTGCATTTGAGTTGCAAAATGGAGAGAACATTGGTGCCGGCTTCGAGACGAGCCTCAATACATACTCGAGTTTCTTCAACTCCCGATTATCTGTCTCGGATATGATAGCTCTGGGTGTCTATGCATCGGTTCGAGGTTGCGGTGGGCCCGTTGTGCCCATGCGTGGTGGAAGAGTAGATGCTACTGCTGCTGGCCCGATGGGAGTCCCTCAGCCACAGAATGCACAGGGGATTTTTGTCAATCAGTTCGCGAGGATGGGCTTCAACTCAGTAGACATGATACAAATGACGGCTTGTGGACATACTTTGGGAGGCGTGCATGCTGGCAACTTCCCTAACATCGTGACACCAGGAACTGCGCCAGATGATTATCACCTATTTGACACGACCCTCGAATTCGATAACAACGTTGCAGTACAGTACGTCAACGGTCAAACTACCAACCCGCTCGTCGTTGGGCCGTCTGTGGCAAGCACCAGAAACTCAGACTTTGTTGTCTTTAACACTGATAAGAATGTGACGATCAAGACTATGACAAATGCGCAGACATTCCAAAGTGTGTGTTCTTCTATCCTACAACGAATGATCGAGACGGTACCTCCAACTGTCCCCTTATCGGATATCATACAACCGTATGAGGTTAAACCAGCCGGTTTGCAACTTACCTTGCTATCTGGAGGGACGCAGATTCAGTTTTCTGGGGATATTCGGGTTCGAACAACGGTTCGAAGCGCCTCACAGATTGCCACTGTACAGCTTACCTATAAGGACAGGACTGGTGGAAGCGCTTGCGGAAGCTGTAGTATTACTACATCCGTGAGCGGCACGGCGAATGGATTCGATGACAGCTTTTCGGTACGTCTTGAGTCCCTATCAAATATTTCTGGATCCTAACAATACTCCCAGTTCTATTCTTTCAGCTCAAACCTACCTGCTACCTCCTCGATATCGTCCTTCACTGTGGTAATCACTGGTACCGACGGAACCACCGAGACGTATGACAATAACGCTAGCGGGTTTCCCATTCAGGATTCGGTTATCGCGCTTGCTCCCCAGAGTTGCCTTAGCAATGGAAACCTCACAGTCTTTGCTGCAGTAAGCCCTCTCAAATCAGATTCCTCTTGGGCGGAAGTTGTATATTGATATTTGATAGGTCCATACTAGTGTCACCACCCCTGTGAGTGTGTCCATTACACAGAAAGTACCAAGGGCTGCAGGAACACCAGTCCCTGCGCTAGTAAGCTCGAGTGTTGCTATGATTAAAAGATCCACTGTTGGGCAATACGATATCTACAGTGCTAGCTACACTATTTCTTCGGCTACTGGTACCAAGTATGGAGTATCGAGCGGCTCGTTCACCGACGACTTCAAGGACGCGACCAGCCTAGGAAGTACATGTGCTCCTTTGGGCACGGCAGTTCCAAGCAGCAGCTCCTCTTCTAGTTCAGCCACCTCAACAAGCAGTTCCTCTTCTAGTACTGCGGAGTCTAGCAGTAGCACATCGAGCTCCCTCACATCCAGTAGCACTTCAACGTCTGCTACATCGACCCCAACGCTTGGAGTGAAACCCACAATTGGCGCATATACCTTCCAAGGATGCTACACAGAAGGGACGGGCGTCAGAGCTCTCTCAGGAGCATCCTTTTACAGCTATCCCGATATGACTCTTGAGATGTGTGCAACTAATTGTGCCGGATTTACGTACTGGGGCGTCGAGTATGGTGGAGAATGTAAGTTTATTAATTCCGCACTTACCACCCAGATATCCAGCCCGTTAACCCTTTGTAACAGGTTACTGTGGGAATACACTTGATGCAACATCCACCATGGCTGCTCTTAATGATTGCAACTTCATCTGCCCAGGAAACAGCTACGAGTATTGTGGCGCAGGCAACAGACTGGAGTTATATAAACTCACCAGTGCCATATCGAGTACTAGTAGCATTTCTTCGAGCACCAAATCTTCGTCATCTAGTACCGCCCCGACAAGCTCGTCGAGCTCGACATCACCTACTGAACCCCCAACTACATCAACGTCTTCTAGCTCGGTATCCTCCACAGAGGTATCGACATCCTCCTCGACAAGCCCCTCCGCATCACCTACCCTTCATATTGTTCCATCAGCCGGTCCTTACAAGTACCTAGGGTGCTATACTGAAGGCGAAGGAGTCCGAGCCCTTGGCTCCGCATCATACCCGTCAGACACGCAAACAATTGAGGCCTGTGCCGCGGCCTGCGCCCCTTATAAATATGCAGGTGCCGAATATGGACGCGAGTGTTGGTGCGCGGATTCCTTTGGTGCTGGGTCGGTTCTTGTACCGGATAGTGATTGCTCAATGACTTGTGCTGGCAGTCAGTACGAGTACTGTGGAGCAGGAAACAGATTGACTGTTTACGTTATGAATGGCACAGATACGACAGGTCCTTTGTCCAGCACCAGCAGGTCAGTATTACCAATTTCAGCAACTTGAACAACATCGTCGACTAGCCTCAAATCCTCTTCCATACCTTTATCTTCATCTTGGACGCCGACAACAAAGTCTGGAAGCTCCTTATCCTTTAAATATATACCACCATTATCTCTAGAATTTCCAATTTAAGCTTAGGACCGTCAACTTTTGGCTTACCAAAATCTAGTTCAACTACTCGCTCAACAACTAGTTCAAGCAAAACTACATCTCCTACCGTCGGCAGCAGCACAGCGACACCGTCCTCCTCATCAACCCTCACAACCAGCACGAAATCATCTTCGTCGGCAGTGTCCACGCAAACAGCTGCAGCCATAAAACAAAACATCGGAGACTATACCTATTACGGTTGTCAAACTGAAGGAACGGGCGTCCGAGCACTTTCTGGCGCGGCATCTTTCAACTACACTTCGATGACCCTCGAGATGTGTGCAGAAAGCTGTGCAGGATATAAATACTGGGGCGTGGAATACGGAGGAGAGTGCTATTGTGGCAATACCTTCAATACTGGAAGCGCGGCCGCACCGGAAGGTGATAAAGGATGCAGCTTCCTGTGTCCAGGAGATAAACTTGAGTACTGTGGAGCCGGGAATAGATTGAGTGCTTATGTTTTAAATGCATAGTGGGTTGGGTTAAATAATAAGAGGATGGATTGTATATAATGGGTTTGATAGGATTGGCAATTGAGTATTGTTTAATACTGTATGAGATTCGTGGAGGTAGAAATATATATGCTAAAAGCTTTATAATGATAGTACTTGGGATGATGACTCGGATGGGAACTAGGTAGGGGCATAGCTACCTTTAGTATTGATAGGCACTGTACACTAAGGGAATCTAGGATACATAGCATGAGCAACATATTTTAGGGCACTCACTTAGGCATACTAGGGAATAGCAGTGTTATAGATTATTCTTGTTCTTTCTGTTAAGGTCTGCATCCTGTAATTGAAATTAAGGGAAATAGGAGGGTTTTTTGTAATCCCCTCCACGGCGTCAAACAGAATCATCAAATCTTTCACACTACGCCGGAGATCTGCTCCGAGAACCCAATCAAACAGCACACGCCACTTCTCACGAACATATATTCAGGGTCCCAACATTATCTCCAAATGCCATTTATTCAATCGGTAGTTGGCAATTGGCTAAAGGGGGTGTATGATTGGGCCGGTGATCTGCCGACGACGTAACCTTAAATGCTACTGGTACTTCGTCATCCATTTCTAACTCTCCGACAAAACCGTTGGCCAAAACCATAAACAGTAACACGGCAATACGTCAACATCACGGTTGAATGCTACGGTGATGCCTCAAACCTTCGCAAATCCGACCAACGTCATTCAGCGGGGTACGGATGTGTAAGGTAGGTGCATTCTCTTATAATTTGATTAATTCTCCCTATCATGGGGTTTCCCTTTATAATCGATACCGCGATCCCTCTCTCGCAGTCCTTGTCCATATCTGTCTCTTGACTCTTTGTCACCTACGTTTATTCATCCAATATGCAAAAAGCCGTTGCTGGTACAGTGCAGAGAGCCGGTGAGGCAGTGGCTGGTGGTGCCATGGCGACGAACAAGAAGGTCCAAAACATGAAGCCGGAGACATTCGATCCCAGTGAATCGGACCGCATTACCAGTGATTTTGGGGTGTTGCAGCATAACACCGATGTTTGGCTTAAGGCTTCGACTGGCGATAAACAGGGTCCAGCGTTGTTGGAGGATAACTTTGCAAGGGAGAAGGTACGTCAGCATTGTTTCTCGGTATTGGGATTCTACTTATAACTACGGCAGATTATGAGATTTGACCATGAACGCATCCCAGAACGAGTTGTCCATGCTCGTGGATCGGGAGCTTTTGGCACGTTCAAGTTGTATGAGAGCGCCGAGGATGTTACCAGTGCTGGTGTTCTCACCGACACATCGCGGACTACGCCAGTTTTCGTCCGATTCTCGACCGTTTTAGGATCTAGGGGTAGCTCTGACACCGTTCGGGATGTTCGAGGCTTTGCCGTTAAATTATATACGGAGGAAGGTAATTGGGACATTGTTGGAAATGATATACCGGTTTTCTTCATCCAGGATGCTATTAAATTTCCAGATGTCATCCACGCAGGCAGTATGTTCTATTCCATCATAGGTCGAGACTTATTGGCTAACACATTTAGAACCTGAACCCCAAACAGAGATACCGCAGGCTCAGTCCGCCCATAATAACTTCTGGGACTTCCAATACATGCATAAGGAGGCCACTCACATGTTCATGTGGGCGATGAGCGATCGTGGGATCCCACGATCTTTCCGCATGATGCAAGGATTTGGTGTCAATACTTTCACCCTCATTAACAAGGAAGGTGTTCGGTCTTTCGTGAAATTCCACTGGACTCCTACCATTGGTGTCCATTCTTTGGTCTGGGACGAGGCTCTCAAGATCTCTGGACAGGATCCAGATTACCACCGCAGGGATCTCTATACCGCGATCGAGAATGGTGTTTACCCAACCTGGAAGTTTGGGATCCAGATTTGTCCCGAATCTCGTGCCGATGAGTTCGACTTTGATATCCTTGATGCTACCAAGATCTGGCCTGAGGAGGTTTTCCCCGTGCGCTATATTGGAGAGATGGAACTAAACAGGAACGTTGACGAGTTCTTCCCCCAGATTGAACAAGTAGCATTCTGTACCGCTCATATTGTACCTGGTAAAGTCCGCCTCTGCTATTTTCCACATACGCAGCGTCTAACAAACTCTAGGGATCGGGTTTTCTGATGATCCTCTTCTCCAAGGCCGCAACTTTTCGTACTTTGATACTCAGATCTCCCGGTTAGGTGTAAACTTCCAAGAACTGCCTGTCAACCGCCCCGTCTGTCCCGTAATGAACCACCACCGAGACGGAGCGCTCCGTCACCGAATCACCAAAGGCCAATTCAACTACTGGCCAAATCGTGGATCCGTGGTCCCACCTGGAACCATCTCAGAAGGCGCATACGTCGACTATCCCCAGAAGGTCGTGGCCATGAAGCAGCGCCTCAACTCGGTCAAATTCTCAGAGCATGTAAACCAAGCCCAACTCTTCTGGAACTCGATGGCTCCACATGAGAAACTACACATCATCAAGGCACTTAGTTTTGAGCTATCCAAGTGCGAGGACCCGATCGTATACGAGCGCCTAGTCGAGCGTCTCGCCGAGATCAGTCTGGAGCTCGCCCAAGCCGTATCAGATAAAGTCGGCGCTCCGAAACCAGAGCAAGAATCCCGTCCCAACCATGGCAAGAAATCCGCGGCCCTGTCACAAGGGCATTTTGCACCAGAAGCACTTGGTTACCAACCCACGATTGCATCACGCATGGTCGCCATCATCGTCGGTGACGGCTTCAACTTCGCTGAATACGAAGCTGTGAAGGGTGCTCTTAGTGCAGCTAATGCATTCTGCTTCACCATCGGCCCACGCAAATCTGAAATCAAGAGCTCAGGCAAGAGCGTCAAACCAGATCACCACTTTGAAAGCATGAGGAGCACGCTCTTCGACTCTATATATATCCCTGGCGGAGAGCATATTACCACGCTCATCAAACAAGGCCGCGTACTTCATTGGATCCGCGAAGCCTTTGGGCACTGCAAGACCATTGGCGCTTCTGGAGATGGTGTCAAGATCGTAAAAGCTGCCATTGGGATTGAGGGTATGCGGTTTAGTGAAAGTGGGGATGGAGAGGTTGTGGACTGCTATGGTGTTGTTACATCGGCGGGAGGGAAGATCAGTGTAGGCAACGCTTTGAAGATGGCTAAGGGGGCGAAAAGCTTTTTGGATGCTTATGCGTATAATATTTCTCTGCATAGGAATTACCAGCGTGAGTTGGATGGTTTGACCGAATTGGTTGCTTATTAGGATTGGATTGTTAAGTAACTAGGTAGTCAAAAGTCTTTCAGTAAAAATATTTAAGGCCTTAAGCACTTTGGATTCAATAGCATCGTACTCGGTAGTTGCGCATGTAATCGTAGAAGAATGGCTTTATTTAGTTGAGTTGGTTATCAAAACTCGGATCTAATTTTATCTGGTATTCTAAAGTATCCTGGTCTAATTCTAGATAGACCTTCCACGGATGACCTCAATCTATAATAAAAAGGGAAGTGGTATTTATCTCATGAAACATATTGAATTCTTATTCCTTACTCCGAACAACCTTAGGTCAATGCCGCTCGCTATACAATAGACGCTTAAAACACATAATGTAACCCAATCACCACACTCTCTACCACTCATTCACACATGCCCTTTAACAGTCATCGTCATCGTACCCTTCTCTCACATCGGCCCACCCACACCCCCACCGTTTTCCCTCGGCCTCTCCCCCAGTCCTTAAATCCCTCGCATCCTCATCCTCCCTCCAAACCCTAACAAAGTAATCATCACCAACAGTAACAAGTTCCCCGTTCGAGGTCCAAGTCAAAGACCCAACTTCCCGATCATGGCCCCTAATTAGCGCAGTTCCGTTGGTAGAGATCGGTATAGAATCATCCTGCCTGCTTCCAAGGGTGCTACCGCATCTTCTTAATGCAGGGCGCTGGGGAATCATAGGAGAGCTGCATAGTTCGTCGCTTTGAGGATGGGAGGGCCGTGGCTTGGGGAAATATCGTTCGTCGGTGGGGAATAGTATCGCTGAACCATCACTACTTCCCACAGCCAACACTTCGCTGTGGCCGTTCCTTGCCTTTCGAATAGCAGACTTGACGTAAAAGGATGTGGCGTGGAATTTGGGATGGCGAAATCCATATAATGGGCCCAATCCTTCCTGCGTAGCTCGTTGCCCGCCTCGTCTCTCATTATCGATGGATAGCTCAGGTGCTTGACCGAGGATGAGATGAGCTGTGGAGTATGCGTAGACAGTGTTGTCCTTACACAGCGTATATAGCCTGCTGGAGTCGGTACTGAGGTTCATGGACGTGACCCCGAAATGCCGCCATTGGTTGTGCGATTGCGGTTTGCGTGTTGAGGAGAGCGGGATTTGTGACTTGCGCTTACTCTGCAAGCTGCGGATATCCCAGAGCTTAACAGAAGCGTCGGCCTCGGAAGCGGTGAGGAGAAGATGTTCTTGCCCCGGAGGTAGGAATGAGATTGCTGTTACGGAGACGTCGCCTACTCGACGAGATGCCTCGCCTCGCGATGGGGCGTCCATTGGAATGATAGCGGCTGCTTGATGTTGGTTGGAGGAAGGCTTATGGACATCATATATGCTATTAATGGGGCGACCGTAGAGCAATTTTTGTGTCTCAGACCGAGTCGTCGTTCGGTGTGGTTCAACGGGGGCCTGGATATGATTCACGGGACCATCGAGGCCTTTGCATCTTAAGTCCCATATCTGTACACTGCCATCCCTACTAGAAGTTGCAATTACGCTGTGGTTATTAGCACCAGGTTGGAATCGCACTTGTTTCAATGATGCGTAGTGGTTGCCGAGAACGGCGATGGTGGTTTGAGTTCTCATGTCCACCACCCTTGCAGTCGAGTCTCCCGAAGCTGTGGCTAAGAGAGTGTCGTCATCTGAAAATGTCATATCGATGATGGCGTTCGTGTGTACTCGGAATGAAAGATAGGATTCCGAGAACGGGGGATGGCTATTTCCGCCAGACTCTAGAAGTCGCACACGACCTTCTTCGTCGCCAATAGCAGTCAAGGTATTTGCTTCATAGAGTCAGTATACTGGACTTGTTGTAGATTGAAGAATGCTTACTATTACAACTCGTTGCACAAAATGGTATACAAAGAGCTGGTCCTTCGATACTAGTACAAGTGTGAACATCAGACGGTCTGCTGTAAAATTTCGACGTCTCGTCTTGCCAATCTGAAAGTGATTATCAGTATGCCTTCGGGCCAATGCAGTAGAGAGTATTAGTGACTGACCATTGACAGGATACTCATAGCGCTGCCGGGTACCTCGAGTTGAACTCCCAAAGCTCAATTGCAATAACCGGCCACTAAGTCCTCGGTCGATTAAGGGAGCAACTCGCTGTAATGGTTTCTGGGGTAAAACAGCATCATCCTCTTCATACTCCGTATCTTGCTCCTCATCACTGAAAGATATCATCTTTGAAGACGCTCGCACACAAGGTGAAGACCGTAAATTATGCGAATTGCCTTTCTCTTCCTCTACCTGCCGATCCTTGCCGATTGTGCCTTGCCTCTTCCTCGAACATGCGTGCTCCGGCGATGACTCGGGTGTATGGAACATCTTTCTTCTCTTCAGGTCTCTCGTAAATGGAGGGCTATTCTCATTGCCGGTGTCGGTTTCCTTAGCCCGCAATGGACTGGACTGGACTACATTACGGTTGTTGGCAGGGGCGGTGATATCGAAGAGGGCTTGACGGGCAGCACTAGTGTGCTGCGACCCGTGGGATCGAGGAGTGAAGAAGCGTCTGAACTTTCGAGGTGTTATTGAAGGATTAGCCTTTTCTTTTGTCCTCATCGACCTGCGTGTTGGTGTTGGCGGACATATTCTGGGAGGTGAGGATGGCGGATGGGCATATTGTGCAGCGGTGGGGGAGGTCGACATCTTGAAGCTGAGGAACGGTGAGGAAAGGCGAGTGGTGGTGCTGAGTACCAGTACCCGGCTGGAAGATCAAGAGTCGATATAAATATCAGAGGATTCCAGTTTTCCTTTTCCAAAAGTCGAATTGAAGGGAGGTTGGAGGCAACGGAGCATATCACGGACCGAGACGCCTGAAGTTCAGGTCGCGTCTCTCGTTACGCGTTGGGATTTGCGTGGCGTTAAGTGGAAGGGTCCTTATCGCCTATCTTAGTGGCTGGGCATGAAATTCCCTCCACTGCGAAACGAAAAATATTATCACGACCGACTCCGAGCTGCGACTGGAAGAGCGCAATATTCCCCCATTTCCTAACCCGCGCCACTCTCAAGCCCATATCCCTCGGCCATCATGGGTATTCAAAAGAAGCATGGCAAAGGTCGTCTCGACAAGTGGTATAAATTGGCCAAGGAGAAGGGATACAGAGCCAGAGCTGCGTTCAAACTGATCCAGCTGAATAAGAAGTATGGGTTCTTAGAAAAGAGCAAGGTCCTGCTGGATCTTTGCGCTGCTCCTGGAGTAAGTTACCGTTGTCCGGTCAGTCGCCTCTATCTAACAAGTGGCTAGTCGTGGTGTCAAGTTGCTGCGGAGACGATGCCAGTGAGCAGTCTAATTATCGGCGTGGATCTTTCCCCAATTAAACCAATCCCACGAGCTATAACCTTCCAAAGCGATATCACCACTGATAAATGTCGGGCTACGATTCGGCAACATCTAAAGACCTGGAAAGCGGATACCGTTCTTCACGATGGCGCTCCCAATGTGGGTACGGCCTGGGTGCAAGATTCTTTCAATCAGGCAGAATTGGTGTTGCAGGCAATGAAGCTGGCTACGGAATTTCTGGTCGAAGGAGGAACTTTTGTTACCAAGGTCTTCAGGTCGAAAGATTACAACAGTCTTCTCTGGGTCTTCAATCAGCTATTCACAAAGGTTGAAGCGACGAAGCCTCCATCGTCAAGAAACGTCTCCGCCGAGATCTTCGTCGTCTGTCGTGGATTCAAAGCGCCTAAAAAGATCGATCCCAAATTTCTGGATCCCAGATCCGTCTTTGCCGAGTTGTCGGACCCCACGCCTAACAATGAAGCAAAAGTGTACAATCCGGAGATTAAGAAGCGGAAGAGGGACGGTTACGAGGAAGGGAATTACACTCAATTCAAGGAAGTGACAGCTAGCGAATTCATCCAGACTATAGATCCTATAGAGATTCTTGGTAGCAAGAATAAGTTAAGTTTTGAACAACCACCAAATGGCGACGTCGCTCTGGCTGCTCTCGATAAATTGCCGGAGACGACACAAGAGATCCGTGACTGTTGTGCGGATCTCAAGGTGCTTGGAAGGAAGGAATTCAAAACTCTTTTGAAGTGGCGATTAAAAGTTCGGGAAAAGTTTGGCTTTGCTACAAAGAAGTCTGCCAAAGCTGCTGAGGACGAAGAGGTGGCTGATGTCGAGTCTATAGACGAGGAGTTGAAGATCCAGGAAGAATTACAGGCGCTGACCGACAAGGAAAAAGGCCGCAGGAAGCGTGAAAAGCGGAAGGAGAATGAGAAGAAGCAGAGGGAGATAATACGGATGCAACTCAACATGACTGTTCCCACGGAAATTGGTCTTGAGCAATCCAGTGGAGACCACACGATGTTTGCCTTAAAGCCGATCGACAAGACAGGCGCTGTGGACAAGATTGCAAAAGGCAAGATGGGTATCCTCAAGGAATCCGATCGCAAGGACGATGACGGGTTTGGATCTGGAGACACGGACGAGGAGAGTGATGAGGAGCAAGACCAGCTGGACAGAGAAATGGATTTTATGTATGAGCAATACCAGGACCGGAAATCTAGCTCCGATGCGAAGTTCCGCGCGAAGAAGGCACGAAAGGAGCACGAAGATGGCGATTGGGATGGCTTCTCGGCAGATGGCCATGGCAGTGACGACGGAGATAAGCTTGAGGAGGATTCTAGCGACGATTCGTCGGACGAGGAGATGCCTTCGAAACGCTCGTTATTGACAGATTTGCAACGCGCCGACAAAAAAGCTGGCGGTCTATCTAGACGTGCCACGCAATTCTTTGACCAAGATATCTTTAAGGATATAGGAGGGATACCTGAGGAAGCAGAGCCCGAGGACGAGTTGGAAGAAGGAGATGAAGAGATAGCTGAAGATCTTGAAGCTTTGGACTCGATGATGCAAAAGGACGTTGCCGAGGCAGAACCTGATTCCGAGTCTGACGTCCCGGACGCTGACGAAGCTGAGGAGGGTGAAAGCTCGGATGAGGACGAGGGTGGGTTTGAGGTTGTGAAGGCGGCCAAAGACACACAGTGGGAGGAGGAGCCTCGTAAAGATGGCAGATTAGGTACGTTTGATCCGATTCGTTGCACCCAGTCCAAACTAACATAATAACTAGACATCGACATTATAACGGCTGAAGCCATGACCCTCGCTCAGCAAATTGCCTCGGGCCAGAGGACCACTCAAGACCTCATCGACGAGGGTTTCAACAAATACACCTTCAAAGACCGTGACGGTCTTCCCGAGTGGTTCCTAGATGACGAGGGGCGTCACGACAAACCCCATCGCCCTATCAGCGCCGCGGGCGCAGCTGCCATTAAAGAGAAACTACGTGCTTTGAACGCCCGACCTATCAAGAAAGTACGTGAAGCCAAGGATAGGAAGAAGTTCAAGGCAGCACAGCGACTAGAGAAGATGCGGAAGAAGTCGGCGCTGCTACTAGACGATGAGGGCCTGAATGAGAAGGATAAGGCGTCAAGTATTGTGAAGTTGATGAAGGGGGCAACGAAGAAGAGGCCCAAACGGCAGGTTAGTGTCGTGGTTGCGCGTGGCGGCAATAGAGGTATTGCTGGAAGACCTAGGGGCGTTAAGGGGAAGTATAAGATTGTGGATGCTAGGTTGAAGAAGGATGTTAGGGGTGAGAAGAGGGCTGCGAAGAAGAGGAAGTGAGGGGTGCGTAACGTAACTGGGGAATAATGGGCGGCTACTTTCTGGCCGTCGAAATGTCGAGACGTACGATTCGGAAATGAATATGATACATACCAATAAATATTCCAATTTCTTGTTTTCCAAAACACCACCCTGCTCTACCCTTTGGGATTCTATTGAGCCTTCTATTAGGTGCGATGGCTTGGTAGAGGAAGCAGCTAATGCGCAAACAATGAGTAACAGAAAACATTAAATGTAAATGACATAATTCCTCCTTAGCACTGGATTTAGGAATTCCTAAGACCTCGTTATTCCAAACCCCATAGAACATTAATACAGCGTAGGCCACAATTATATAATTCATCCTTCGTTTAATAAACAACAAGAAGAATCATAAGGCATCTTCGTTCTTATATAAAGTACTAGCAAGTGGTATCTATAGACGGTAGAGATATGTCAAGACAACCGCTCCATCTCTCTAGCGAATTGGTGATGTTTCCACAAGCTGGTAAGGTCTCCTTTCAGGCATCGCTAGTAAATATATGTAGTCGGGCTCGATAAGTTTTTGTATTCAGAAAGCTTTGTCTCCGGTGCCTGTTGACGCATTGAATTATAAGGGTAAGGATAGAAGTGTCCCGTCACTAGAATCCCTGAAGTTACAATAATATCGTAGAGTCGGTTTTAAGGGGTTTAACGAAATCCTAACTTTAATAACCTAATCGAAATAGGAGTTGGTATAAGGGAGCCGGTAAGTCGTAGTTTAGTAGTTTAGTCGATGGGTTTCAACTGGTTAAGTAATTTATTCCTCGATGTGTCGGTAGGAACGGTGGGAGATATGTCAATGAATCGTAGAAGGAAACGACGAGATGAGAATCATGAAAACGAACTCTTGGCCAATGCCTGCAGAGGAGGGCAGGTGGTCATTATATAGACCACGGCAGCCAAAGGAGGTGCGCCCATGGATACATGCATGCCATATGCAGGTTGCCGTCGGCAGGGAGGCTGACTACATACCGTGAGACGATGCTATGGGGATGGAGCGTCGATGGGGGATCTTGAAGATATATGGAAGGCTAAATAATTGAAAGAGTAGATAATTCTTTAAGTTGTAGTATAAGGTAACTGGAAAGCAAAAGTTAAGGTCGTGTGATCTTGGTAGCTCCGAAGTAATGGATGGACATGTTAGTGATAGAAGCCATGATCGAGAGTAAAAATAAGTTGGGTAGTAAATGCCAATAAATACACTGCATTCTGCAAAGGGGAAGGAAGAATTCATAGGTACCTAGGTACTCATTGATACGCCGTGTGGTCAAGACTCAAGACCTACTGGTTCTATACTTACCATAAGGTAACAACACACATTTAAAAGCGAATGCAAAGAAACTAGCTATAGGAGACTACAAACAGAATAAGCCCAGTACTTGGCATGCGAGCCCTCCGTAAGGATTTGTACAGTACCTAAGGTACCTATACCCAGCAACCACGCGACGATCAGCGTCCATCCATGTAGCCATTTTATACCCCGTATAACTCAGTTAACACACCATCCAACAACGACGATCTATCTCCCCTTCCTCCCAGATATTAAAAAATTCCCCATTCCCCGCATTAACTAACTAACTAACTACATTATTCCATTATTCCATCCAGCTCCCCTAACTACCGACTCACCCCTCTCACTATAAAACAATTCCCTACGCATACTACCACTAACTTCGCACTACTACGTAGCACCACCAACAACCCAACGCGCCTCACCACTGCACCACCATCCCCTCTCATCCCTCGCTCACCCAGTCCATCCATTTAGCCTAATCCCCTCCCCCCTACAACCATCCCCTCATCTCAATCCCCCCGTCCCCCCCCCGTCCACTCCACCCCTCCGGCCCCAATTACCCGCCCAATATAATTTTCATTTTCCATGTTGGATATGTGTGTGGTGTGTGTTGTCGTTTATTTAGCATATTAAAAAAAAATGCTTGTGTTATATGCGGGGTGGTATATATGGCTGCACTCTGCGATAGTACTTTCCATGTACCCCGGATTCCAGCATTGCGGGTGCGGAAAAGTTTGTTTCGCCGAGGTTGTGTGGGGTATATAAGCTAGGGTTAGGTAGGCAATCCCACCCCCTGTTTTTGAGGACGGGACGGGATGGGATGGGGAATAATAAGCCACTACAGTGGCAGATTTAACTGATCTGGACTGGTGGGAGACTAAACTAACTTAACTGCCATTTCCATGCCGCCGTCCTGCATACGGGGTGTTATACGAGCAGAGGTACAGTACAGTGCCATCCACCGGCTCTTGAAAACCTTTTACTTGGCTACCTACCTACCGACCCGTTCTTCTCACAGTTAACAGCCACCTGAGACTCTCCGGTTCAAATTCCAACAAATTATTAGCCGCGAGGGGATCATTTATTTTGCATTTTTCAACTGGTTTTCTATAGGATTTGGCTGGTAATTCCGAGAAAAATGCCTTGCAAAACGGCTTTGCCATTCCATCAGTGCAACCCATGTCTGCCCTCACCCAGCGATCCCCGCTCAAAAAAAGTACCCGCCTCCTTCATCCCATGCCCTGTAGAAATAATAATTATCCCCGGAGCTAAGTAAAATAATGCAAAAAAAGTGTGGGCACACTAGGTTCAGACGCCAGTCCCTCCTGTTGTTTGGTAAAAAATGTTTTCTCGCCATGAGCTCCTTATGGTTGTGGGCCAAATAAAAATCAATGCCTTCTATGTGATGGAATTTGTGTACGGTGAATAGATAGATATAAAGCGATCCTCGAGAAATGCGTGCCACAGTTGGGCACATTAGATCTCGAGATATCGTGTATGGAAACGATGGTGGAACTTGGGAGCCGTTGTCTAGCTCCATCGTGCCGGAGAAGTTCCGAGGCGGCGTATGTAAGGTATGTAAGGTATATAGCGAATCCGTGACAAGGTAGTTTGCGGGGAATATGTGTGTATCGTTACGGTCATCAAGCATCCCGCTCGTGCGGCTGATGCGACGTAAAACCTCATGCGTGGAACACGAGGCTTGTGTTGGTAATTGACATTATGGGCGGCTCATAGGAAGCCTGATTCTGCCAAGACCCTAGGATCACACCAAACTGTGTAAGCACATTTCTTGCAGGGGACGGTGTCCAGTCAATGACTAGCAAGCTTTCCATTTCTCCGCGTGGTAACTATGACATGAGTGTGCCATAGTAGCCCACGCCAGGCTGCATTTTAACATACCTCACTATCTTTTCATCTTCTCGCTCACGTGGCTCTACTGTCAAGCTCCTCTCATACATCTCGTGCACATCCCCTGCCGCTTGCATATTGCTCAAAATATACTCCTGGAGCTCCACTACTGGTTGCAAGGGATAAGGTACGTTCTGGTACTGCTGGATATCGCGGATGACTTCAGCTGTCTTGGCCCGTTTGGCAAAGTTTATTAACGTCGACTTTTTGATGATGGATGGGATACCATCTTCGATGAATGTGAGATCCGTGAGATACACGCCTAATTCCATGAGTATTGAAGAGAGCAAAAGACATAAAAATAGAGAAGATGACGTACCAAAGAAGGGTATACATGGCGGGTTGGCCAGATGCAAGCTCTCTCTGTATTCACCAAAGTTCTTCGTGCTACCCATAAGCCGGCGCATGCCTTCGAGCACGGTAAGGGTCTTCTGAGGGACCAGGTCCCATGTCCGCTTTAGACGATGGATAGGCGCGGTACCCAAAGCAGAGATGATCGATGTCAACGTGGAGTAGTTGTTGAGTTGCCGGCATTTCTGTCCAATTAGTACCTAGCAAGGATTGGGAGGTTTAGGTAGCGGTCAGCAACTTACATCAGCTACTTGAACGAAATGTTTGACAACGACAACACGCTTCTTCACCTCCGCCTGAGTCAAAATCATCTCCGCCACCCAATTGGTCAATTGATTAGAGTGAAGGATGAGCGCCTTGACGTTTGGCGCCGGTTCTGGGTCACCCTCGCCGACCTTCTTTTGCCAAGTCTTGTTGAGACATTCTGTAGGCTTGATCTTCCCGTAAAGCTTTGACTCCACAATAGTCAGCTGGCGCGCAAATTCGGTTACATCAATATCCAGGAACTTCAACTTCTTCATGTTCTTGGGTATGATAGGTTGTGGAGCATTTTGGCTCAACGTCAAAACAAGTCGCTTTGCGGAGGGGTCTTGTCCGCGCAGCCGCTGCTCGAGAACCGTCATTAAGGGTCCAGATCCAGGAGTTTCGGTTGTCTTGACCGTGTCTCTGGCGAAGGCATAGACATCACGTATTAGAGACTTGGTATCGTCACTCTGGTCTTCCATCCAGAAGTTATCAAACCAACTCTTGAGGATATTGACCACCCGGAATCTGATGGGCTTCTGTTTGCGGTCTCTCCACATCTCATAATCCCCCTGGGCCATCCCTTCAGGTGGCTGGGTCTGGAATCTCCTGACAAGGTACTCAAAGAGCTCTCGAGCATTGGTGAAAGATCGATACGTTAAGAGGAAAGTGTTGTTGAAGCTCGAGTCAAGCTTATCGTGGCGAGTCAATTGCTCAACCAATGCCAATAATGTTCCCCCCTTCAATTGTGGAGGCTCGACCTTGGTGTCCCATGAGATGTCTTGCTCATGGTCAAGCTTGAGGAAATCGGGAGTCTCATCTGACCGTGGCTCTTCTCCAAAGAACTTCCGTACTTTTGAATTTTCGCCCTTGCGGAAATTCGCCGTTGGATCGCCCTCCGTGAAAGACTGTGATTGACCGATACCAGCCAGTCCAGGTCTCAAGACCTGATTGATTCGCGAGTCAGACCGTTGATGAGGACGCTCGTATATGGTGCTTTCCACTCTCCTTGGATCCCGCTGTAGACTATCTTCACGAGGGCGGACATGCCGGCTGTCCTGTTGCTGTATGGCCATTTGTACCTGTTCGCCCAATAGTTGAAGTGAAAAGCCAATATGCGAGGAGTTGGTCTCGAGCTGCTTGGCGCAATGTCGGACATAGTTAAGTCGACCTTCGAGCGAATCGCCACGAACCTCGGCCCACTCATCACCCAGTGGCCCTGCCACGACTTGACAACCTAAAACAAGATCTGACATATTGTCATACAAATTCTGCTTATACACCGCGAAGTCAACCAACTGCGGGTTTTGGAAGGCACTACCTAGTGATGATAGGCTGATGGATTCAATGGTTGAGACCCAAGGTCTGAACATTTCCAGAACCTTCTTGGCGGCAGAACACACGTTGTTCCCGATCAGCTCATGTCTATAAGGAGAGACGATTTGTTCCGTGACCACAAGATGTTCCTCCAGTTTCCGTATACTTGAAATTAGCATCCGCTTCAAATCGTCAATACGCTCCATTAGACCAGCATCAAGAGTGGCAGAAGGTTCAGCAAGCGCGTCCTCTTCGTCTAGGAAATTTGACGTCAGGGGATCCCGAGAACCAAGTCCATTATGCTGCCAACTACCCCCAGTTGTACTGCCAATGACGAATCCCGGTAGGAGGCGCGGTATATCTTCTCCTCGCTGTTGTCTTGCCACCTCCACATAACTGAATACTCCTTGCAGAACCCCGTCTGCCTCTTGGAGGCATTTCTGATACGATTCCGCATTTGGCCAGTCGGCGGCAGCAATATGGGAAGATATAACCAACTTGGAGAATTTTGACATCATATCCCGAAAATGGGGATATAGCGCCTTATTCGTCGATATGATAGAGGGCTGGCCGGAGTGGTTGTCCGTTGTTCCTGATCCTGCCGCGAGCAACAGCCGGAGGTGGTCTGAAATATCTTCGGCCCGACGCACATACTCTGACCGGTCGCCATTGATGATGGCTTCCCTATATCGGTCAATTGCCCTCTTCATCTTCGCTACCAATCTATTCCAAGTTAACGGGGAAGCAGCGCCATCGTCAAAGAATGACCGAGGGAGTGCCGCAGTATGTGGGGGGCTGAGTGCGGGGTTGGTGAAGGAAGTAGTGGAGGGGCCCATAATGGGCATCGAGGTTGAGAATGGGTCGGATCTTGATTTTGGCGATGGGTCATTGATTGAATCCATAGAAGTTGCGGGAGATACACCGTCGGAAACGAAAGAGCGTCGCTTTTTTTGCTGGTCTCTGGTCAGCAAGCAAAGTTAAAAAAGTGGGAGAGATTGAGAACTTACAAAAGCGCTCCGTGATGCAAGCATAAGAGACTCTCCTTCTAGCTCTGAAGCCGAATTTCCTTCCGAATCGTCATCTTCGTCTTGAATGTAGCCCCGAGCCATCATCTCTGGAGGTGGCCTGGTCTTCTCTGGAATATTAACATTCATCCGATTACGGGGTCCACTCTCAGTCGCCGACGATGGCGATTCAAGAGGAAGCTCCATGCTACTCTCGCCCGTCTCCGTATTAAAATAAAATAATCTTCCGTCGGGGGTGGCCTGGGGTATCCAGAAATCGGCCCTGGTCCGCTCACTTTTTGTTACCCCTTCGATGGGTAGCTGTGTAGTATCGCCCCGTTCCGAATCAGCGGCATCCTCCTCGTAATGCTCCTCCTCCTCCTCGGATTCCTCCTCATCATCGCCGGCATCGTCCTCGTCCGAATGCCCTCTTAAACCGTTTATATTGTCCTCCGCGGCATCATCCGGATTGGCGATCACCTGGCAGTAATTACTGGGGAACCAGCCTCGCACCCCGTTGATCACGCCGTCCCACCAGCCGCTTTCCAGCTGGGTGATGACCTGGATGACATCTCCTTCGTGAAAGCTCAAGCTCGTGCGATCATCGGCCTCGTAGTCGTACAGCGCCCGCACGTACATCACGGGCTGCGGCGCGTTCCCTAATAACGCATTCATCAGAGGCGGTGAACGGCGCCTTGCCGCCGGCTTGGACCGCTGGCCAGCTGCGGAGGCCTCGTCGGAGGAGGAGGAGGCGAAGTGGGTGTGCGATCGGCCAGGCGAAGGGGACCGCCGCGGATTCCTCTCGTTATTCTGTGCAGCTGCGTTGGTGGGTTGGCTGGTGCTGGGTTTGTAGTAGTTGCTGGATTGCGGGTTCCAACTTTGCATAGTCATAAGCATCGTGAACGTGGTGCGGTGCGGTGCGGTGGATTGGTGGATAGGTCTGCCTCGGACACCAGTATTATCGAAGCATTGTTCGCGGCGGGGAGGGTTTCGTGGAAATCGGAGGCGGTTCGTGGTGGTTCAACTTTCGTTCAACTGCTGGTTTCCGGTCAGGGCGCCGCTCGCAATGCGGTTGGGGGTGTAGCGAATGTATCGCAGAGTGGTATGGTATGGGACTGGGGATTATATTGGGGGATGGGGATGGGGATGGGGATGGGGATGCTGCCACTCACTCGTATGGAGGGGCAGGATAAAGGAGGGAGGGAGGAGCCTCTGGAGGTCCTAGGGAAAATGCTGGGGAGATTGGCGACGTGAGTGGTCGTTGGCGGGCGTTCTTTTCGGGCGGGTAATGTGCTAGCAGGCGCTTTAATTCGCTGGGGTTTCGGGGTTGTGACAGCACCGTGGGAGAAGACGGCGAGCTCAGAGACAGCGCGAGAGAGAGCGTGAGAGGCGCGAGAGGCTTTTGGACCGGCGGAGGAGACGAGGCAGCAGTTGCGGTAGCAGTAGCAGTAGCAGCAGCAGCAGCAACCGGATTCGAGTTGAGTCGAGTGGGTGGAGGCGAGGGGAAGGAGGGGGGAAAGTGAGTATGTGTCTGTGTATGTGTCTGTGCCTGTGTCTGTGTCTTGTCTGGCTTGCTCGGAGTGTGGGCGCCTCAATCAATGGCGTTGAGGATGATATGATGGGTTGACGAGCCAAAGCGTCTGAAGCCTGGAGGTTCTGCCTGGGGAATTGGCGGATGGGGCGAGTTGAAGCCTGGAGCCCGACGCCTGAAGCCTGAAGCCTGAAGCCTGGAGGACACGGACTACGGACCCGTGACTGGGGACGCCGAGCGGAAGGGAAAGGGGGAAGGGGAAAGGGAGCTAGGGACGAAGGTCGAAGATCGAAAGACGAGCACGTCGAATAATAGCAGGAACTTGAAGACGTAGTAAGGACGGAATCGTAGTACTGTAATCGGACGAGATTGCGAGGTATGATTTATGATTTATGATTCAATAATAATAAGAAGAAGAACAAGAAGAAGAAGGAAAGCGAAGAGGCGACCTGGGGGGCAACCGGGCACGGCGCAGAACCAACCCGGGTGGCGGTTGATAGGGACGAGAAAGTGGTTACCAATCGCTATCGATACGGGAGTGGTTGGAGGTTGGAGGAGGTTATACGGGAGTAGAGTACGAAGTAGTGGAGTAGTAGATAGAGTAGTACGGAGACAGATGGATACGAAGGGAGGGAGGGAGAGAGTCCGTAGTGCATATCAGAACTCAGAACACGAGCGAGAACAAGAGAATGTTTTCCGTGCTCGGGCGAGCAGCAGTTCATTATTACTATTCCTATACTACCATCGGCGTATTGGGGCGAGATGCTACTGTAGGCGGAGGAGGAGCAGGAGGGGGAGGGATTATTGATTATTGGGGCTCTGGTGGAGCAGAATCGAGGAAAGCAGTCGCTGTCAGTGGTACAAATAGGCCTCTGCCCAGCCTACAGCGTGTGTGGGACCCCCGCCCAGGAAACCCTAAAAGGCCCTAAAGGCCCTAAAGGCCCTGAGCGGCCTTCTTCTATTTCGAATTATTTCCAGCATCCAGTCCTTCGGAGTATCCACCAGCTCTGCCTCTTGCCTATTGCTTTCTCTCCTCTGTATTATTACCTATTAATTATTTGACTGCATGGCCCTGTTCCCAGAATGCTCCAACCCTCCAACCCTCCAACCTCGAACCACCAACTACAATTCCAACTCCTATCAGGCCATGGGGCCCACGGAACCTTTCACGGTTCGCCAAATGGCATATCCACATCCACATCCTCAGCACTGGTCAACAAGCTGTCAACCCCACAATCAGCTCGCCTAGTAATAGAGTCCTTCGTAACCGCACCGCCGAGGTCTAGCACCCGTCTCGCCACTCGCCCAGCTAAGTATCGGTCCCGGGGAATGGGAAATCCAGACTGCTACGAGGCGGCGAATGGCTGCCGCAGTGTACGCCATTATTATTTGGCGTCCAAAAGGTCTTGGGTGATTGTCATTATTATTACTGTTACTATTACCCCTTCGCCATGCATCGTCCGTGTGTCATGATGATTCCCACCGCCCAAGCATAGTCCCTCTCCCCCTGGGAACATCCTGTCGTCTCCGTTACTACTAGACCTATATTCTACATATAGGTGTACATACATATGTACCAACCTACAGTATGTATGTATGGCCCCCTGCAGACCCGCCAGTCCGATCACCCAATGTGGACGGCCAGTGGTAATTGCTGAAGATGATATATATATATATAAATCACCTACATATCTCGACATGTGTACAGTAGCTACACCCGCCGTGCCACCAGCCACTGCAGCTCAGCTCGACCGCTCTGGGTAGAATCCGAGCGTCCAAGACTCCAAGACCCTAAGACCTTGCCAGCTGGCAGGCCCAACCCCAGGCGGTATCTTTCCAGTTCCAGAGTTCACATCTGCCTCCCGCTGGCTGATATCTGTTTGATACATGATACCGAGCAAGTCTGACCTTACGTACGCTCTTTCGCACATGGTCCGTAAGCCACGGGACGGGCCAACCCGACCATCGAGGAATGCGCCAGATGTCTTGCAGCGGTGCAATCCGTCGACTTCCCGTTCGACGACCAAATCAGCGGAACCAGCGGGATAGCGAACACGCATGAGCATATGATGAAGGGGAGTAAGCATGGCAGCAATCCCAGTCAAGGAACCCCGCGCTAGATCCGACGATACTTACGAAGTATCTCAATCGGTTTGGGCCTATCGTATCTTCACAGTTCGCGCCATACCGAAGCATTTCAAATCCATTCAAGGCAAACGATCGTCAGCTTCTGACCTCAGCTGCGGCATGGGACATACATAGTCATACCCAAACTATGGAAGAGGGTTGCCATATACGTACATGGCGAGTACACAAATTCAGGCGAGCAGGGGAGTCCAAGAAACACAACGTTTCGTCATCTTCCTCCTCCTCGTCCACCACCACCAACGTTGCAAATACTGTAGCGGGAACCGTTTATACAGCTCTCAGCCACAAGTGTGCTACTTGCATGGCCTCTGCATTCGCATCTGCAGCAGCCACGCAGCGTATCGGGGAATTAAAAAATTCATTGCAGCAACTTTGCTGCTGCTGGCTACTCTGGGTGGAAAGAGGGCCGCTGAATATGCGGCCAGCAGTTCGAAGGAATATGCAGGCGATCTAGCTAGAGAGAAAGGATCTGTGGAGGGAAGGACGAAAGAAGCCCACACCCTCCGTCCCCTCACCCCCCAATACATCTCTCGTTACCGATAGCAGCGGACACACCCATTCCCATTTCCCATCCTTCAGCCTATTCATTGGCCGAGACTTAACCATGCTTATGGGCTCGCGCCGCCGGACCTCAATATAAATGCCCCAAACGGGAAAATCCCTCGAAATGGGATTTTTCTTTTGCATTTCTTTTTGGAATTCCCTCCCGGCATACCCGACGACCCACGGCTGGACCTTCTCCGCATTTTTGTCGTTCGATATTGAAAGGCAACCCCCCCTCTCCCCTTCCTTTTCCCCAGTCCCCAGCACTCTATCCTCACGTTGTTGTTATTTATTGCCTGCCCGCCCATGCGAACGCACATGGGTCTCTGACTTGTTGGATATATGAGATCAGCCCTGCACTGAAAAGGGGGCTTCTTAGTAAAGAGTAGCGACTGGTGGGCCCTGGTGGTGCTGGAGGTTGGTGTCAGAGTCAGTTGAGTGTGGGCAAGAAAATGTCCAGAAGAAGGCATTTGCGCCGTGTGCTTGTGTAACCCCAACTTATATTGCTAAGACTGTTTCTACCTAGGTCAGCAAAATGGATCATCAGGAATCCGAAAATACGTTTTTTTTTTCCTTCTTACTTTCGTGCCCAGTTGATCCTCCTCGTCCCCCCTTAAACCAAAATGAAACAAAACCAAGAAGAAAGAAAAAACGATCTTCCTATCAACCCGACAACCCGACTCATGCAATATATCAGATATAGTATACGATATGGCCCCCCAAGAACTTCCCACCCACTTCCCACCACCCGCCATAACGGGAACGCACTCCGTCCAGTCGGTCGGTCGGAAGCAACAAACCCAAAACAAAAAAAAATGGCTGCCACAGTCAAGGTCGGGCCGACTTTTTTTTTATATATCTACAGTATCTATCTATTTAATCGGGGGGTTTCTATTTCCATTTCGGCCGCTGCACCGAGAACGCGTTTTTATTGCTGCGCATACTCGGTCTGTCTCTTTGCCTTTTGTTGGTTGTATACAGACTATAGGTAACCTACCTTAGTTATGTACTGTATCTCTCCGGAGTCCTGCAGTTCATCGTGTAATGTACCTTGCCGTACTACACAACCTTTAGGTATATGGGTACATACGTAGGAAGGTTAATCTATATTATACTGGGAAACAGTCCCAATCTAGCAGTTTCTGATGTCTGTATAAATTAAAAAATCCCACCGGTTGGATTTTTGGTTTTGGTTGGGTGATTCGAGCCCCTTAATTCTCTCCACTCTCCCTCTACATCACTTTTTTATCAAAATGATACCAAACACACACTACCTACCTACCTACTACGAGCCTACCTTCCAAGGAACAAAAGCAAACCTCAAATATAATAAATATAACTATTAGAAAAAATCTCTCTTAGTAACCTAGACACACCCATCTACCCGGCCGGAACGGGTAGCCACGTCCCCGAGGCCATTTAGTTAGTCCTAGTTAATGCCCTGCCTCCTCCCCTATGTTCGTATCCGCGCGGGTTACGGATGCGGACGTGATCCGAAGACGGGCATCGGGTAGTTCTCTGTGATGTGTGAAATAAGAAAATTGTGTTGGGAGTTGATAGCTTGTGTGCTGTTGTGCTTCGTTTTTATATACCAAGGTACCTAAATATATGTACGGCCGTTGGTGGTGGCGGGTGGTGTAACGAGGGCGTTTTACATGCATTTCTGGAGGATTTGCTGACTCGTTATGGAGGTTGTCTTGGTGGGAGAGGAGTGGAGTTGCTTTTTGGATAGTCGACGGGATTGACAACGTAGGTACGAAGTCGGCATCCTCCTGTTCGTGATATTGAAGAGGATCTTCGTCGATGTGTGAAGTGCTCGCTGCGCTGCGAGGAAATCTTTAGAGTAAAAACCAGCAGGGTTAGTAAGATAGCCAAAAACATCTGTGATAAGTTAGTTAAAAAATACTGTGATATTTCCTCGTCATCGTCTCTCCATTTCGTTTGTCATTTGAAACATCTTCTGATCAATCACCAAAGCGAACAGAGCCCCCCCTTTTGCTGACCAAATATGATAAATCACACCTTGTCTGCCTTGCCTTCACATTCGCTCATTTCGGACCTGTATACCACAGGCCCGCATCGTGAGCTGCTGATCAAGGAGCTAGAAGAGTCCACCGGTCTCCAAAGGCTGATATAAATCGAAGCCATGACCCATTCCCCTGGTAGCGACGAGATGCCATGCCATGATTGCCCCCCATCGCACCAATTTCCGCAGTGGCTATAAAAAGCGCTCGACGGACCGTACCCGTTTATGACAGTAGTGACGTCTCAGTGTGCCCCTCCCGCTCCACCCGCAAGATGCATCTGGCCGCTCGTAATTTCCAAAAATCGCAGATCAGACTGCCCCGCAAAGGACCATGCCTGGGGCTGGGGCCCTGGGGCGAGCTCGCGGATCAGGTTCCGAGGGTGGAACGGCCCTTGGAAAACAAAGCATGAAAGCATGAAAGCGAACTGACTCCGAAGCACTCGTTCCGGAATTTGTAGAGCTTCTAGTTAGCTGAATTGCTCCGTGCGCTAGGTCGACTGAGACCCAGCCTGCCGTTTGCTGGATTCTGAGGCGTAGAGATCCGGGCCCAAATCTTGTGGGAGGGAAGGAGTTGATTGGGTACCTGTGGCGTCCTGAACAGGTTGGAAATGGCACCTTGACTGCCCCGGGCCCCGGGCCCCTGGATCCCGGACCCGTGTGCACAAGATTAGGGCCTCGTTTTTGGGATAAAATCTCGCCATTTTTGGTCAAGGTAGGATCTGATGCGAAATACCCTCGTGTCTCATCTGGGAAGTATGCGAGTCGAGATGTCCTATCAGAGGCGGCCGGAGGGTTTGGCGAGCCTCCAGGGCTGGGAGAATAATGCTGGGAGCGGTATAAGATAATTTCGGGGATGAAGGCAGGATGGGGAGAGATAGGAGATAGAACCTTTCGAAACATTCTTCAGGCTTCTATGAGGGGCAGAAGGAAGCATTCAAAGGGATGGCTTTCTGATTGCCGGATAGTGGGTGGGCACGGCACTTGGACGGAATATCTTTCGAAATGCAGTGTTTATTTTCGAATTCCCGAGTGATGGCTCACTTTTCGGATTCCGAATATCTTGTTTGTTTGCTGGGCGAATATCGATTCTCAGCTGGACGCACGTCAAGCTGCGAACAAACCATTCTGCTAGAGGCGATCGGTTGCATTGGGTTGCGTCGAGAATCCTGCAGCGCTTGCTTTTCCACGATCATTTCCATTCCATGCCCCGAAATTTCTGGCCCCTTGAGCGCCCTCGCCTGATCCGGAACGGGAGCAAGGTTGCAGCCGGGATTAGCAAACGGGTCCCGGGGAAGCTTCCTAGCTGGCTACGAAGGTACTAGCTGCTTGACCAGGCCTCGCCTTTCTCGAGCTAGGAGGCTGACGGTGGAGTGGACGACCGGGTCGAACGGCGATTTAGCAAGTTTCCGTTTGCTTTTAGCGGCGACCACGGACGGGCTTTGCGGTGTTTGTAGAGTCGTCCGTAGGTACTACTACAGTAGTAGGTTGTTCGTGCCCGGTTTTTTGGCCGTGTTGGAAGTTGGAACCAGGGAGGCCGGGGACGAAGAGGAGCAAATACCACAACCACAAAGGAATTCCGGGGTGTCCAGAGAAGTAGGTAGCCTCCCAACGTATGGATATCGACTCGTGATGGAGCATACACTGGATGCTGGAGCAAGAGACACTGGATCCCCTTCAGGCGACGTGTCACGCGTGTCAGGCGCGGTGGCCAATGGCTTCGCGACGAGTATGGGAAATGGCTGAAAGGGGGGGAGGACGGAGTGTATGATCGTATTATCACGGAGGAGTGGCAGGAGCCCGTGTTGGTGGTGTTGTTGTAGTAGCGAGCGCTCAAAAGCAGCGGGCCGCCCCCGCTATGCATGTGGGATGGGACGGGGTGGGGTCTGGCTGTAGCACTCGTACCTTAGTGCTGTACGGAGGACGGTGCTGTGCTGTATCAAAGAGTTATTTATCAGACGCAAACGCGATAATGCGCTGCAAGTGAAGGTGCTTTGTGCCTAACTGGACCGCATTGCCCTGAGCGGTGAGATACAAAATCCCCACCGCGCGTTAGACTTCGACCTCGCCGCGATGCTTCCGTTAGAGCCAGAATGCGAATCCCCCAAACGAGGTGACGAGGGGCAGTAGCAGCAGCCGCGTCGTGACCGCTCTGAAGCTCTGCGCTGGCACGACTCGACTTGTCCCCGCTCTTCACATGGCGCGACGTCAGGCGGTTTCTCGGCGACGAGCGTTCGCTGTGCGAGCTGACAGCTCCCCGACGCTGGTTGAGGGGCAAAAAATAATAAATGGGGGGAAGGGGGGGTTAACCGCGACATAACCGCGAAAGTGCCTCTAATCATGTTTTGTTTGTTATTATTATCTAGGCCGCCAAAAGCAAAGGCGATCCGCGGCCGAGACTCGATAGCGGGTGGCTGGCTCATGTTGCTTTTGGGGGGGCAAAGGGCTCAGCTTTTCCAGTTGGTTCTAAAAGCCACGATGCTAATAGAAGCAAATGGCGACGTCTGGAGGCCCAACGTTTTCTCGGCGGATGCGATGATCATCGTCCTCACGGCGTCCCTTGCAGCGAGTTACCCGGCGGTGTCACCGACCGTCCGAAGAATTTGAGAAATTGATAGGGCAGGATCAGATGAGAATCCAGGAACCGCGCAATCGCTGTCGGCCGGAACCACCCTTGGCCTATTATATTATGATACTATAATATTGGGATATTATTATGCTGGTGGGTTTGATATCGGCGAAGGCGGTGGTACGGGAGTACTCCTGAATGGTTGTGGGCTGACGAATTGACACCGAGGTGCCCATGTGCCCATGAGCCCATGGAAGAGGAAGAACTAAAGAACAGGACCAACAGCCTCGCATATTGAAGAAGGGGTTTTTTTTCTTCTTAATCCACCACGACTATGGAAAAATTCGAAACAAAAGCAAAAAAAAGATGCAATCCAAAGTACAGTAGGAGCCAAGGGATAGGTAGTGAATAGGTACTGGCACTGGCACTGATGTACAACGCAGTGGTGGGGGCATTCTTCCCCGGAGCAATGAGTTAATGAGTGAATGAGGCCCCGCTAGACTGGTACGTCACGCACTAAGGTACCTGTACATAGTTCATGTAGGGAGTTTAGCAGGCGCGGTATGTACTCCATACATGTACTGCACATGTACCTCACTTGGCGGTCAAAGGCGACATGAACTATGACCAAGACAAAGTACCGGTACGAAAGCACTGCGTGCGCGTAGCGGAAAGCACAAGTCAATTCCAGGGCTGTCAGTGTGCTGAGGGCACTAATAAGGGTAGGGCCTGTTCGTGCGGGGCGGGCCTCAGACACAGGCTCAGGCTCAGGCTTCGCTCTAACCCCGAGACCACGGCAATGCCGGCGTTGATGCAGCAATAATCAGCTGGAGACTACTGGACACTGGAGTTCGGAGCCCGGAGAGGCTGTACGTACAGCGTCCTACAAAGTAGCCGGTACGGGGTGCGCTGCGCGCTGTGCACACCGCACGGTGGTACAGTACAGTACAGCGATGTACAGTGCGGTAGAGTATCTGGTTCATAGTGGAGGATAATTAAGCAAGAGGTGCCAGGTGTAGATCGGTAGCATGCTAGGCAGTGTGCTACGGGCAGTGCCCTCACAAGTTTGCCATTATTCAGGATATTTAGTCTGACACGAGACTATGGAGTATATACGGGTTTCTCTACGAAGTACTCGGTACATCTACACCTACACCTACACCTTCAGAGTCTGGACGGAGGTGCTGGCTGTGCTCTACTCCCGGCGCCCGCTTGTTGGCTGTCGACTCGTGGCGGTGCAAACAATGGCCTAAATAAGGCGGGAGGGATGGTAGTGGCTGTGGCTGGAGGCAAGGGGGAGGGGGGAAGGGCAGCAGTGCCATGTGCCATGTGGGTGGGTGGTGGGTGGTGATAAGAATAAATCATACAGTAAGTAATAATCAGCAATAATGCTGCTGCTTTAAAGCCCTTCCAGGGAGGGGAGGGGTTCTTTTTCTAGAACAACTGCTACTGGTGTAGAGCCCACTGGAGCCCACTGAAGCCCGCTGCCCAGCACCGCGTCCCAGGCTGTAGCAGTGTCGCACACGCAAGCCGAACTGGCCAACTGCCCAGCTGCCCCCCCCCGCTACGCCAATTACCGACCTCCCTGCTGCCCCTGCTCCCCTGCGGTAATACGCACCCACTACGCACACACCTCTGCCTGCCCGCCAGTCCGCCGTCCGCTGTCCACTGCCTATTGCCTCGCCTGAGTATAGCCCAGCTTACAGGCTTACAGGCTCTGAGGACGCTGGACAGCGCTGGCACGCCCCTAGGGAACCCCCTCCACGCCCCCAGGCACAGTCTCTGCCCCCCCCCATCCATCCACTGTCCACCATCCACCTTCGCCCTCGCTCGCCCTCCGCTCTTTCTCGCTCGCTCGCTGCTGTCCCTCCCTCCCTTCACCTCCCCCCCGACTTGGTCCTCCCGACTACACATACACATACACGCTCCTTTCCTTCCCCTCTCTTTTTCCCCTCTCACCCCTCATTAACATCCGCCCTTTCTTCATCATCATCATCACCACCACATCCCACCATCCGCCCGCCAACCTATCCATCGTCAACTTCGACTTCTCCTCTCTCTAGGCGACGCACATTCCGCCTCCTCGAACCCCTCGACACCTCCTCCCGTCGAACGCGACGCTGAGCTTTCTTGCCCCCTTCTGGCGAGAATCCCCAGCGCTCTCGCGAATCTGGCATCTGCCCTCACTATACCACCACCACACATCTATGACTACAGAAGACAAACAAATGAACACCATATCAACGAGCAGCCAAGTCACACTTTAAGCCCTACGCCCACGCTCGCGAGTCGGACGATTTCAACCATCGCTCCGTGACACCAGACACCATCGTCGACCAGACTCCCGCCCCCCCCTTTTTCCCTGAAATATGCCTGCCGCGAGCATGACCGTCCTGCCCGCCGCGGCGTCCACGGCGACCGTCCGAAAGTCGTCGCTGGCTCCCGAGAAGAAATACAAGTGCCAGTTCTGCAATAGAGCTTTCAGCCGGAGTGAACACAGGAGTAGACACGAGAGATCACGTAAGTTTGGCGTTGGAATGCATTCTTCCCCCCCCCCTCTTTCCCCTCGGGTCGCGTGTGCCCAACACAACCCCTGATTTCCACCGCCCCCATCGACAAAACACCAATTTATTTCTCCCCGTCGCGTTCATAATCGATTGCAATCCCATGGTCACCCCGCTAACGTCCCCGCGCAGACACGAAGGAGCGCCCTTTCAAGTGCATGAAGTGTAGAAGTACCTTTGTGCGACGCGATTTGTTGCTTCGACATGACCGAACTGTCCACGCAAAAGATGGAGGCATCCCTCTCCACAGCGACGTCAAGCGACGGGCGGGCCCCAAGGCGAATGCCATGTCGGGCCCGTCCAAGTCGGCCATTGCCATCGACACCTCGGCCCTCGAGCAGATCGAGGCGAGCAGCGACGGCATGGTTGATCTCGAGACGGCGGCGATGTTGATGACCGACCTTCACCACAAAGCCACTGCTGCTATGCGCAATGCGGGCGTGGGGCCGTACGAGAATAGACCTGGAATGGCTTTCTCGCACAATGGCACCCCCGTCATGGAGCCATCCGTCACCTACCCTTCGGGAGCCATCTCGCTCCCCCAGGTTCAGTGGGATTCCATCATGCCGCAGTCGGTGGCCGAGCCCAAGTGTCACTCCATCACGTCGAATGCTTCCGGGTCGCAGGAGTCGCAGTCGTCTTTCACCAGCGTCAGCACCGCCCAGCCTCGCTCAAACCAGCTCCCCGCAATCAACAAGTCGGCATCAACCTACAATGGACTTGTCCCTGCCCTGCAGTCGATGATCAACTCCTTGCCACCCTCAGGAACCGTCACCCCCAGCCAGGGATCGCCGGGCCATGCCCGCCGCGGGGATCACTCATCCAAGGCGCCTCAAATCCTGAACGACGAGGAGCGAAATATCATTCTTGATAACATCCGCAACTATGACAGCGAGCGTGCAATCCCGGAGAGTTTCCGTCTCCCTGGTCTAGCATCGTTGAATAGGTATCTCTCGACCTACTTCAGCATGTTCCATCACCACCTGCCATTCCTGCACCCGTCATCGTTTAGGTCAACCGAGGCATCACCACCCCTCTTGCTGGCCATCCTGTCCATCGGTGCCTTGTACGCCTTCGACCAAGACCAAGCCTACGCCCTTCACATCGGCTCCAAGGTGCTTGTCAATCAGTTCCTACAGAACAAGGAGAACTTCAGCTCGCGTAAATGCCCTCTTTGGACTATGCAAAGCTCGTTATTAAATATGGTCTTCTCTAGCTGGAGTGGTGATCCAAAGGGCTTGGAGTGGGCTTGTTCGATCAAAAGTCTACTTGCCAACATGGTTGCCGGTAATCGTTACGAGCTCAAGCTCCGAACCGAGGCCCGCGAAGGCGCGCCGCCAACTCGAGCTGAGTGGGTGGAAGATGAGGGCTGCCGACGCACTTATTATGCTGTCTACATCTTCTTTGGTCTCCTGACATTGACATACAACCACACGCCTGCGATCAGCTTCAACGAGTTTGAAGACCTTCAACTCCCTTCAACCGAGGCAATGTGGAACCTAGACATTGCTGATGCCTCCACATGGGCTGATCATCTCAAGGCTTGCGAAGCTCCCTCGTTCATGGAAGCTCATGACAACTTGTTCCAGGGTGAGTCATTACGCTACAGCGCTTTTGCAACGCGTGTCATGATCAATGCCCTCTTCCTCGAAGTGTGGTACCACAAGCGCAGTCCAGAAGCGTTGCAAGATGTCGTTACGGAATACAAACTTCGTCTGGCTTTGGAGACGTGGGAGAAATCTTTGGATCTCTGTGAGCCTGAAACGGTGGCTGTACCCCTTAGCGCCCCTCACAAAGGCCACCCCTTGATCTTCAATGCCATGGCAATGTTCCGCAATGCTCGTGCCCGTCTCGAGGTTGATCTCAAATCCATCCAGGAGGCGTTGAGATACCATGACTCTTATGAGGTTGCTGCCGCCATGTCCAATGCGCGTGACAAGGTTAAGCGGTCTAGCGAGATGCTCAATGTGATCCAAGAATGCTACAACTGCATCGAAACGGCGGCTTCTCAAGGAATCCGCTGGGTGGCACGGGTTTCCCCAACCAACTGGAGTATTGAGCATCCGCTTTGCGGTTTAGACCTCATGGTTATCCTTAGCCTCTGGCTCTATCGCCTGGAACATGACGATGAGCCCGCGACTGAGGAAGAGATGGCCATGTACAACAAAATCCGAAATCTCTTTGATGATGATTCGGTTGAGGTCTATGGCAACAAGCTAAGCTCGACAGTGGCTCGCGTCTGGGGCGGTATGCTCGACCAGGTGGTCGTGTGGGGGTAAGTTTCTTCCATCCCGTCCACCACAATTTCGTACTAACAAATATCCTAGCGTCACGAAACTCATGGGCGAGTCCTTCAGCCTCCATGCTCAAGCTCTCGTTGGCTACGAGGACGACATCGAAGCTTCCGACGTCTCAACACCCTCGATGATCTCGCAGGGTGCTGATGAAAACGAGGATAGCGTGTACTAAGACTGAACATTTGCGCGTTAACGATTTCCACGATTTCCTATGTTTTTCTGCTTGGAAATTAGACTTTGATATCCCACTCATCTCCTTCCTCTCCTTGCGAACACGCTCGATTTCCTTTGTTTTGCATATATCGTGTTACAGGCAACGGGGCATCTCCATTTTCATCAAGGGTCGCGGGCAACAATACAGGGTTGGTCTGGTCTGGTGTGACTCGGCTGGGCAAATACTGGGCATCTCTTTCACTCTCTCATAAACCACATACTCTGCGCTCCACAGCGCTTAATCTCCATCACGCACACATACGAAGTCTTTGGCTGGCCCACCTTTTGTGTTGATTCTGCCCTGTCCTATTAGCAGCAGTCCGTTCTGTTATTGCTTTTTTGACTTTTCTTGGGCATATCCTACTACCTATTTAATACCTCTTGTACTGATCTCAAATCATCCTCAGATACCTTGTTCGATATACAACCTCTTTACTCTGCTTCAATCATATTTTGTTCGCGTTTATTTTGTTTATTTGTTTCTTTCTTTTTTGGCTTTCCTGTATCTACTATGCATGCGCGGATGTGGAGGAAAATGGGGCGAAGGTTGGTGGCGGAAGGATGGGTGGAAGCGTTGGTGGGAATGTGGATGGGGTAGCTAGCATAGCTTCCTTGTACAGATACTCATATATCTTACATCGTATCAATTACTCGCATCTCTCAATTACTATGCTTTAGCTATCTTGGGTGCTTTGATTTGCCTGTGACGGTGCCCACGTGAAATAACCGATAACCTCTGAATGATGAATGAGTTGGAAGGATTAATTACTCTGCAAATGGCACCCCTAACGTTCGCCAATTTTATACGTGACTCGACTAACTATAGGAGTACCTCGGTGCATATTTCTCCAAAGGCTGCTCTTTTTTTACCATGTCCGTAGTCCAAATTAGCTAGAGGCTACTATTATTCTATAAACAGCAGCGCCCCTGTACCCCGCATACGAAGTATATCACATGACCAAAATATAAGCCCACCTCCCTAACGCCAGCTGAACCACTTCTTTCACAACCCTCAGTCCCTCGCACTTACGTCATATAACCCCGTGCTCAACTACCACTTCTGCTGTACCTCCGTATCACAAAGTCCGAAGTCCCATTATTTCAAGCTTGTTTTATCATTCTCGAATTCATAATAACGGGGCTCATCCTAATAATACCTAGTTCGCTGACTCACAAGCGCCCCTCATCTCGAATTAAACGATTAGCTGTCCAGTTCAAAAACATAACAAGAAGAAGAAGAAGAAGAAGAAGAAGCCAGCATGTTCTTCTAAACTAGCTTAGTAGGTAAGGTATATGGCTGGAATCTATAATAAAATATCCTACCCCCTTCCCTGCCCTTTCCCCATCCTGCTGCTACTTTTGCAAAGAAGAAGTAGAGAGTTAAGGAAGCTCCAGCAATCTAGATAAAACGGAATCCAATAGACCAGAGAGAGAGAGAGACGCAGCAAAAAAAGGAAACATGAACAAAAGTAGACGCCATATCGTCGTCTTCTCAGGTGGCAGCGCGGCGAATAATCTGGTGGATGTTTTTGGGAAGGTGGCGCAGGATAAAGAGTGTTCTTTGAGCTAGTAGGCTTTTCCCTTTTTTTTCTTCTTCTTTCGCTTTCTCTCTTGCCCTCCTCCTATAGGTGGTTTATTGGGGGAGGAGGTGGTGTTTTTGAATAGGAGCAACTTGCTGATGAGATGTGTGAACCAAAAAAGTATTATTCCTATATCGGATAATGGAGGGAGCTCGAGTGAGTTGATTAGGGTGTTTGGGGGGCCGGGGATTGGTGATGTGAGGAGTATGTGTTTTATTTTTCTTATTATTATGCCTGGGTTTTTTATAAATGAATTGTTCGGGATGCCTTTTTTGAGTTCTGCTTCTTGGGGGGGGGGTTTAGAAACGCCTAGTGGTGTGGTTGTAATGTGCTCAGTTCTTAGTTTTCTCCCCTCTATTCTTATATGTATACATGGCATGAGACTCATTCCAGAAACACCTAGGTCGACTTGTCCGCCTCATCCCCGATTCCCCCACATCTCCAGAAACCGCTGCCATCAAAACGTTCTTCAACCACCGCCTTACAGCAGACTCGGCTTCCGCCCGTGAAGAATGGCTCGATATAGTTGAAGCGCGGCACCGGCTCTGGTCCGGGATCCCCTCAGAGAAACGAGAGCTCATCCGCAGTTTTCTCAATAATATCAACCTCGAAATTGTGAAGCGCGCTCGTCCTACCTCCGTGTTCAATTTCCAGAGTGCTTCGGTAGGGAATCTATTCCTTACGGGAGCGAGATTGTTTACGGGCAGTTTTGAATCGGCCATCTACCTCCTGGGAGCAATTACCGGCGTCCCCAACAACGTGAACGTCATCCCAGCCATCAACAGCAACTTCTCGCACCATATCTCCGCCGGCCTAGAAGATGGAACCGTCATCACAGGTCAAAACGCCATCTCCCACCCCTCCGCCCCATCCTCCTCCGTCGGAAGCTCAGCTTCAACCCTCCCATCCTATACCCAAGACCAACACGACATAGTACCTGATAGCGCTTTAACCCACCACCACCGGAAATTCTCCACAGAACTATCAGCACACGACCGCATCGAAGACGCCAATCTCCCGGGCTCCCTCCCCACGCTCAGGAAACAATACATCACCTTCCTCAAAACACACACCGAGGCCCTCCCCTCCCCCATCTCCCGCATCTGGTACATCAATCCCTACGGGCAAGAAATCCGACCCGCTCCCAACCCCAAGGTGCTCGACAGCATCAACGCCGCCAGCTGCGTAATCTACAGCATCGGCAGCTTATACACCAGTATCCTGCCCTGCATGATCTTACGGGGCGTGGGTGAAGCAGTCCGGAACGGCGGCGGGTACGGGGGGCCGCAATTCAAGATCCTGATCCTGAACGGGAGTTTGGACCGCGAGACGCGTGCGGCGGGCGGCTACGAGTTCGGCGCGAGGGATTTTATTGCGGCGATTGCGAAGGCTTGTAAGGGCTCTGTGGGGAGCGCGGTGGGCGAGGATACTGATGTGGAGGATGAGAGGGAGTTTAGGAATTATGTCACGCATGTTATTCATTTGCAGGGGCAGGGCACGCCGAGGGTGGAGAAGGAAGAGTTGGGGGTTCTGGGTATAGAGACGGTTAAGATTTATGGGAGGAGGGATGATGGGGGTGAGGGGATGGTTTATGATGGGGCAGCGTTGGGGCAGGCGCTTGAGGCTATTATTGGGAGGAGGGATGATAGGCCGGGGAGGAGTCGGAGGAATACTTTGGGTGTTAGCTAGGCTGTGTTGTATCTGTATTCTGTATCTGTATGTCTGGATAGATGGATGTTGTGTCGACTAAATAGCCTGGGGGGTTAAGGCGGCGAGGCCCATGTCACTAACTTCGATCAGTCAAACATCAAGATGAGATAAATCCGTTGGTAGTAACAATGCACATATGTATATTGTCTTAATCACAGAACTGCTCTACACCCCGAACAGATGACCGGAGGACGCCCTTCCCTGTACCAAGTACTCTAATAATATGGTATTATGCCATGCCCAAGCGCCTAAATGCTTCAAATACGCGCCAGCCCAAACTCCGGTTCGAATGCATGCATGCTCTGTCGTTTTCATATCATGACGCCCTCACAGGCCTCTTCCCTTTCTTATTAGCCGTCATGAGCTTCATTTCCAGCGCGAATATCCCGTTCTTAGGTTGCCGTTTGTGGCCTTCCCTCCCACTCATCGTCGTGCTGATCGTTGTCCTACACACGGGGCAGGCCTTTTTGTCGCCCGCGTGGAGTGCCTGGTGGAGGCATTCGGAGCAGAACATGTGCCCTATCAGATTAGTTAGCAAAAGCATTCACCGTTACTTAAATAAATAGGAAGCATACCACAATGGGTAACAGTTAGAGACGTCGGATTATCCATGCAAATTATACAGTTGAACTCGGCCAGCTTGAACGGCCGCGTCGCCTCATCCTGCTGCTGCTTCTTGAGCATCTCTGCCTGCTGCCTGGCCGTGGCCTCCTTGTATTGCTCATCAGTTTCCACCTCAGCCAGATCTACCACTTCGACACCCTCCAAACTCCCCTCCCTCTTAGATATGATACTGGGCCGTTTCGTTGTTTTCCGAGCGGCCTTCGTAGCCTTCCCCGCGGCCCCTCCATCATCCGCCTTGCGTTTCCTCGAGGGTGCCATTTTCTCCGCTGGCGAGGATTCCGTGAGATCGACAAAGCTAGATCGTCGCGTGGTGTTGCGGGAGTGTGAAGAAACACTGGGGGACCGCGACGGAAACAGCTCAGGAAAGTGCTGTAGATCGAGGAAGGCGGCTTCGTCGAAAGGGTCGGGAGATTCTGAACCAGGGACTCTGTATTGGGAGACTGAGGGTTGGTGTTGATGGTGATGCTGTTGTTGCCGCCGCGCTTGCTGGTTTGAAGGTGGTGGCTCCTGCTCTTGTTCTTCTTCGCGTGGGCGCGAAGCTGAGGCTGGCGAGCTTGGGTTTATCAAGCCTAGACTGGGAGATAAAGATCGTTGTTGCTGCCCAATGCCAAAGAACTGCGGGTTGTTTACAAAGGGTGGTAGGTCATAGTTGTCTTCGGCATCGGCGTCTGGGTTGATCGGAGGCAGTCTTAGGTCGTCGTAGTCGTAGTCGGTGCCTATACCGCCATTGCCGTAAACAGGAGAACTCGAGTTCCATGGTGAATCGACTTGGGAGCCTTGAAGGTTGGTGTTTGCCCCAGGCGCGGGGGGCGAGAACACGTAGGAAGCAAGCGAGGTTGTTCCAGACATTTCACTCCTAGGAGACTCTGCGTCTGAGGCCGAAGAGGCCGTACTCTAACAGACAGAGGATTGCGCAATGCAATGCGTTCTCGAAGGAGCGTGGGCAGACGGTAGAAAGCAAATTGGAGGAAGTTGGAGTTGCGAGGAACGACGTTGGCGATGTCCGGATACGCCACGAGCAGACATGACTCGGGTTGGTTGCAAAACACTTCGACTGTCGAGTACAAATACGGACTGCTGGCTGCTTTATCTCCGGAGGCTCTTATCGAAGGATTGATTATTGACTGATTGATTATTGATCGCGAAGAAGTGGTGACTGTGGCTGGTAACTGTGGCGGACGCTGACCCAATCTCCCTATTGCTTGTTACCGATTCAAGTGGCGCTGCGACGCCGCTCTTTTCGCGTCTGAGCCTGAGAGAGACAGAGGAGACAGAGAGAAACGTCACGTCACGACCGTACCAAGCAGACGCAGCCTTGCTGAGATCTTCCCTTATCACCCATCAGCACTGCAGAGCCTCTCCCAAGACCCCGTACTATGCTATGACGAGCTCTTGTCGCCCATAGTACCCTAGTATGCTCCTTTCAGTGCGAGCTGGTTGTCAAAGGAGGCCATGCGCGAGCTTTGTGCGCCTTGCAAAGCACCGCGCGCACCGACGGGACTCTTCGAAAATATTGGTGCAATGGCGATTATATGCGACTGGGTCCGGTGCACCGGAGAGTAAAGGCTCAAGAAGTAAGCGCTATGCCTCACAGTTTGTGCTCAGATAAAGGGATATCTCTAATGCTCGATCGCAGGCTCACAGGCCCGGTTTAATGAAATAGGGGTTCAGCAACTTAGCAGTCATGTCTATTCACAGATCTTCCTTGGTAATACGGCCCCTCCTCCTAAACAGCTCGTAGACCTCTCCAAGGACCATCTGCAGCGACATCAGTTATTAGGGAAGAACACAGACACCACTCCGCCGATTTCGTTTGATCTCCCCAAGCTTCAGGGAAAAACTCTCGACGAACACTTCTACAAACTGGGCGTTGATGCTGCAGAACCGTATCTTTCGCAGGCCACCCAATTTACAAGAGCGAATGCCCCCCCAAAACCCCGGAAATGGGTCCGGAGAAGCGGGTGGACAAAATATTATGGCGATGGCCGTTCCGAGGCTGTCGATGCCCCCGAGGAGGATATGTTGTGTTTTGATACAGAAGTCATGTGGAAGGAGAGCTCTTTTGCTGTGATGGCATGTGCGGTCAGTCCGACGCACTGGTATGCCTGGTTATCGCCATGGCTACTGGGAGAGACAGAGAACGACCGGCAACTTATACCACTCGGAGATCCCAATCGTCCCCGGATTGTAATCGGCCATAATGTTGGCTACGATCGAGCGCGGATTGCGGAAGAGTACGATATACATCAGTCGAAAACCAGCTTCCTGGACACTATGTCGTTACATGTGGCTGTTAATGGGATGTGCTCTCGCCAGAGGCCAACATGGATGAAACATAGGAAAAATCGAGAATTGAGGGATAAAATTGCTAGCGAGACAGACAATGTTGAGTTGGCCAACTTACTCGGAAACAAGGCACTGACGGAGGAGGAAGAGGAGCTATGGGTTGGACGAAGTTCTATTAATTCTTTACGGGACGTGGCCAAGTTCCACCTGGACATCACTATCGACAAGGCACAGCGAGACCAATTCGGAGAGCTCGACCGAGCCGGTGTGCGAGATAAGCTGGATGAGTTACTGGATTATTGTGCTGCGGACGTGGCGGTCACCCATAGGGTTTATAAGATTGTATTCCCGAACTTTTTGGAGACCTGTCCGCATCCTGTCAGTTTCGCAGCACTGCGTCACCTTGCCTCTGTTATTTTACCTGTGGATAAGTCATGGGAATCATACATCGCAAATTCGGAGGCGACATATCTCAAATTATCGGATGCTGTCCAGGAAAGACTCATTACCTTGATGGAAAAGGCCCTCCTGCTAAAAGCCGACTCCGAGAAATGGAGTAATGATCCATGGCTGAAGCAGCTGGATTGGTCGGGTCAGGAAATCAAAATGGTCAAAGGCAAGAAGAAAAATGACCCCCCTCGGCCCGCTGCCCGGCAGAAACTACCTGGAATGCCTCAGTGGTACAAGGACCTTTTCCCCAAGAAAGACGGACCAATTAACATATCTGTGCGGACTCGCATTGCCCCCCTACTGCTACGATTATCGTGGGATGGGCACCCTCTAGTTTGGTCGGATAAGTATGGGTGGACTTTCAGAGTGCCACTTCCAGAGGCCCATAAGTACAAGGAGAAGCAGATGCAAGAATGTACGGCTTTTGAAGAGAAGGATATTTCACTGCGGGATGACCGGAGTGGCGCTTATTTCAAGCTGCCTCACAAAGATGGACCAACTGCTCGTTGTGCTAATCCCATGGCGAAGGGCTACATGGCCTACTTCGAGAAGGGAATTCTTTCGTCTGAGTTTCCGTATGCTAAGGAGGCACTCGAGATGAATGCTTCCTGCTCATACTGGATCAGTGCCAGAGATCGGATCAAGTCTCAGATGGTTGTCTACGAGAGTGATTACGCCAAAAGCCCACATAAAAATAAGGGAGCGGTAGAGACTGGCTATATCCTGCCGCAAGTCATTCCAATGGGGACAGTCACCAGACGGGCAGTCGAAAACACATGGCTTACAGCAAGTAATGCCAAAGCTAATCGTGTCGGATCCGAGCTCAAATCGATGGTTAAAGCTCCGCCTGGATACTGCTTCGTGGGCGCAGATGTGGACTCAGAAGAACTCTGGATTGCCAGTCTTGTTGGCGATTCGCAATTTAATCTCCATGGAGGCAATGCGGTTGGGTTCATGACCTTGGAGGGGACGAAAGCAGCCGGGACAGACCTGCATTCTCGGACAGCAGCGATCCTCGGAATAACGAGAAACGATGCCAAAGTATTTAATTACGGTCGTATTTACGGAGCTGGCCTCAAATTTGCGTCTACTCTACTTAGGCAATTCAATCCCAATCTTTCGGAGGCGGAGACGACAAAAGTTGCTTCCGCACTATACCGCGAGACAAAAGGTGCGAAAACAAATAGGAAAGTTCTACATAAAAGACCTTTCTGGCGAGGTGGAACGGAGAGTTTCGTGTTCAACAAACTGGAAGAGTTTGCTGAGCAAGAGCGACCGCGTACGCCAGTCCTTGGAGCTGGTATTACTGAAGCTCTGATGAGTCGATTCGTCAACCAAGGGGCGTTTATGACTTCGAGAATTAACTGGGCGATTCAGTCCTCGGGTGTCGATTATTTGCACCTCCTTATCGTCGCCATGGACTACTTGATCCGTCTGTATAATATCGACGCACGATTGGCAATTACGGTGCACGACGAGATCAGGTATCTAGTGCGCGACGAAGACAAGTACAGAGCAGCAATGGCGTTACAAATCTCCAACGTTTGGACACGTGCAATGTTCTCCCAACAAGTGGGGATTAACGATCTCCCTCAATCCTGTGCCTATTTCTCAGCCGTCGACATCGACCACGTTCTCCGCAAGGAAGTAGATATGGACTGCGTTACGCCCTCTCATCCTGAGAAAATCCCGCATGGCGAATCCCTAGATATAACAACCCTCCTCACCAACCCAGCATCCTACCTTGACCCAAACATCATCCCAACCGACCCTCCAAACCTCACCGCAATCCCCTACTCGCCTCGCGTCCCGGTCATGGAAACCCTCAAATCCAATACCGACATCAGCTTCCTCAAAGCTCAAATCACAGCCGATGACAAAGAACTCCGCGATATCCTCAAAGAACAACGCAAGTCCGCAGAAGCCGACGCCCCGCCTAAGAAACGCACCACTATAAAATCTACGCGTACACTCCAGCCATATCAAGCTCACCCCCAGATGATGGAGCAACCTTTGGTTTCGGATTTGCTGGGTAACAAGTTCAAGCAAAGCTACGAGAGCTCGCGGCAGAAGAACTGGGGTTGGGAGAGACAGACCAATGCTAGGACGAGACCTACGACAAGATGGTAAATATGAACTTTCTCCTCCAACACAGGAGACATTTTCCTTGTAACATACTCGTTTTGTCTCTTTTACATGCTTAAGCCGTGATGATGAGACGGCTAGCTTATGCTTTTCATGTATGTTCCTACTTTCATTTCTTCTGTACATTGTTTTAATTGTGTAGTACGTATGTACGAGTGTTGTTTGCTCTATGAACTTACTTGTACGGATCCGTTATGCGAAGGGGATAGGTGTTTTGGGAGTTTCGAGCAAGCAAGCATTTGAAGGCGCTGGTGGAATACGGGCTTTATGCGTTTTGAAATGCGTGTATGTCTGACGGCCATACGGATTCCATGGCGATGCCAATGGTGTAGGTTTTAGGGGGGGTGTATCAAAAAGGGGGTCAGATATCGTTGAGCTAAAGCAAGATAAAAGTATACCTAATTAATTATTTACAAATCGCTCCTTGCCTTTGGCCTTGTGAAGTATTCGTAAGGTATAATTCCAACTCATGATACCATCTATAGCTAGGGAGATGTGGTTTTGATTTAATTACTAAACCCTCCGCTTACCAACACCGACCTATGCGCTCTTTATTTCCTATCCCTGTATACTTTTTCCACTCTATCCCATATATTCTCGTGCAAATTCGAAATCGACCTATCTTCCGACAAAAGTAATATAGTCTGATGCTATTTCGTACTAAATATACGAAGCATGTAGAGATGATATAAGCCTCTACAACCGTGAAGATACCTAAGTGGTAATATAACTCTCTAATAATTGGACCTGGCGGGGCCGGATTGCTATCTACCCCGCACTTTTCCACCCACCTCCCTCCGTATTACCTCACTACTATACTACTATAGAAGTAGCTATATGTTGAGTTTCCTGCTAGCGGAAATCAAAATAGTTAGTGCTACTCACTATTATCATAGGTATTATATGTAAAGATGAATGGCTTTGTGGTGGCACCCCATTGTCAGCTACCTTTTAACATATTAGGAAATTGAAGAATAACCAAGACTCTAGGTAGGGTTCCTGATCCATCATATAATTTTAGTAACAAATGGTATATGCTTCATAGGTACATAAATAAAATAAATAAGTTTCTAGACCCTGTTATAATATGTGCCTGGTACATGGATAAGGCGATCTAGCAGAGCATATTATTTTCAGTCGAAACCCCCACATGGGCCCACCATAGGGTGTATTTCTATCTTTAGAAGGTAAAGCTTGCTGTTGGTGATTTGAACTAGAAATAGAATATGCCGCTTCTGCATGGTGTACTTTTATACGCTCATAATTGCACCATAATGTATTTCCATATATTTTTCAGTATTTTCTAAGTCCCCCAAAGCAACACCAAGTGCAACGAAATCCAATGGTATATCTGCCCCTTCTTTATGTAACCATAAAAATATAAAACCTGCATGCTTATTCTATTTGTGAACGCTGCAACGCTGCAACGCTGCAACGACGCGAATGGGGTATCATGTGGACACCAACTCTACGAACATACTAAACTTGAGAAATATCTTCGTTCGCAAATCATTTATTTATTTAGGCATAAGCCGCCCAGCCTGCAAAAATTAGCATTCGAGAACAGAAATATATGGCGAAATAAACCTTACCAGAATACAGCACAGCCAAGTTTTTCTCATCGCTCGCTTGATTAATTAGATCATTCACCGTAGCCTGAACGCTCAACGTCTTAGAGAGCTTCTTATTAACGACTGTGAGCGCACGATCAGCCTCGCCCGGCTCATTGACGGCCTCTTTCGTCGTCGCATTTGCATTCGCATTCTCGACATTCGCATTTAGAGCACTCTGTCCTTCCTGCAGTTTTGCCAAGCGAACAGGAGAGATTGACCAGCTGTAAAGGGGATCGTAGCGCAGCACATCAAGAATGGTCATGATGCTGTAAGCCTCCTTCCTCAAAGCCTCGAGCGTGAACTCACAGCATCGCCGGAAGACCCCCTCAGTTTTGGTAATCCCCATGCCGTCAATAATGTCCCGCGTCAGGCGAAAGGGGACAAGTTCTGGAACTGGGAGAACACGGCCCATTTCGAAAGCAACGCCAAGGTCGATGTGTACTACCTCACCACTATGGGCATCTAAGAGAATGTTGTGGCCATGTCTGTCTCCAAGGCCGAGCACATGACCGAGTATCGAGATGGCAGCCGTGCTTCTGGTGTAGGCCAATCTTTTCACAAACCATTCGTCTGGATCAGTAAATCTCTCCGTAAAGAAATATCTCATGACTGGGTGAAATCGCTCTGTCACCTGACGGAACTTCTTGACCCTCACATCAACTGATTGGGTCTGCACTTCGCCAATCTCTTTGCGGCATTGATTTCCTTTTAGGCCTTTCGGGTAGTATCTTTCATGGGCAGGCATAAGATACTCATGGAGTGGGATTGTGTTCGGCACAAATTCGATTACCCCGGCAATCGAAGTGAGGGGCAAGACTTTGTAGGTTCTGATCTTTAAATCCCGTTGACGAGTCGACCGGTTAGTTTTCAGCAATTCGCTCACTTGCTCAAATACTTGCTCCATTATGGCGTCTTGACGCAAGTCATCATTGCCTCCTTTCACCTAGTGACAGTAAGCAAAGTTGTTAAATTGGAAAATAGAATTAGCCTCACCAATTGCTTGAATTTGGCACCATTGTCAGCTATTGCGGTGATGATTTTGGGAGCACTAACGCCTGACGCAATAGACATTGTAGGCTCAAGCTTGATCATTGACGGTATTTTGGAGTAGTTAAGATCTGCGGCAAGAGGTATGTGCATTGTTGGGGAAGGTATCCGGTATTTCGCTAAATGAGCGTTGAGACGACTGGCCGCTTGGGAATCCTTCAACTGGACTCGCCTCCCAGATTTATACTTCTGGTCATCTTTCTCGCCTGCGAGAAGACCGTACAGCTTATTCGTAGCATTTAATGCTGTCCAGATGTAACTAACTCGCTCAGTTGTGGCTAGTTGACTGGCGACCTTCTTGGCAGCTTCTTTTCTTGACATCGCCGCTTCATCCTTGGAACTGGGCCGATTGCTGGCGCCAGAGTATATTTGATACATGCCATGGTAGGGGTGGTCCGTAGAAATGCGCAAGACTAATGAGAACAGTAATTTCTGGAATCTCACCGAGGAATCCTGTAGGCGAGATGTAAGTTGATTCATTAGAGGCGCAAACTTGCGACTTGGTACTTGACCTAGATGCTTCGAAACCGCATCATTCGCAAGTGGTTCCTCTGCATGCTCTAACCAGAGGGCCGAGAAACGCAGGGCAGTACTGTCATGCTCATCCGATGCAGCTAAAGCTAGCAGATAGTTCTCTAGACTTTGCCGTAGGAACTCTTCACTGCTAGTAATATGGCGCTGGAGTTCCTCTTCGTCGAGCCTGTACCATGTCTTGGCTTTACTGTGCTGATTCTTATACCGGTTCCGATCGGTACTCGAAGTTGCTGTTTTCAAAAGCTTCTCCCACTGTTCAACTTCATCTTTTTTTCCCTTGCTTAATTTCTTCAGCCGCTCAAAATCCTCAATACTATCGGGATCCTGGAGCTGTTGGTCGCAGAATACAGCGAATTGATGAAAGACTTGACTAGCATCGCTTCCAGTTACTCTGCCTTTCAATTCCTTAAGGGCGGGCTTGAGATACTTGTCAATGATCTTATCCGCTTTTTCAAGTCTAGCAACGGAAACTTGATGGCCGATCTTTGAAAGTAGATCGGAATGACCGACTGGAATAGCTTGTTTCTTGAGAAAAGATGCATTGTCGAGGGCATGCAAAATCCCAATGGATGATGTCACTTCTCCCTGATCCCACAACGCATTTGCCGCTTCTACATGAACTGCGGCCTCAACATTTAATGATAGTTCATGACAAGGTGTAATAAGGTCCATCATGGAAGTTGCCAGTGATAGTGATTCTTGTAGCGCGTTATGAGCTCGGTTGAGTGATGACGCCAAAAGCGAAGCCTGTACCTCAACTAGACGGGTGTCCACTGGGTCAATTTTCATAAGTGATTGCAAACGAGGTTGTTGGCTGAGAGTGCTTAACATTGTCGCACGACAGGATAATATTTGACTGATATCATCAAATCTAGCAATGTCAGCAGTCATGCGTAGTACGAAGAGAACTTTCATTACTCACCTGCCAATCTTCATCCAGCTAGAACGACTTTGAAACCTAGCAAGCATTTGTTCAATCTCTTGAGACCCTCTGGTAGCAAATACTTCATCCATCTCGACTAGCGCTGCTAAAGTTTGAAGTGCACCATGGAGATCATTAGCACCGAGATCTTCTCGAACCAAGCTATTCATGGTACAGTCAAATCCCTCATTAATTGCTTGGCATATTGTAGCATGGTCCACAGCTGTATTGATCGTCTGAAAGGCCTTGTATATCGTGACGGCGTTGTTACTAGAAACACTCGGTACGGGTATATCCCACTGCTCTAGCTTCCGGGCGGTACGAAACATAGACTCTAAGGATGTGGCGCTCATACCAACGGATTGCTGGGCTTGTAAAATAGAATGGGACAGGCCACTAAGACTGAGAACATCAAGCGTTTTCACTAGGGTTTGTGCGTCATGCTCCGATTGGGGATCTCGCCTTCTTATATGACTGTCGAACTGAGCTCCCCGAAAGGCAAGGCTTTTAGGGCCATCCTTTTCATATTCAAACCGTGCCAAGATTGTACCGAGGTTGGCCTTTTGTCGGACTCCGTAATACAAATCTGGATCATCGATATTTTGGAAGATAGCAAGTAAGACGTCCTGTGACACATCAGATTGATCGATAGCCTCCTTAAACGATGAACGACGAGATGATTTCGCTGGTGCTGAACAATGCTCTTCGACGAAAAGGAGTGCTGTTTTATACATCCCACAGTGAATAGCTGCTGTCGCGGCTTTCATATAATTGATACTAAGCCAATGCAATCGGTCAGCAGACGAATTTTCATCTGGAATTGGTTGGGTGCGAAGGTAGAGAATAGCATTGATTAACACTTTCAGGTTATTTTTATCACCTCCTTGACAATTTTGAAACCAAGTTTCCGAGGCTGTTGAGAGATCCTTCTTAGCAGTCCGCTGACTGCGAAAGTTTATTGACAAGACAAGGTGGAGAATAAATGGAAAGGCCTGTTCTGCAAATCCTGGTACTTCTTTCAATACTGGAACTACTGCACGTAGCAGAGTATCATTTTCCACAGATATGGCTAGAGCGATTGAGAGGTTTCGTAGCCAGTGTACCTGAAAAATGGCGTCGCTATCATATGGATCGCTGAGAGAGTCATTGTCTAGGTGGTTGTAGAGGCTTTCGGATGGCGGGACTTGATAGGGAGCCCAAATAGAGGCACAGTAGAGGCCGTTCGTAAGACACTTTTGGCCAGTTTCTACCAAGGAATCATCAGATGTTGTCATGACAAAACGCAAGGCAGCCTCAGCGAGGCCGACATTATATTTATCGTAGCCTTGGGTGAGCTCTTGTAAAATATTGAGAACGCAAGATCGAGAGTCTCCTGTTTCTCTGGCTGATGTTGATAGTTGCTTGATTCGGGCCAAGGTAGATTCGCGCAGGAGATCTTGGTCTATGTGTCCAGATGCTATAAAAGCTCGACCCACGACTCTTGCTGCCCAAGAAAGATATTCCTTACTGGCTCTATCCCCTCGGCAAGACTTCCAGACCACCACTGCATTTGCGGCTGCAGACTCGTCTTCACCTAGAATATCCGTACGGAACGAGGCTGGAGGTTGAAATTCTGAACACAACATATCTAGCGTAAGTTCCCGAGACGGTCGGCTCAAGAGGTTTTCATTCGTCCGGTCATCTTGTAAAAGCTGAATTAAGAGCTCACTCTCAGGCGTCCCTAAATCAGCATTCCCGGTCCACTCAGTGACATAGCCAGATTTCAGTAGAGCCCGAAAATACGCCTGTGAATGGTTGCTCAGTTCTGGTGTATTATAGTTTGCAAGATATGCCCCAAACCATTTGTGGAATGCCTGAACTCTGGAGACTGTACTCGTATGTTGGCTTTCTTGGGTGCTACTCGCCCGACCCGCCTTTAGAAATGCTCGCAATGACCCAAGAATCGCTAACGCGATACCCGCAACAAATGAGGGCGCTTGTGTAAGGTATTGGGAACCGGACATGAGGAGATACTGGGTAATGCCAATAGCATCATCCGCGCATTGCGGATCATTTATGAAGGGACGGAATATCTGCAGAAGCATTTCTAGAGGGTAACCAGTCGTCGCAGAACTGCCGGCTAGACAAATCAGAGTCCGGAGTTTTCGAAGGACCGAACAAGCATGCAGTGATCCTAGGGAAGGGTGGATGGTGATGGATAGTTTTCTGGCGATTGAGGTTACCAGAGCTGGGGTATAGATTTCGGCACTTTCAAACTCTGTCCGCGTACATAGGTGGGCGATCTGAGCGGCTAAATACCTGGCCCTGAATGTTGGCTGCTGCATTGGGGGTAGATTCGTACGAGAGGAGCTTAGAGACTTGATTTTTGTCATAATCTTTCCTGCGTAGACAAGTTCCTCCTTTTTCATAAGGTATTTGTCTAAGTTGTCTTGTGGATCGCTTATGTTGAATAAGATGGCAATGATATCCGCAAAATGGAGGTTGAGACATTGAAAGAACTGTTCCTGCCCAAGCCGCTTTTTAACACGAGCTTCCCCGGTGATATGTTTCTTTCCATCGCTAAGAGCAGGTACGCTAGTATCATGAGCAACGGTATATGCCATGACTTTGGCAAAGGAACTTTTTAGAAGAACATCCTCCTTTTTGCCGAGGATCCGGGCGACTTCCTCAACAGCGTTATCTTGGTCACGCATTATCATTAAACCTATTGCCTCATCTTGCACATCCAAGATAAGGTCTTTAAGGCTAGAGAAGCCAAATATCTGAAACGGAATGTTCTCAATGTCCCCGAGCTCGAGCCAGGTGTATAGAAGCTGAGGGGCAAACAATGCGAAGAGCTCTTTGGCGGTATCTAGTTTCAGCGCAATCGAAACGTCCGAGAGGCATTCTGTGGCATACTTTATACATTCTGGTAGTTTTCCAGGGACCTCGAAAATATGGTATATGCAACGCCGCAACAAGGTGGGCCACTCCGACGCTAACCTTGCTAGAGAAAATAATCGGAAGGATATGCCCTCTATCCACTCGGGATCCGAAGGTAGTTTATCGAGGATATCTAGGAATATGCTGTCGTGGTCATCAAGTAAAAATAGGTGGAATATACCGGGGAGCTGGTTTCCAATGCAAAATTTGACAGAAGCATTGCCTTTTTGTAGGAGGTTGAAAAGACTGGACCGGGCCGATGGTAGAGAAAGATCGATCCCGTACTCAGGCTCGATTCGGATGAGAAGTAGCAGCAGGGACACAACGCCCTTTTGTACTTCTGGGGAGACAATCATATTTTTCAAGGCTTTGTCAATGAACCATTGGTATATCCCCGAAGCATACTCTGCCAAGTCGTTAGGCGCATCGTTCGCTGCCCATATTTGGCCTAGACCGACGAGAAGATCAAGGGACAGCACTAATGTAACTTCGCAGCGATCAAACTCGTGGGCCTCAAGAATATCTATAACTCGATTCATGAGCCGAGTTGCATCTGCGATGTCGATAGCAAGGTCGGAATGAACGACTTCGCGGAGAAACGAGCGGCCCAATAATAGTTCCTCGTCTGATAGGGCAACTATTTGGTCAACGAAGATCGTCGGCAAAAACTGGGTGTATTCTGGTGTCACTTCGATGGCAGCGACCAGTAGTAAGCGTGCGTAAACCACAAAATTGAATGACGCTGGCGACGCATCAAGAGCAAGAACTTGTCTCGGCACCATCCACTTCTGCCTATCAGCTCTAGTATGGCTATGCTGAGTGGAAAAGTCATCGAAGTCATCATCGACATCCATCGCATCGTTGTCAGGGTTCGAGGGTAGCGGTGCGAAGAATGACCGTCGCTTATTGAAATCCTCTGCGATTTTAACAAAGAAGCTAAGTAGGTGGGGGCTGATCTTTGAAAATTGCGATAACTCCTTGGACCGGCATGAGGGTAAATAGGGCTGAATACATTGAATAAGGGTCTCAGCGAGACTTCGAGCCCCGTCAGGATCCCTAGCATCAGTGGCGTTAAGAAAAGCCATCAGTTCCCTTGAGAAGTGTTGCTGCCAATCGTCGAAGTCATGTAGCTGTGGCAGACCCTCCTGCGAGAAATGAGGCATCACAAGTAACATGGTGATACAGCTGTACACAGCACAGCGGAAAGTATCGGCAGAGACAGGCGTGAGATGGTCCACATTGTAGGTTTCCCAGCTTTGGTAAAGCTCGCGGCACTTTGGTTGGAGGATTTCCAAAATTAACCTTCGAATAGAATTGAAATGAGCAGTATCGAGAATAAATGTGGTGGTGCCAGACTTTGCATCCTTTGGGCATGAAGAGCAGGGGTCCCTGGGAGATATACATAGGTTTTCCAAGAGAAGTAAATATCTCACGACACCCTGAGAGTCTAAGTGGTGTTGCCAAGTTTGTGCAAGGCGACCCAGTGGTAAATTAGATCCTGAAGGCATAGTCCATCTGTGTAAACCAAGGCCCGTCCGGAATAAGTTTATAATTTGATACGGGTATATATGTAAGGCATAGTGCGCAGCAAACTCCCTGTCAACTTCAAATTGTGTCAGCCTGTTCTATATATTTTGGTCTTCGCCATACCTGGATTCCATCTAGAACACAACCATCGAATTGCATGCTGAGACGTCACAAGGCTCGCACTTGGTACCTCGGAAATCCTGGTCTGTAGCAAATGGTTCATGAGAAAAATTGCCGAGTCGCAAAGAATTACCGGACCGTTGATATCAGCTACATTGACCATAGCGCTCACATCTTCACCGACGTCTTGGTAATGTAAAAGCCCTTTGGCTAGAATTGCATGAAGTTGGAGGGCAGCAGCACGGCATGTTGTAGAAAAGGTTAGAGACCTGGAGCCGATTTGCCAAAGTGGTAACCAATGCCGAGAGCCGGTTTCGATTCCAGCTTTCTGGAATGTGCAGCTAAATATCAATATCAGCCCATAGCCATCGGGAATATAGATAGAGTCTCTTGCCTTGCGATAGCTACCAGCGCCCACACTGCAATACACCCTCGTTTATCAGACGCACAAATTTGTAGTTGACCGAGGATTTCTTCCAGACCTAACGCATGTAGCTCAAAATCGGCCAAGATGAATGGCAAACTTTGCAACCCTGCTAACCGCAACCTTTCGTCTTCTGATTTCAAAGGTTCGATAATCCTATCATGGGGTTGGGCAATTCGTTGGCGCTTACGGGGATGCCTATCGTGATCATGGCCAGCAACTTCAAATCTAGACTTTTCCCCATCACGGCCAAGGCTAATGAGCCGCTCCAGAATTCCAATAGCCTGAAGATTAGCCCAATTTCGCTCGCCACGAATGTGATGCGACTTGAGCCGAAAGGCATTAAGACTGAACGGGGCGGTGTCGCTTGCACTTGCACCGCAATCGATCATGTCGAGATCGTCCAACTGAAGTTGGTCCCGACCACTTCGCCTTGCATAATCTAACCTTAAGACATCTGATAGATCCTCTAGCATCGCTAATACACCATCTTCCCCATCTCTTATACTGCGCTCCAGATGAAGATGGATGATAAAAAGGAATACCAGCATCTCATCCCTCACAGAGTTCAGCATCTCATCCTTTGCCACGGTCTTGCCTTGCCAGAAGCGGCAGATAATCGGGATCACATCCTGGGCAACGGACTGCGAAAAAGATATATGGTCTGTGCAAGTGTATGACAGTACATGATTGATAACTGCAAAGACTACTTGATGCAACTGGCTCACGCTGGATCCTTGGGACTGTAAGAGCCGAACAGCAGCGTCTGTAATTGCTTGAAATCTTTCAGAAAGCGGTGCATTCGGGACAGCAACGAGTGAGTGGAGAGATTGCAGAATATCCTCTACATTTGGTCTAGATAGAGTTCTAGAATTATGAGGGTTGACATCAGTTGAAGCAGACCTTGCCAAAGGGCGGGATACATGGCTCGATCTAAGGCCAGAGGAGCTGCGTGGTAACCCAGAGACCTCTCCGTGAGTGCTATCGAGGTATCGATTGATACCCACCAGGCAGAAGTCGACCGCGTCGGTCCAGGTATCCTCTCTCAAACGCTCGACATTGGCCTGATGCTCTAGGACCGCACTTAGAGCTTTGAGGTAATTCTCAATGAGAGGCTGACAGTATTCGCCATTTGCGTTTGGTAGCGTTTGGATAATATGATCAATAACCGCCGCAACGGTCTTAACCTTCAGCTTCGGTGCAGCAGCCTTGATGCCGAGGCGGACCAAATCAGCACACGCTGTTAACCGTGATACAGCTGTAGATCTGATTGTTTTCTTGGCTGCAAGGAATATATGTTTTTCGGAAAGGGCAACCTTGAAAAGGACCTCGAATATCTTGTGCCATGATCTGTCGTCGAGAACGCCACTTAATCGAGAATAAGCTGATGGTCTTAAGGATGGAGCTGGCGGAACTACTCACAGGTTGGCTGCCTTCCGAGGATCAAGTATTATCTTCAAATCTTGAGCTATTTCAGCTATGGATAACTTTGGGTCTTACGACGAGCCACATACCCTTCAGTCCTTCGGTCCTCTCCCTCTTCTCTCCTCCACGCTCAAGGGTCTCTATTACTTGTTACTAATGCACTGGAGATTTAGATGCATCAAAAATACCTAGGACAGAATCGAGGCGGATCGCACCCCTATCACCGTTGCTCTCGCCCATGTTGAAGTTGTTGGACGCAGAATGCACATGGCGGATCGGGGGCGGGGGACGGATTCAGGAGCGGAGGATCCCGGCAGTTGACATTAGCAAATAAACAAGCTGGAGAATCAAGTATCCGAGCTTGCTAAAGTTTTGCAAGATAATCGCGGTGGTAATGTGCTGCGGTGACAATTGAGTGAGGATATATTCAGCCTTACGGCTGAGGTTGAGGTCCTGATTGTGAGGCTGAGAAAACACGTCCCGAAAACCAAAGGTGAACGCGAACGCGAGCTTCAACGTCAACAGGCCTCGGCGTCCAAGAACTTTTTTTCTGACCGAATCGATACTGAATCCCGACAACCCAACGAAAGTATCCAGCACCCAAGGTCTCCTATAGGCATCCATGTTCGTCCTTCGAGGGCTTCCATCATCCCATGCTGGATCCACCACCATTTGAAGGTCGTCCGCGCACTTCATCGCACCAAATACCACCATGCCGGAGTTGAATGATCTGGAGACCCTGCAGGCTCTCTATACAGATCTGAGGGCTCTATCTTCATCGAAGCTATCTCCACAGCTAATTGAAAAAGTGGGAGTTCAACTTGATGCCTCATTGCATGATTTTAGGAATTTGTTGGATAACAATCCTCGAAACGAACAGAGTCGCAAGAGTATAGCAACAGGTATTTGGCCCCCGTAGCCCGGAGCCGAAGCTGGAAAGCTAATATAAAGGCTCACAGGGAAGCTTGATGTCGACGGCGATGAATATACAATCAACGAAGCGTTCCAACAGGACGCTCTACAGCTTGCTGATGATTTGAACCTCGACGAACGAGATGCTGCCCGACTATTCCTCCAGTCTCAAGCCGAAGCAGATAGCACCGGCACGCCACCTCTTACCATGTCGGTCATTAGATTTCATCTGCGTCGGAGGCGACTGCTGGAGTGTTTACTTGTGATATTGCAACAGGCAGCCAATGCCGACCAGGATGATGTTCTCAGAGCTGGACTGCAGGAATTTGTGATCAAGATCGTTCAGCCACATGGGTCGACAGTTAGATATGCCAATCAGTGTCTCTCGAGCATGGCAGGTATCAAAGCATTGCTCCAGAGCCTCGCGGACAAGCTCAACAGTGCATCGGTTCTAGGGCAGGAGCAACAGCCAGATCTCTTGGAGAGAGTAGAGTTCCAGCGAGGAAGTCTTGCCATGCAGCATGAGCTTCTAGGGGTGATTTTATTTCTTCTGATAAAGCAGAACTACTCACCCTTGGAAGATTTCGAGCTGGTACTAGATACGCTGAAGAAGGCTGATAAATACGATAACCTATTACGTGAGCGCATTTCTTTGCTGTCCATATACTTTTAAAGCTTTCCGCCTCACAACCATTTATTCATTTAATTGGCCACCCATCGTTTGAGCCATAGCTGACAGGTAGCCTTAGTGCACTACATCCCAGCTCTTGGTGCCTACATGGCACGCTTCGGGGGCACTGAAGGGGGCGGGACTATGGCTGAGGCGAGAGCCATAAATGATAAGTTCTTTGGCCGCGCCGAACAAAATACATGGTCCTTGACGTATGTCCACGCTGCCTTTAGGGTATGGTGGCTTGCCGAGTATAGTGGCTGGTACGGGGAAAATGCTGACGGATCTATTCCTGATAATCAGTTAGCTGATGGTGAGTTTCTCATATCTAAATTTTAGCTACAATGAGAGCTATGCTGATATACCTTCTAGAGGCCAAACAACGATCAAAGCACTTCACGGAGGCCCTGAAGGACGGAGCCTTCGACTTTATATTGTGCCTTTCCGCCGATGCCAAGTCACTAGAGTGGTACGACCCTGCTCGACAGGGTTTACGACAATGGTTACAAAGAAAGACTCCTGTGATTTTGGCCGGCATCGTTCCGTTCTCCGATTCATTTCAAGATGCACTAATCCAGCAATTAGAGACTTTTGTGGAAGCTTTCATAACCAATCTCCCCGATGTCCTCAGAAAACTACGGCTTGATGAGGACGAACAGCGGCAGCTCAACAAGGAGCATGACCATGATCTTGATTTAGAAAGATTCCTGGTCATCATTTGCTTCGTATTTGAAGGGCGGCCAAAGGCGGCTTTCGAAGGCTTTTGGGAAGATCGAGAGGGTGCACTGATGGGATTTGTGCACTGGGCATCAAGGCGGGCATCCACACCACTTGTCACCGCATTCTGTGAAATGCTCCAGTCTCTTTCAGAAGATGAAGAATGTGCAACGGCCACCCACGAGTTTCTGTTAGATGAAGGGGCACAGTCGTCAGGGAAGATGAGGAGGACTCACTCCTTATCTTGGAATCAGATTTTCAAAGAGCTCACCTTTTTCTCCTCGAAGATTCGCGATCGTCCAGCTTTACCACAGACACAAACATTTCGCCCTGGAAAGCCCCAGAGTGACTTGATGGAGGTAGAGCCAGAATCATCCATGATGCTTGAATCGTACCTGCGCCTGATCACGCGCCTGAGTACGGAAAGCGGAGCAGTGCGACAGTACCTGGCCCAGCATCCTTCCTTTCGAATTACCGACCTCCTCTTCCAGCTAACCAGCAGCGCTATCGGTCCCCGCCTCAGAGCTTGCGCATTTACTACTTTGCGGTCTCTTCTCAGCCACAAGACAAAAGAGGCTAGCGACTATTTATGGACAGCGCTCGATATCTGGATTTCTGGGGGCTATGCTCCTGGATCTGCTATGCCAAAAACTGGATCTTCCACCTCAGTGGTCAGCCCTGTTTCGGGAGTGAGTACCATCCTTGGCGGACTTACTTCTGGATTCGAGGAACCGAATGCGTTTGTTAAGCTCCTCCAAGCTCTGGTTGCGCCTTATGAAGATGGATCCACGCTACGAGATTGTTTACCATTTCCGGAGAATCTGGGTGTTTCGAGCCGCATGCCTGGTATCGATCCCTACGTCGACTTCGTTCTGGGTCAGATTTTTAGTTCTCGAGCTTCCGATCTAAATGACCCCATCCAACAAAGAGTCTTGAGACTCAGTTGCCTCGATTTTATTGCAACTTGTATCGATACTTTTAACGAAGCCCTAATAATTTTCGCTAGTCAGTCCAACGTGGCTGTCGATATTGCAATAAGTGCATCAACCCTTGAAAGTTATGTGCTTTTACATCCATTTTCAAGAGTAATGGAATGGATGTTGAACGACAAAGTCATGACTGCACTATTTTCTACGATTCAACAGGATGATAGGCTGGTCTCTTATGCTGCCTCCGACTCACCGTTAATCTTGTCCCTTCTTAGAGGCATTCATGTTGTCAAATCGGTCTTGGAGCTTCAGGCCACATACCTGCATATCATAAGGCCTCTTATAAAATCACACCCGTCATTTGGCCGTACTCCTGTTCCTAACACCACATTTTCATCATTTGAGGATGGATTACTCAGCCATCTTTCAATACTTCCTATTTTGAGTCGGTACTGCAGTACTGGCCACCCAGAGCTTGTCATTGCATCCATTGGACTTCTTGAAAGACTTTCGACATCTCCAAAACTCACGGCTGTTTCTGGCAGCGTCCTAAGCCGAGGAGCGGGCAAGAATAAGGCACTAGCCGCTCTTGATGATGACGCCGAAGGAATAGCTAGGATCTTTCTGCGAGAGATGGAGGAAGAAATCGATGTCAACCAGGGTGCGGAATGTCCTGAATATATCATCAAGCTTCGAATCCTCGACTTTCTTATTTCATCTCTGCGGGCCTCTCCCGACCATCCTACTGTAGCCCATATGCTGCTAGGATTCAGATGTGGTGACCGTACTGTAGATGCTGATAGTGAAGGCTCTTTTAGCCGTGGAATCTCCCTGTTTCACACAATATTAGACTCGGTGCTGAACGCGCCGCTTATAGATGATACCGGCATGGCCTCTTGGCTTCTCTCCCTCAGTTACAAGGGCTTGCAAGTTCTACAAGAGTTGTGGTCATCACCCATATCGTCAAGTCTGGTGATGATGGAAATGCGGTCAAACGATGCTTTCTTTACGATGTTTGCTGGAGAAAACATGATTCAGCCCGACATACTTTGGGACGGACTGGAGGTCTCAAACCCACTGTTTATGTCAACTTCTTCGGCAGGTTGTCTTTCGGAATTTATGTGCCGGCGTGCAATTCTGCTACGATATTCAGCTGCCGAGCTCCGTAATGTTGTTACCACTCATTCGCCCTCCCTCAAACAGCGGATTTTTGAGACCCTGATGGGGTCAACGAGGGATGGCCAAGGCCAAACTTGTCGCCATGCAACCGTCTTTGACCTTTTCGATTTCATGGGACCTCAATTCCACCGCCCACTCAAACCGTCACATGCATCATGGTTCCAGGATGTTGATGTTCAGTCTTGTTTAAGCGACCAAGACAAACCCTCATTTACTTACGATATTGGAAAGTTAGAGGAACTCTTTTCTCTACGACGGTCCGAGCTCATCCAGGCAAATAAGCTGGATGCGCAGGGTGTGGCTGCTGTGAACCATCAAGCTCAAGAACTGCTAGATTTCTATACCAACGAAAACAATATCAAGATCCTTTTCGCAGCCCGATTAACAGTTCTCAGGTCATGGGTCCAGTTACTGTTATTGATGCTCGAATCTGGCAATTCTGGCAATACTTCCCAGACGTCTATTATGCTCCAAACTTTGCGGACAATAATGCCGATATTAGAAACCGATCTCGAAAACGTCCCGGAAGCCATGGAGCTAGCAAGGCTTGCGAAATCTGTTGTTTTCAACCTTGATTTCAAGAGCCAATCGTTCAAACAAGATAACATGGGGGATCTTGTGAGTGATAGATTGTTCCATCTGTTCCAAGTATCACTCAAGGCAATCAACTCCCTAGGCTCCAAGATACCCCTGAAACAGTTCTTCTATCTCATAAGCTATCGCTATTTAATGGGCATGTCCGATGTGGCTACCATTTCAGGGATCCATCGGAGGCACAGCATCCAGACCATTAAATCAGCTGGTGAACGGTTTATGGACGTGGTGTGTGATGACGCATATGCTAGTGAACCTATCTCAAGGATTGCAGCTTTGTTCATTCTAGGCGCCTTGGTCGAAATGGGCAAACGTGAGAACTCTAAATACATTATCGAATCTCTCATACGGCTTAACTTCATCACGATACTCGTCGGTTCTATAGAGAATATTCCCAATGATCTCCTAGAAACCTCCCCAGAAGGTATGATTCTTTACCCTCACATAGTAATATATTGCTAACAATTCCGATAGACGTGGATATGCAACTTGCTTATTGCAATGCTCGGCTCGCATTACTCCTCCATTTGTCACAGACCCGCTTCGGAGCTGCAGCTGTTCTGAACGCAGGATTGTTCCATGCAATTAGCCAGTCTGGCTTGTTCGCCACCGATCCCGATCTGGGTGTTAGTATGTATTTTCTCGGTACCTATAGTGTCCCAGCCTGCTGACTAGTTCTAGATATCGACGGCCCCGACGCTGTCAGCAAGCATTATGGTATCTTAGCAGCAATTATGAGGGTAATATGCGCAGCTCTGTTGAGTCGAGGCGCACAGAACCAACAATCTCTTGAACAGGGGCGCAGATTCTTAGCTGACAACCGGTTATCCATACTCGCTGTCCTCAAAAAAACTGCCGGGCTAGGTTCGGGTACTGGGGTATCGGAGCAGGCCGAAGAATTGGCGGACTCCTTCATGCTGCTTGTGACGTTTACTGGGTTCCTCGAGGTGAGCAATTCCATTCCATTTTCACAAATCTGTCTGACAACATGAAAGTTTGAGGAAAACGCCACTCCAAAGAGAGTGTCATTAACGGGGTTTACCTAAAGATTGACGTTAAGATAATGAATGCAATGTACCATAGGCAGCAGAAGACGATTGGGAGTTCAGATGTGTCTTCCTGACCTTGAGCGCGAACAAAAAAGAGGAGACAGCAGTTACAGGCTGTCAGACGTAGATAGCAATAATATCGGGAAATAGATGGCCCTAGCACCCATGCCAATAGTTTTTCTGCACATGGCTTTATCCTTCCACCTTATTACATCGCTCAGAAGGGCCTGTTTGTGGCCATCTCTGGAGGGCTGCCCTCGGCTGAGGAAGGAGGCAATGGATGGGGAGGGCAAGTGGATGAGATACGATACAGGAGAAAAAGCCGCAAAATGATAACCATTACACACCTTATATTAAACAGTCAACCTATGAATATATTGAATTTCAGAACAAGTTATGTAAGTTTAGCTTGATGCCCCGCCATCGCTCGATAAATACCTTACTACCGCACATTATTGTCCTCATCTACTATTATTTTCTTTAAGCTGTTGATGTTTCTTCTCTGTTTACAGATACTTCGGCTTCACTAGAGCAGAGCGAGAAAAATTACTTCGTAAGACCTTCCTTGTATATAGATAAGGTAGGCGGGCTTGGAGTTGGGGGTTTGGTAGGCGGGTGGCCCCTGGTCAAGCTCGGCGATACAGTAAAGCCCGAAAATCGTTATCGCCAACAACCACGACCACAATCGTTGAACTTGTTAACCTCATCAACGGCTGTGCGCCTCATGGATTCCCCGATTCCCTACACTACCTACTCATCGCAACGCCTATTAATATCTGGTTACGGCTACGCGTACCAGCTTTCTCTCCATGCTGAGTTGACTTGCGACGAATAGCCTCCTGATTCCTTCTACGACGACTTCCCCCCCCTCCGTGTCGATTTCAATTCCACAAGTGACACGGCTGATGTCCGTCGACGGACCAAGCAAGGTCGATGCAGCATTCGGGCACGTCGTCCGATGAGAACATAGCTATCCGGTCGAACCTCTCGAGAAAGCGAAAGAATCACGACCGCAAGCCACAGGACAAAGTGAGCTCAAAACCATCATCAACATCAACGGAGTCGCTATTCACCCCCAGTCCGACAATCAACGCCACAACCACAAGCCGACCGACCGACCGACGGTATCCCTCGCCGCCAGCTACAAAACGCTTGAAGACAATACACCCGTCCAACCTTGGCCAATCGGCAGACATGAGCAAGGTTATGAGCAGACCAGCCCAGCCCAAGGTCATTGACCTGACAGGTAGTCCCTCGAATTTCCAACCGCATGTCGGCGTCAAAAAATTGGTTATCAAGAACCTGCGACCGTCGTCGCGGAAGGATATCGATAGCTATTACGAGAGAACCTGGTCTGAGCTCGATGGTGCTATTACAGCGGTTTTCAACGGATCACAGCCCGCCCCACCGTTAGAAGTATTGTGTCGTGGTGTTGAAGCAACATGCCGTCGCGGCCAGGCAGAAAAACTCGCCAACTACCTGAGGGACCGCTGCAAAGCCTACATTGAGAAACAGCTATTACCGACAATCGAGAGCCAGGCACGACCGACCAATATAGACGCACTAAGGACTATATATCGATTCTGGACAGTGTGGAATGATCAATCGGTGAGAACGGCTGATCCGTATTTTAGTATCCTGTATTGACAAGGTTTCTGACAGACTCTCCTTCGCTCCATCTTCAGCTACCTTGACCGGTCTTATCTGTTGAGCAAGAAGGATGCCCTGCAATTAGAAGATCAAGGAATTCACCAGTTCCGACATGCGATCTTTACAAAAGCCAAAATAATAGTTGATGGGCATTCTTTGGGTGGAAGAGTAGTTTTAGGTGTCTGTGACCTCGTTGATTGTGACCGTATAGGCCAAGAGGATCTTTTCGATGCAAATCTTCTAAAAGATTCCGTTTTAATGTTACACGTTTTCGGTATCTTCGGAAAGTCGTTCGAGCCAAGATTTCTTGACTCTTCGAAGACATACTTCGAGAGTTTTGTTCAAGAGCACAGTAACTCGAGCATGAAGGATTATATATCGGCTTGTGACAGGTTGCTGGTCCGGGAGGCTCATCGTTGCGACAAATACAATTTCGACAGCACAACTAAACGCAGTCTGCTCAATTCAGCCCACCGCATCCTTATTGAGGAATGCTCTGATGTACTCCTCGATCCCACGGGCTTCGCTAAGCTCGTCGATACTGACGATATCGGCTCATTAAAATCACTTTACAGCCTGCTTAGTCTTTCAAACATACAACACAAGCTCAAGAAGCCTTTTGAAGCCCACATCAGGCATGTAGGCGCTTCCGTTGTTAGTGATAATGAAAAGGTTGACCAAATGGTGGTGCGCCTACTTGAATTCAAGAGAACACTAGATGTTATCATACGGGATGCATTCGCTAGAGACGAAACCTTTTCGTACGGCCTCCGAGAAGCATTTGGCCACTTTATTAATGATAAAACGAATACTTTAGCATGGGGCACCAATAACTCCAAAGTTGGAGAGATGATCGCAAAATATATAGACATGCTGCTCCGTGGAGGTTTGAAAGCAGTCCCACGCTCTCTGGCGTCAGATGCTAACGACCGTGATTATGCTGAGAAGCAGGGCCAGGCAAGCGCTGGGGATGAAGACGCCGAACTTGATCGGCAGTTGGAACAGGCTCTGGAACTGTTCCGCTTCATTGAAGGGAAGGATGTCTTTGAGGCTTTCTACAAGAAGGATCTTGCCAGGCGACTTCTGATGGCTCGGAGTGCAAGCCAAGATGCCGAAAGGAATATGCTCGCTAAGTTGAAGAGCGAATGCGGATTTAGCTTCACCCACAACCTGGAGCAGATGTTTAAAGACCAAGAGCTTGCCAGGGACGAAATGATTGCGTATAAGCAGTCAGTTAGCAACGCCGGCAAACCAACTCTAGATCTTCAAGTCAGCGTCCTCTCCGCAGCTGCATGGCCTACCTATCCGGATGTAAAGGTTAATCTTCCTTCAGAAGTTGCCAAGCATATCGAAAAGTACGATCTCCACTACCGCAATAAGCACACTGGCCGGCGCTTAACATGGAAGCATGCCCTCGCTCATAGTGTTGTTAAAGCGCGGTTTGGCACACAAACAAAAGAACTCTTGGTTTCTGCATTTCAAGCCATTGTACTCGTTCTTTTCAATGACATTGGACCGGGAGAACATCTTTCATACATTGATATCCAGTCTGCTACTGGGCTGATAGATGCTGAACTCCAACGTACGCTTCAGTCTCTAGCATGCGCCAAATTTCGCATTCTCACAAAACATCCTAAAGGGCGAGAGGTGGATCCAACCAATACATTTACCCTTAATACAAAATTCACAGATCCGAAGTACCGAATCAAGATCAACCAAATCCAGCTCAAGGAGACCAATGAGGAGAACAAAGAAACTCATGAAAAGATCCACCAAGACAGGCAATATGAGACTCAAGCTGCAATTGTGCGGATCATGAAGAGTAGGAGAACCATGACGCATCCGAATCTTGTTGCAGAGGTTATTGCCCAGACAAAGGCCAGAGGCGCGGTTGAGCCGAACGAGATCAAGAAGAATATCGAGAGTTGGTGTTCCAAGTTCAACAACTGGAGAATTTTTGCTAATGAAAACCGCAGAGCTAATTGAAAAGGATTACATCGAACGAGAAGACTCTAAGTATCTTTACATAGCGTAGACGAGATGTAATTACCTTTGTGTCAGATTTAAATCTGGTTCGTGCATAGAATGAGACGCGACTGTGAACGAAAAATGGCATTCATGGGCAAAAGACTTGTGAATAAATACCTTTGATACCTCAGCATCCGCCTATTTCATATCAAGGGCATTGCTTTCATTTACTATTGTTGTCGATAATAGAGTTACCGTTTGTCGTTGGAGATGGCCAGACACATATGTAGCAGTATATAGGTAGCCAACTTTGCTAACCCACCCGAGCATGGGATAGTTTTATAGAGGGCGGCACTAGAATCGAGTCAATTCAGCACTAAAAATAGCTCGAGCTGCTGTTGCTGATGTGGCCGACGTGGCTCGTGGGTATAGAGTATATCCACCCCAAGCCACCACATCGAGAGCCGTGTATATCGCGATTTCCCCTGCTATTGCAGTGTGCTCTTTGTTGTTGGTTGACTTCGTGGCCGAGCTGGGGGTGGTCCAAGTGGCAAGTGGCCCTTTAACTGCAGCTGTTCCTTTGTCCCTGCTTGGGCTAATGTCCGCCTCATTCAAGCGGTGGTGGCTCCTCGCTCTCGATCTGGGTCTCGCAAACTTGATCCTGATTCTTAGACCGAAGCTGGTGGGCGGTGTCTATTCCAATACCCCAACATCCCTAGCCAAATTCAAGGCAGTCCTACGCCTCCTGGTCTTGCTCTTGCTCTTGCTCTTGCTCTTGCTCTTGCTCTTGCTCTTGCTCTTGCTCTTGCTCTTGCTCTTGCTCTTGCTCTTGCTCTTGCTCTTG